AAATGGACTGTAAGTGAAATGCAAGGCAACGTGTACTTTCTTGAAGAGAAGGTCAGCCGCAGTCAGTGCCCCACGAGCCAGCCACAAAGTGTTAGCGGTCTACACAGCCTCAATCCTAATAAGGTACTGTATACCTGCTTGTACATAGTATTTATAGTGTAAAATCATGTACTCAATACTTTACTGCCTCAGGGTTCATTTCTCCAGAGCCTCGACTCTCCAGTCCCCACCAAACATATCATCCCCTGCCCGGTTCTGTCCACACGTTCACTCTCTTTGTGTTTTTTTTCTCTTTGCCTTCCAATCTTATACGGTAAAAGGTGTAAATGGTATGAGACCAGTTCATTACCATCCACTTTCCTGTCTTCACCACTCAAATTCTCCCATCTCTTGGTCTGATTTTGTTCCTGCGCCCAACCGTTCCAAACTCCAGATGGCCATTGAATCTCATCCACTCATTCCCCGATCGCTATTTTAAAGGCCTAAGCCCCTGGGATCATTCAGGTGGATCTTTGACAAGTTTGAAGCTGAAACCACTCGTCAGCTTGCGCCACACTCGTGAGAAACGCCCCACACGTCCTGGTCTTCGCTCTCTTTCCCCCCCAACCTCGTCTGCTTGACATCTTTGATATATCCCGGTGGATGAAAGTTAGTCAAGTTCCTTTTCCCCACCAATCCTTCTCACATTTTCCTAACATGGCATCTACAGTAGCTGTCGCCTTTGCTCGTCCACCCTTCGAGGCTGGCGCGAAACATTCTTTCTCCATGGCGACGTTGATGTCGAATAACGAGCCCATCGCCGCCTCCAACTCACTATCCGGAAACACTGTCACTAGCTCTGAACCTCTTTCTTTGTTTAAATCCTCCAAGCCCGAGAGCCTGAGCTCGATTGCCAGCGCCGGCCTACACGTCTCGCGATCGAGAGATCAACTTCCTCCGATGACCAGTCCAACATCAGTACCGGCGGATCAGCCGGAGCATGAGAAGGATGCTGAACGAAACAGTTCACAGGTGGCCCGAGAGGCTCTAGGTGCAAGCGAAAAGTCGCCAGGTGCCCCGATTCATGAGTCTTCAGTTCATGCATCCCCGGAGCATATGCAAATCGACTCTCACGCGACCGGATCACCATCGGACCCTTACGGTTCAAACGATCATCACCACAACTCGCTAATGCATACCTCGACTGTAGCCAGCCCTGGTCCTATCGAGGAATCCGCTTCTCAGGATGGAGATCGACGGTCGCGCGATGACTCCGAAATCGACCACGATGGCAAAGCATTTTCATACCCGATGCCTACGGGCAATATTAACGACCCGCGTCGCGGCCTGAGCCTACCGAATGCTGGCTACAATCGAGGCAGCCCTCGCTCTCCGTCGGCGAAGAAACACCGCTGCCCATACTGCGCAACAGAATTTACGCGGCAACACAATCTCAAGAGCCATTTGCTCACCCACAGCCAGGAAAAGCCTTTCGTCTGTCAAACCTGTCAGTCACGTTTCCGAAGACTACACGATTTGAAGCGTCACACAAAGCTTCACACCGGCGAGCGACCACACATCTGTCCTAAATGTGGACGTCGTTTCGCCCGGGGTGATGCGCTTGCTCGACACAATAAAGGACAGGGAGGCTGCGCGGGTCGACGCGCGAGCATGGGCAGCTTTGCAGCAGACGACGAGTATGGCGACGGTGCGACCGGGGGACACGACGACATGGATGGGTTGATGTACACAGCAGAGCCTGAGCGTATGGATGAAGAAGATGAGCGACGAATGACCATGCCGAGCATCCGCAAGCATGAGGCAGAAACAGTTGCTCGACCTGATTCAATTCACTCACGCCAGTCAAACACCTACCCGCCAATTGCCGCCGGTCGTCCCAGCCACCTTTTCCCACCCCCAGCCAATCATGGTGGAAGCGTGTCAACATCAGCTTCGCAGTCTACACACATGACTTTCCCGCCCGCAGGCCTCACCTCGAGCTCGTCTATCTTCCCTCCCAGCAGTATTAGTGACAGCCCTAAACCCCTATCCCCGAACGCTCTTTCATCGCAACACGATAGTGCACCGCCACATCGCGCACACTCTCCTGGCATGGGACAGTCCTTACCACACCCGCAGTCCTCTTTTGGACGAGCGAATCAATCTTCGAATCACGCGCCACCCACACTAGGCTTGCCCCTGCCGCAGCCAGGTGCGCCCCAGCTGCCTCCGCCGCCGGGTATGACCTCCCCGGATGGTCGGTTTGGCATGCAAGCTGCAACCAAACACACTCCTTCGCACAGCCACTCCAGTACCCACAGTCTATCTCACCTCAAGGGATTCGATGGGCCAGATGCCAATTCCAATGACGTCAGCCAAATCGACAAACTTTGGGCGTACGTGCGGACAATGCATGATGAGTTGACAGGTTTACGCACCGAAGTTGCCGCCTTGCGGGCGCACGTTGCGTCGTCCAACTCAGTGCCCCCGGCACCGGTGGAAGTAAACTTGAATAATGCCGGACCACGGTAATACGTTCTTGGGTATGGTTCTAGTGTGTACGATATGGCGCACCGTCAGCCACGTGAAATGGCTGTTATGCCCTCCCCTCCTTCTTCACTTTGTTCATACGTCTTGATTATCCCATCCTCCCTCGAGGGTCAACCTTGATGCCCTCATGATCACCATACCGACAGTCGCCGGCGTCGGTGTTTTCTATGCCCCATTACTCCTTTCCTTTCTTGTTTTCCCCCTTTACACCTGGAGTCATATCCCCCGGGAGAGCCTTTCCGTTATAGCCTACTTTATTCATACCTGGAGCACGCTGCAGAGTGTGTCCATTTTCCCCCTCTTTTCTTTTTTTTGAACAGCCAAAGGAGTTTGGCGTGCCGAACAAAAATGGTCTGACATCGCGGAACCGCGACCTCGACCCCCCCCCCCCCCCTTCCTATGTGCTGCTGTCGATTCCATGTGAAAGATGGAGTCATGTGATTGTGTTTGGATATGTGCATGGATTACGCTGGTTTTGGAGTTTTTATTCGTAATCTGCTATTCCCGACTTAGTTAGTGATAATATACACTTTAGTCATTACGATATCCATTGTAATAATTCCAAATTTTTTTCTTGAGCTTTTATAGCTTTATCATTTCATCATGTATATGTCACCGTTATATAGGAGAAAGCTATGTATGTGCCCTCATGTTTGATAAGAATTAGCCCTAGACTGAGAAATATCTGCCCCAGGGATTGTAGAATACACAGTTTTACTTGATACCAGAGGGTATGCACGCACACAAACCCATTTTTTGTGATTATTGTGCTCTATCATTGATTGAGATACCTAGTTTTCATCCGGCCGTTGAAGGAGTTTAAACTTTATTTCTTTAGCGTGAAGTTGTTCAAGTATTTCTGCATCTTTTTCTATAACTACACTCAGTAATGTACTCATAGGTCAATGCTATGATAAAGTCCACAAGAATTCTCCAGGGGCCGTGGAACACCCAAGACGATCTTTTTAAGGCTCAGGAAGACGTACTTGATCTTTCTTGTTCTATATCGGTGTCATGTTGTGTATGTCTTCCTCTTGCATTGCCTAGGTGCTAGCCACAAATGTATAAACATGTATGGACAAGAAATCTCACATCTTATATGCAGAAAAGGTGTAGTGGGAAGGCTACTAACTGTTGTTCTCAAGAATCAAAGATATCGCCCAAGGTATGTAGTTTAGGCAACTATGAGTTTGTGTCTGTTATATTCATTTGCTTGTTCGGCTAGCGGATGAGAAAAGATATTAAGAAAAACACCAGAAAGACAGCAAAAAGAACCATCAAAAGTCTATTTCAGTGACTCCCCACCTGCATTTTCCTCCCATGTATCCATGGATGATCATCTTCTCAGGGGTTATAGTCATGGTCTACTCCGTAGCCAATTTTTTGCTCCCACTATTTTGAACAAATATAGGGGTCAACGGCCCCCCTTTCTACCTCTCTGACCCTACATTTATATTCTAGATATCTGGTCTTCGTTTTTGGTTGAGAGTGAACGTAGGATCTATAAAGTAAAATGAAACATAATAACTGCGGCGTATATATATATCCCCACCCACCGCGTCGTAAGGGGCATCTTCACACCTGGTGACCTGGCAATTGAGCCGAGGCACTTTAAAGACTTCATTTACTCCGTAATCAGTACACATCTCGAATTGAACCCTCGGAACATTCTTTTTCTCAACAGATTACGACTTTGACAATGTCTCCTACACTCCTACAGGCATCGGCTGCAGCCTTCGCGTTGCTTTCTGTTGGACACACGGTATGATCCCCAACCCCAGAAGCCCCTGAAGGACTATGTTGATTGCTACGTAGATCAAGGGCAGGCAATGGACAGCCGATCCAAGATTCAAAGCTATCGCAGGCACTAATTCGTGGACCTGTGGGACTCTGGGGTGGTACCAGGTGCGTTGGAAGTTTTCTATATCAATCTGGCCTTATTTTGCTTCATACTGACTGTCCTATTCGGTTTCTATCAATAGGGGAGTGGCTTCTTTTTGTTGACCGGTGCGTTCATAGTACCACCCCTCCTAGTCAAGTTCTAATCATGATTATCAATAGGTTTGCTACACTGGCAATGGTCGCGAGATCCTAGTCTCCTCCAAGATCCACTGAGCAAAGCGATGGCCGGGATCGTGAATATCCTACTCTGGGCTAGCTCTGTCTGGTACATTAAGCATGGTATCAATGATACTGCCATTGTCCTTGCTATATCTGCTACGTTGCAGGCCTTCGGTGTTGGCAAGGCTTGCCTGTGAAATTATCACTGAGGACACATGTTTGAAAGATACATGTACGGGGGGATCTGATGAGCTCGGGTGTCTTACAAATAAATATATTCTGTGTTAAACATGTCTGCTTTTGATTTTGGAAGTTTCTGTATGTTGATCATAATCCGTAGCCGTTGAAATTATCCGATATGACATAGTAGAGTGAAGGTCAAGAAGAATACCCAACAGACCAGGAACAAATTAGCCCTCTTCCAGTTGAGAATCCTGCTCCAACCTCCTCTCCCTCCGCTTGATAGTCCACCCGATAAACAATCCCACATCAGAAACAACGGCCCGCGGCACTCCACCCAGCGCCCAGCTCCGCTGAACCCACTGAGGAATCTTCCCCCCAGCCTCAGAAGTCGTCAACATAGTCCATCGAAGATAACGCTCAGGATTCGTAGCAGGGGTATTCGAATCCGCGGAAGCCGGCGGATCCGAAGCTGGCGGGGCAGGAGCCAGCACACGCTCAACCCGCTCGAGACTGGCATAGTACGCGAAGACTGCGCGCTGCGGGACAGCGTCCATGATCTGCGCGTAGAGTCCCTCGTACTGGGATCCCGGAATGATTGGTTTAGTCAAATAGAAAGGAATCTGTACCGTCATAAAGCCGTGGCCTGGGTTGGATTGGGATACTGGGTATGAGCTGGCGAAGGTCGCCGACATAGTCCAGGATATGAAAGCCCGGGGCCGGATTAGTGCCTCTGGATGGAAGGTGTGTACAATAAGATTGACTAGGCTTTGGTTTCAGTGGGCTTTCCCTTTGTGTGTGTGTGAGAGAGCCGTCTTCGGGGGATTTTTATACATACGTTCGACTTCGAAATGCTTGTAGTTCATGTTTCCGATAGTAATTGGCTGGTTGAGATCCCATTGTCTCGGCTCGTTCCATTTCAGCAGTTGTTTTACGCTCGTCACACTGGGTGTGTACTCCATCTCGTGCTCGGCATGGTTGTAGCGCAACCCGTCGTGGAATTCCCATAGGGAAACTGTCCCAGGCAGACTATCAGAGTCTTGGTGGTCACTTTCGCGACATACCCAGAATTCCTTTTTGGGAATTGAGCCCTCCTGGGGGGATTGGAGTGTTCGCCATCCCTGTAAAAGCTTTACCTTTGCCTTTGAAGGTGGAGAAGAGCGAAGCTTGTAGTCTGGTTTTAATGTTGAGGGGAACTGGTTGAGAAGAGGTTGGGCTTCAAGAAGGACGGCCTGGATAAACTCCCGCAGTTCTGGGGTGTTGGCATCCCCTTGAAGATCTGGGTGACGGGGGAGGCTGGTGAATAGATGTGGCTCGAGTTGGATCAACGGCATGATGGAGACATGGAAGGAGAACGCTTGGCAATAAAGAAAGTAAATGTGCAGATGAAGAGAGGTGGAGGGTTAAAAAGAAAATGCTAGAAGTCAGAAAGTAAATTAAATTTTGATAAGATTATGTCTTTCTTATTTGTTTGCACGGCCCTGGAGATCTCCCTAAGGTTATTTATTATGTGAGAATTTGAGGGTTGCCCGTTTAGGGGATTTCAAGAACATAACTATCCTCTAGACTCGATCAATTTATCTATCAAAATAAGTACATGATTGATATTATTGATCAATTTAGTAAGCAACAATTTATGTAAATTATATATAGAAACTATAAACAGCGGATCCCAGGTCCAACGCTGCCAGTCTCAAACATCTCCACTAGTCCCGCGCCTAGTGCTTCTTCTAGCGCCCATCGAAAGTGCATCCCATATAGCTCTTTCCATTTCCTAGTTTTACCCGGCAGGATGCCTGCAAACTCGCCACGGGCTCGCTTGGCTAAATGGAAACTCTTGTCTGTCTCAATAGCTCCATCCCATCGATCCTTCAACAGGCCCAGAGGGGCTTCGCCGGAAGCGGACCGCCGGAGAAGAGCGAGGAGATGTGCACGGCCTGATCCTAGCAATCGGAGATATGTTCCAGTGTTAGGAAGAGACAAGAAAAGAGTTGCCGCACGAGCCTGGGCGGCTGACTGCACGGGGCGCTCGGAGTGCGAGATAGACTCGCTTCGACTTGCTGACGAAGTCGCCATTTGAGGTAGATTAGGAAGTGATGCAATACTTAATGTGCCCTGTGTGTAAGATGACGAGGAGACAATAAAGCCAGCGCGGAGCAAGGCTCTGTACTCATCCGTCGTGAAGACCCCCTGCGATATCGCCGAGGAGGTCCCAATACGTTTCAGGATGTCAAGGAATTTCTCTGCAAACCCGTCAATTCATGACGCCCAAAGGATCCTGACTCGAAAACTCACCCTTGAGTGGTTGTTCCAATGCAGGGCTTTCCTGCACTAGCTTGTCCCAATCCTCTGCTAGCACCAGGCAATCACCCAGCCCGGCCGCATCATTTCCTCGACCCGGTATAATGAGTCGCCGAATCCGACCCGTTTGAATCTGTTCAACAATCTCCCTTTCCACTTGTGTCGGTGCCTCCAAAAGAGTATGGACATGGGCCACGGAAGCAAGTGGAGGCAAAGATCGGCGTAGGTTGAGGACTTCTGCGATGCGCGTGCTGTTCATCCCCGCCCGTGTGGGAAGTTCTTCGAACATGCCATCACGGATATATTGGATAGCCTGCAGGACATTCTGAACTGGAGCAGTGTCTGATATAAAATGAGATCCGCCTATATCTGGAAGCGGATCATCAAAACCTAGATCGGCAGTAGGTTTTAGGCCGCCAGATGTAGGTTTGCGGCGCACATGGGCAGCAAAAGGCGAGGGGCGGGGTTTGGGAGCAGAGGCTTTGCGTTTCTTGACACCTGATACCGGAGCGGAGGTGAGACGCAAGGTCATGGCAAGGTCATGGCAAGGTCATTGCAGATGCACTTTCCAAACGTAACGGATTCGGAGGAGAAATAATACCTCATGTCAGGTGACAGACAGATATTCCGCCAATCACAGGCGGTCTGTCATAGTTCTGTAAATAAATTACCGTACGGGGGAACATCCTGACCCTCAAGTGGGGTAAAACCGGTACGGAGGCAGTACTACCGTGTGTACAAAGTATGTAAGCTCAAGTCAGATGGTTGTTGGTTTCCTTGGTTCCGCAATATCTTTTTGATTTGCAAGGTCATTCCAAGTTCTCTTCATATCTGCTCTGAATGAATGCAGCATCTACTTCTGCTTGGTTCTTCTTATTTGTCCTGGCAATCCACAGGCAAACTTGCTTCTCCATCACTTGGCACCTTCACATGACGTAGTCATGAGAAACACATCGTGTAACTAACCTTTTTTTTTCTCAGCTTGCTCCCGATTGTCAAGACTCCAGCGGCTAGTTTACTTGTCGCATCGTCAAACCTGCAGGTTTCCCCTCACATTGTGCTTTAATACTCTTCTGCCTATCCGTTTAGGCTAGGCTCAATCACCATGACTGTCTTCATAGCATCTCTGTATGTGGCTATTACTGGACCTTGATCTACAGATGGCTAACCGATGAATTTCTTATAGATTTTTGCCCTACACTGTCAATTTCCATATCAACAGCTCGCGCGCTCGCTCTCCCCCTCTAAGTCCTCCGTCCGCAAACCCCACCATAGAAGGAATCACACCCATACCCAATTCTACGGCTAGCCTGTTTGAAAAGAAAACTCCAGTGAAAGCGCCGCGTCTTACACCAGGGGCTACAACGGATCATGAGCGCATTTTTGATGCCCAGATAGCCAAGACAGAGCAAGAGAAAAATGGGTACCCGTTCCCTTTGGCTCCCGAGCAGGAAAATCGACTCCTTACGGAGAGTGAGGGTCATTCCCCGGTATGGGGTGCCACAACCTCGCTCAATCAGCCAAAGCCAGTGACCGTCTTGGCGCCGTCTCCATCTATTCTCAAGCACCAAGATCTTCGCCCCGCCAAGGAAGCTGTCCCGCATCGACCTCCTGCGGCCGAGACCATTGCTTCCTATGCGAGACTAAGAAAGGCCAGCACAGCGAGCCGGAAATTGTCATTTTCGAAGGCTGAATGGACAATCGAGACCGCGGAGCAGGGCAATGGTGGCCTGCGCAATGCCGTACGATCCGCAACAGACGCCGGGGGCTTGGACAACATGATGTGGGTGGGCACCTTGGGTATGCCCACTGACGCCTTGGCAAATCACACCCGACGGGACATCGCGGAGAAATTGGAAGATGAGTATGGGTCTTTGACGGTGTTTGTAAATGACGGCGACTTCGATGGGCACTACACGCATTTTTGCAAGACCATTCTTTGGCCGGTATTTCACTATCAGATCCCAGACAACCCAAAGAGCAAAGCCTACGAGGACCATTCATGGATCTACTACGTCAAATTGAACCAGGCTTTTGCAGACCGCATTGCTAAGCATTGGAAGCGGGGTGATTCGATCTGGGTCCAGGATTATCATCTGTTACTGGTTCCAGCTATGCTTCGCAAGTTGGTGCCAGATGCACAAATTGGGTTTTTCCTGCATATTGCTTTCCCTTCCTCGGAGGTCTTCAAGTGCTTGGCACCACGCAAGGAGCTCCTCCAGGGCATTCTTGGTGCCAACCTCATTGGTTTTCAAACGGATGAATACTGCCGGCACTTCCTGCAGACATGCAGTCGCATCTTGTGTGTGGAAGCAACACCCGAAGGAATTCAGTTAGAAGACCGGTTTGTCAATGTCGGCACATTCCCTATCGGAATCGATCCAACTTCTTGGGATAAGCGCCGCCAGGCAACGGACGTGGAGCGATGGGTCGGTACAATCTCGGAGCGCTATCAAGGAAAGCGTCTCATCGTCTCGCGCGATAAAATTGATTCCGTTCGGGGTATTCGCCAAAAGCTTCTTAGCTATGAGCTTTTCCTCAACACCTACCCAGAATGGGCTGATAAAGTTGTGTTGATTCAAGTCGCAACCAGCACTACGGAACAACCAGAGCTGGAAGCGACCATCTCTGATATTGCCATGCGGATCAACTCCACACACTCGACCCTCGCTCATCAGCCTTTGGTGTTCCTCAAACAAGACCTAGCCTTCCCGCAATACCTTGCTCTCATCACTGTGGCAGATGCCCTGATGATTACCAGCCTACGCGAGGGAATGAATCTGACTAGTCACGAGTTTGTCTACTGCCAGGATGGTCGATGCGGCGACAAAGCCTACGGGTCATTAATACTTAGCGAGTTCACTGGCAGCGCATCTGTCTTTGGAAACCATGCTCTTTTGGTCAACCCTTGGGATTACCGCCAGTGCTGCGAAGCAATTAACACAGCACTGACTCGCGATGAGAAGGAACGGAAGCAGGTTTGGGAGGAACTCCTCCGTGCAGTCCTGAAGAACTCGACCGCCAATTGGGTGAAATCTTTCAGTGAAACGCTCGGCCGAGTCTGGAACGAGCAATCTTCGCGAGAAATCATGGCAGTGCCCCGCCTGTCCGTATCCCGACTCACCGAGCAGTATCGCCAATCCAAACAACGGCTCATGATCATCGATTACGAAGACACGCTAGCCTCTTGGGGATCACCACGCAGCATCATTCTAACTACGCCGCAGCGCGCAATCACAACCCTAAACGACTTGACCGAAGACCCCGCCAACGTGGTCTATGTAATGAGCGCGCGCATGCCAGAGGAAATGGAACGGCTGTTCCGACAAGTCAACAATCTGGGCCTGATTGCCGAGAACGGGTGCTTTGTGCGCGAGCCGAACGCCGATACCTGGACGCACCTTGCAGACAAGCTGCATGTCAAAGCGTGGAAGGAATCCGTATCTAATATCCTGGAATATTTCCACGCCCGAGTCGAGGGTAGCTGGATTGAGGAGCGCCATTGCTCGCTCGTCTTCCACCACGGATCCACCGAAGACCGCCAAGCTGCCGCTCGATCTGCTGCTGAATGTGCAGGCAATATCAACGACGCGTGTGCTAACCAGGATGTGCATGCGATTGCCGTTGAGGGTGCTTTGATCGTGGAGACCACCCACACAAACAAGGCATCTGCGGCTGAACTGGTTTGGAAGTGGTTCATGGCAAATGTCGACAAAAACGAGGATGTCATCAAACCTGATTTCTTGCTGGTTATCGGTGATAACCGTGAGGATGAGCCGGTCTTCCGGTGGGCTAATAAACTGCACAGCGCAAAGGCCGTCGACTATGCTATGACTGTCACATTGGGTTCACGTAGTACGGAGGCTAAGGCTACCCTGACACAGGGAGTTACTGGTAAGTGTTGGATGATATTCAATGGTACTTTAGTTGACTAATTTCCTACAGGCGTTCTTTCTTGTCTGCAACAATTGGCAGCACACCAGGGCCAACCTAAATTGCCATTGCGAGAGTGATCTAGTGATCAATTTGATTTATTTCACAGATTTCCCGGATATGGACATGCGAAGACGAATACACGAAGATAGCAAAACGGACCGGAGTTTTCATTTTCTTTAGCAACTATGATTTGGTGCTGGCATACATCTATTGCGGCGCATTTTTGATCAAGTTGACTTGGTACATACATGGAGGCTCTACAGGAAGACATAATTGCATTGGCATCTTCTAATAATTTCGGGTTAAAATTTAGAAAAGCAGAAGAAAAAAATAAGACTCGAACGTCAGGGAAGTTTCCTGGTGATTCCTTGTGAACAGCTAAATCTCAGTCATTTTGGTAGTCCTCTTAAGAATTGCACTATAAGAGAAGATATGGGTGAAGATCTTGAAATATGTAGTTTCTTAGAAATTGAATGTCAAGCATCTATGAAGGTCAACCTGACTGCAGGCCATCATCTCAAATTCATGGCCAGCGATGTTGGCATATGTGACAAAGAGGGTATAGTAATAATCGTCTCGGAATCCCAGCTGGTCTCGGGCTTCACGTCGGGACGAGCGTTAGCTGCAACATAATCACCTTTCTGTATGGAATGTGATCCAAACCAGGTATCACTCCTCGGCCACACTTGAGTCGGATGGGGTAACTTAGTTACCAGTCAGAATCGCCTCCACCTCTTCCCTATTTTCAGCTTTGATTGCCGCCATGAGGTGTATTCATTTCATTGAGAGTCTTGTATTGACAAGGGGATATGACGCGCCAAACTCATCAGCGTGAAATTTTGAAGAGATGATACAAGTCGAGCAGATGCAAGGGAATGCGTGATGGCGTCAACCTTATCAAGGCTCATGAATCATGAAAGAGTGTCACTGAGCCCCCATCAACGATGCCTCCAAGTCAACCAGGGCCTGTTAGGTGAGCCGACAGACAGACGAAGGGACACTTGGAATGAATTCTCTCTTGTTCCCACGCATGGATAGGTTGTGTCTGGTTACGTCTTAGCAGTGCCGCTGAATACCATCGACGACGCCGGAAAGAATCATGAGCACCGTCGTGAGCCGAATAACACACATAGTCCAGAGGCGTCCGGGTCGACAGGGTCTATCGTGAAGTCTGTTGCCATCGTTGATGATCCTTTGAGCTCAAGCTGCCATTTCCGCCCAATGGCCACGACTTCAATCGAGGAGAATAGGGCAAGTAAAAGTATGCTGAGAATCCTCCAACTCATTGATGGCTCCGAATTTCATTGGTCGCCACAAGGCATATTTGGTTGTGGTGTGAGGTAGGTTTAACTTGGGGGCGGGTGATGTCCCTGTCGATCACCAAGAGCATGTCATGGTAGACTTTAGGTAACTTCGGAAAACTAGAGGACAGCCCTGGAGGCCCGCGACTTGCCGTCAAAAGGCCATACTTAATCGGGCAGACACGCGCCCATTGAACAAGAATAAGGAATAAGATTTGCCTTGACTTTTTAGGTGTAGAGGTCGTGAGATGGGTGTGAGTGAGCGTTCTTTGGATTGCATTTCCTGCTTTCCACTACTATGGCCAGGCATTCACGCGTATTACGTGGTTGTCCAATTTGTCACGCTATAGTTTTGTGCTGTCCACAGCGTCGTCAAAATCTTGACTTTCTTCTGTCGGGGGCCCGGTACTTGGGGGATGTTCCAAGGTTGTCGTCGCTGCCAAATGTGGCGAGATGCCAGGTGGCTAGGATGCATCGCCAACTGAGTACTGTGAGTTCTCAGCTATATAACTCATTGAGAGTATATAAACGAAGTGGATGAGATAAAGAGGAGATAGGTGAAGTTGGAAGAGAGTGTTTGGTAAGAGGTTCTGTCTTTTATATTTTTCTCCTCTAGGAGAGTGCCCTTCTGCCTAAACAGGCAGGCACCAAAATACGGAAATTTCCTATTTTGGCAGTTGTGAGAAGTATGAGCTAAGGATATACTACCCGTGGACATATGTTAGTTATTCAAACTACTTCAAACACATTAAATTTCTCCAATGCCAAAAGCTATGGTTTATCATTAACCCGCACCGCTGCACCTACACAGCGGCCAGGATACCAGATGGCAAAGAGAAGAGCCACTATCGCAATAGGCGCGAATTCAAGACATGCGAAATATACCTCATTGGTTTGCAGCTCTCCCATAAGACCTTGGCCAGTTTCCGCAAGGCGGAAGATAGTTCTCAAATAGACCATGAGGGTCGAAATGGAAAAAGCCAAGCAAAAGAGCCCAAGCCCGTTTTCTCTGATAGCATGTCGAGCTCGAAACTGGAAACTCGCCGCCACGACGACGAAGATAGTCATGACGAACACTTGGTACGCAAGGCCACCCAAGAGGATGTTGTTTGCAGTTGTGGGATCTTCCCGGCGCGACTCTGTAATGCCAATGAGACACGCACCGGCAACTTGGACGATTGTTGAGATGACATCCGAAGTAATGAAGAAGGCCAAGATGGCCCTCGGGGGTAAGATTGAATACTTTCTCCCTACTCGTGGGATCAATGCTGATAGAATGGTGTAGATACCAGCGGCAAGCAATACAGGCGCCACAACGATAAAAAAGTAGTTGAGGATGAAGTAGATGAGGTGATAAGGATCCTTTTCAGCGGAGAGGGATCGTGCAATGTATCCTATCACCTCGAAAATCAGACCGGCGGAAAAGGTCATCCACCACCAGCTGCGGTTCTTGATAGTTTGCGTCGTGTGGTAGACGAAGTGAAGAAAAAACCACGCGGCTGCGAATGCTGCTAGAGCGATAGAAGGTGTATAGCCATAAATGATGATGGGGGTATCCCTTTCGCCGCCCGGGTTTGGAAAGTTGGGATCAACATAGCCATAAGATCGTTCTATTTTCCGATTAGTGATCCGAAATGATGGCCTTGGAGAGCTGCGTTCAAGTGCAATACCTGTGATATGGTGATCCATCTGTTCTGCCCCCAGATTCGCTGCAGAACAGGGCCAGACGGTTTATATGTAGGGAGCACTGACGAACACGCTAATAGTGGAATCTATCTCGTTCTCGTATTCTGGATATTAAATGGAAATGTGATTAGCCCAGGACCCTTTACGTTACGCGAGCTGCCAAGCTCCACCAAGTAATGTCGCGTAGCGGAATCCATGAATATCTTTTGATCGTTTCCCGATCGGACCTATCGCAAGGTCGCATCTATATCATAGGGACCTCCTAACTTCGATCTGGTCTTGTTCGCACAGCCCTCTTACATCACAAATCGCTCTGAGCGCATTTGTTATATTCCTGACTTCAATGTCCATGGAATCTTGGAAAAACTCATGTGTTTATTTAGCCTTGGGAGGGGTGGCTAGTGAGCTGACTCAGCCTCTCGGCTGTCTGGGGGAAAAGCCGAGGTTCGCCGATTGCGATTACCTTGGTATGTGGGGAAATGGTTCTATATCAGCCATATAAATGATCTTGCTAGACCTTTAGACCCTTACATCTAAACCCTGTACATATCAAACACCACAGTCATGTCCACCGTGAACCCATCTTTCCAGGAGGCCATCAAGGTCACTCCACAAGGTCCCAACAAATACAGCGCATTCCTCCGTCCAGAATGGTGCATTGGAACCGGTATAGCAGAACCCATGTAAATCTCACCTCCAATTGACCGAAAGCTAACACCTCGGCAGTCCCGCACGGAGGCTACACAACAGCCGTAATCTACCAACTAACCCTAACGCACTTCGCGCATGCCCACCCAAAGCAATACAAAAGCGCCGCGTCCCCAATCTCAATTCAACTCTCTTTCCTGCGACGCACAGCCTCAGGTCCCGCAACCTTCGAAGTCGAGGACGTCAAGATTGGCGCCCGCACGAGCACAATCCACATCAAGCTACTCCAAGCCTCTGAGAAAAAACCCGGCCAGCTGGACACCATGGTTGCTGGCTATATCACAGTTAGTCCACCGGACGCCGAGGTCGGCATTAGCGCAAACACGGGGTGGAAGCCATACCCTGCACCGGTGGCGGGTTCGCGCGCGGATGGGTCCGTTGATCTCGCAGCGCTAGGCCGGACAGGCACTGACGGTGCCTGGAGGAAGCTCGAGGCGCCTTTCGCGTCGTTCCGTAAGGCTGCGGCGCAGATTGAACTGTTTGGTCCTGGTGCTGGTGAGGCGCAGCAGAAGCGCTCTGGGAATATGGGGATCGAGCAGTGGGCTAGGTTCCGGCCTGGGGGTGATGTGAATGGTCGCTGGACGGAGGCTGCGGTGGCGTATCTTGTTGATATGTTTCCCATGGCGTTAGATGGGTTCGATACTATGTCTGCTACTGCTGCGGCGAAGGAGAGTGGGACTTCGCTTGCCGAGGAGAAGGCCAAATTTTGGTATCCTACTGTCACGCTCAATGTGGATATGAAGAAGCACCTTCCTGCTGAGGGGGTCGAGTGGCTTTATAGTCGGGTTGAGACTAAGGTTGTGAGGGATGGGCGGACGGATCTGGAGGTTACCGTTCTTGATGAGGATGGGGAGGTTATTGCATTGAGTACGCAAGTTGGGTTGGTTGTTAGTGCTAGTCGGAATGTTGGTACTAGGAAGATGGAGAAGTTGTAGACAGTTGTCTGATAGATGTATATACATTCTAAGAATAGATTTTGAGGCTTGCCTTCTTGCTCTATATATAATCCAGCTGGTCAATACTGTATGTGCAAAATCGGGGGTTGTATGTACAGGATCAAAATCCTCATATTCACATTAGGGAAATTGATCCCCAACTCAATGCTTTCCAAGCTTTGAGCTTAGAAAGAAGAGAAAGATGACGCTCACAACTTCGAGTCAGACGTCTCAATCCAAAATGCCATAGCATCAGCCTTGACAACCTTCCTCTTGGCCCACTCCAAATGCCCACCAGCACTCTCCTCATCCTCCTGCAATGCCTGCGCCCGCACCCAGAATTTCTTTCCGACCCTCCCAATAACTCGGGCCTTGACAACCAGCAAAGCAGGTGTAGTCACTCGCTTCTTATATCTGACATCCAATTGTGCAGTAAAGATCTTCCCGCGCGGGTTATCCTCAGCTGTACTGAGTGCCGTGGGCGCGTTGGTATGTGCCGCGACAGCGAGGGACATGGCCTCGTCAATTAGCGTCGCGACAAGCCCGCCGTGCACAGTGGACGGGTGACCAGACAGACCGGGGCTGCTAAGATCGAAGATCATAATAATGTCCGCAGGGTTTACGCCCGGGGTGGGCTTTGTGGCGGATGCGGCATCTTGCTTTGTTGCGGGGAGCCAGGTGGGGACTTCGGTAGGCGCCGGTGTGAGGTTGCGCCGTTGCAGGGTTAGGCAGTGAGGAATTGTGCTAGGTGTGTTGAGGGTTTGTGCGAAGTAGCCATCTTCACCGGTTGTGGGTTTTAGGCGCCGTGAGTCGGTTTCGATTGGTTTGTAGTCGGCTGAAGAGATGAGGTTGTTTGCCCATGAGTTGGTGCGGAGATGCGCTATGGCGGGGGCTGGGTCTGCCATTTAATCTTATTTTAATTTTTTGGGGGGCTGTTGTTTTGATCTTGCAGCTTATATTGCAGTCAATTGGTGTAAGCGTGTAGATAACGGAGCAAGGTGCTTTAGTAGTGCTAGTATATATTAGGGCGTAGGGCGCGGTGTCAACAGCATAATTTAACCTCGGCTCCGGCTATAACGGATCAGGGCAAGATGAACAGTCACGTGGATATATTGGGTCAAATTATTTGGCGCGGTCCAATGAATTTGCGAACCTTGGGAAATTGATTTGCGGTGGAGCGAACATCAAAAGCTTTGAAGGCGTTCCCCTTGAACTGAAGAATATCAATCATGCAGCCAAGCATAGACAATGCATTGTTTCACCTCCCCCCGGCATGTAACCGGTAGTTGACCGTAAGGGACATTAGGAATTCGGGCAGGAATGTGGTAAACAGAAGAACCTTCCAAGGTTGGAACCATCCATGGATAACTTGGAATAAGCGAGTTATCTATAACATAAGGGTCCTGTATCACTTAGCACCCAGCAATCTCCGTTCAGAAGATTCTGATTCGTACGGGTTCTAGCGGCAGGGGCAACTTGGCCTGACTGGGCTTAGTTGCACGCAGCCAAGGACCCTCCAATTTAGGTGGGTAACCTTTTGGCCGACTCTTTTAGGTCAGGCGTATAACTAATATTATCAAAACAAGTAAAACAGGGCCTGTGCAACTGAAATAATTGATCTAGTGATATAACTCTCCACCTGGTATGCCAATTAGGGGGGTTACCCTGGCAAATAGTGTATCTTCGTACCTTAGTATCTTAGTCCCGTAGTATCTGAGTAATTGGGTGCAGGACCCCTAAGGGAAGTTCTTTCCAATTTGGTTTCGAAACCAAAATAAACCTTGGAAATACCTTGGATTAGAGATACAAAGTACCTGCCCATTCTTTGTTTTCTTCCTCTCCTCTCTCCTCTCTCCTCTCTCCTCTCTCTCTCCTCCTCAAATTGCTCTTCTCTTCTCTTCCCCTCTAATACACACAGCATTTCTAATTTATTCATCATGCGTTCTTCTATTATCTTCCTTTCGGCTCTGGCTACTGCCGTCATGGCTGACAATTCCACTGACACTTACACCTTCCCCGCCGGCTTCAATATCGGTTTGGTTTCCAGTTCCCAGCTCAGTATGTACCCCGATCGTCCCTTTAAACAACAGAATGCTAATGAAGTAGGCGACTATTGCTCTGCCCAGCGCAACACCTGCCCCGAGATTTGCCAGCAAGGCACCAAGCTCAACTCGTGTGACCCAGTACGTTGCTAAGTATCACGCCGTATGACCAAGAGATTAACAGTTTGAACAGAGCACCCTGAAGTTCAGCTGTGTCTGCAGCGATGGTTCCACCCCCGACGTGACCCCCTACGCGCAGACCGTTCCTTTCTTCGTCTGCCAGGACACTTATATCCAGTGTGTCAACTCGCACCCCAATGATGCCGAGGGTCAGCGCGCCTGTAAGAAGGCCGCCACTTGTGGCTCCAAGAACGCAAGCGCGGTGACCACCACCGCTTCTACTACGACCATGTCTTCGACTACTCTGGCTTTGGCCACTGCGACCGAGTCGTCCACCACCCAAACTTCCTCCGTGGCTCCCGCCAGCACTACTACCGCCAACGCTGCTGTCGCTCTCGGCGATCTGACTCAGTACTCCACTGGTCTGATGGCTGGTCTTATGTTCGTTGCTGCGCGCATGGTTCTGTAAAGGAACGATGTTCCTCGGTCTTTGGGCTGTTAATCACCCCTTGATGGTTGGGCCGCATAGCGTCCTCTTTGTTGTATTCCCTTTACTCATCGCGATGCCATTTGCTTTTTGTTTTACCTCCGAGACATCCAATTCCCCTCTGAATAGTCTTGACTCATTATGATTGTCCACATGTCTATGAACGTGGCGCCTGTCCTTTCTTGTTTTGCTTCGGGTTGGAGTTCCTTTTTTATCTGCGCAGGTGACGGTTTCGCGCATGAACTATTCGATTAAAAGTAATATCACCAATTATTTCCGACCCATTGAACCAAAAAAAATCAATGTAAGATATATTATCGCGTAAATATTAAATATTTCACCGAAATAAAAGATTCGAAATGAAGTAAAAGAAGAGTAAGGCAGAGATCAGTCGAGATGTTTCAACTGTGGTGTTCCTTTCGCCAAGACTTTTTTTGGCACACACTGAAATTTCTCAACTTATCGATAGACTCCACCATCAAGAACTTCACGTTCTCTCTTCCTCTCCTTTCCCACATCCAACATCATGCCCGCCCCTACCAATACCCTCCTCATTGAGGGTTCCTTCTCCGAGCTCGCCGACGAGTTTGCCCAGTACATCGATGCCCTCCGCAAAGAGGGTAGCCTCCAGTCCGAGATCGCCCCGCTCCTCGAACCTCTCCGCCAGCAGGAACAGTCTGAAGGCGAGGCCGACCTTAAGCAGCGCGATGAAGTTCTGAAGAAGCTTGTGTCCTCTGCGACCGCTCTGAACAGTGCCCCCGAGAAGGGTAAGTGGGCGAAAAGTGTCGACAAAGAGTGATCTGCAGATAGTCGGAATCTGGCTGCACTTGGATCTTTGATGGACAAAAACTAACATAGATTTACAAAAATTCAGAGATCACCTCCGCCTACAACCTTCTGGTCCATCTCGTTCACCAGTCTTCCGACGCCGACGTGTTCCTTCCTCGCATTTGCACTTATCTCGCTAAGCCCATCACCACCTCGCCTCAGTTCGGCCCTACGCTCGCCATCTCTATTCTCACCACCATTTTCAACACTCTGTCTTCCAAGGATTCGAGCCGGTACCACGTTCTTCTCGCTGTTGTTGCCGTGATCCGCCAGTCTGGATCTGGAATTGCCTTCGAAGCCCTCAAGCCCCAGCTCACTTCGCAGCTCCCCACATGGCTCTCCGCGTGGGAGTTGGACAGCGATGACACCCGGAAGTTGCACATTGCCATTGCTGAGGCCGCCACCGCTGCCGGTGATGAGGATTTGGCCCAGACTCACACCGTGCAAGCGCTCGAGACCATCGACGCTGCCGACGTCAGCAAGCCCGAAAGCCGCGAGTTGGCTGTGCGCGCACTCGCTACTGCTCTGCGTCGCTCCACCGTCTTCGACTTCACTCCCTTGACCGCATCAGACGCCGTCCAGGCCCTCCGCTCCAGCGACAGCGCTCTCTTCGAGCTGCTCGAGATCTTCACCTCGGACACCCTTGACGCCTACGAGACCTTCGTCGCTGCCACCCCGCTCGCTTCCATCTCTGGCGGTGTGCTCGCCGAGTCCGCCGATGCCCTGCAGACCAAGATGCGTCTCCTCACTCTCACCTCGCTGGCATCCTCCACTCCTTCGCGCTCGCTCCCCTACGCCACCATCGCCTCTGCTCTGCGCGTCCCCGCCTCCGATGTCGAGATGTGGGTTATCGACACCATTCGTGCCGGTCTCGTCGAGGGCAGACTGTCCCAACTGAAGTCCGAGTTCCTTGTGCACCGCGCCACCTACCGCGTCTTCGGCGAGAAGCAGTGGTCCGAGGTCCAAGGTCGCCTGATGGTTTGGCGCCGTTCCCTCGAGAACGTTCTGAGCGTGATCCGCTCCGAGCGTGAGCGTTTCGCCCGCGAGGGTATCCAGGCCGCGGCTGACCAAGAAGCCAACGCCAACCGCAACGGTAACGGTGACCGCCGACGCATTCAACCCGCGCAGCCCCAGGCGCGTGAGGTTGAGGCTACTGCCGAATAGATGTGTCCTTTTTTTTAATGAATGGAAAAGTTCACAGCACACAAAAATCTTTCAGTTAATAGAGGGGAAATCTCGCTGTCTTTTCCTCATGCATTTCTTTTTCCCTGGCCAATTGTAGGGTTGGATTTTTACTGCCCCCCCGTTGGATGTTTTGGGACCCCACGAGTCATGTCATGTCAATCTTAGTCTTGTTTATGTTTTCCGGAGGGATGACTTTTCTTTTGTTCTATTTTTTACTCCGGCTTAAAGAATATTATATTTCTTTAGACTGGTCATGGTTTATATCCGTAGTCAACCGACAACTTCATTGGTTTCAGGGGGGGGGCCAAGCATCCATCTAAACAAGAAGCTCAAGTTTAAAAATGCTTAAATTCTTCTATGCACCCGAGGTCTATTTTCAAGTCGGAAGGAAATCACACAGCTCTCCCCCTAAGATTGACCCCCAACTCTATATACATCGATATACAAACACAAACACCCGGCTTAGCGACGGTGCAATCCACGAGCCTCGATACCGGCCTTAACCTGCTCATAGACCTCCTCAACTGAGCTATCAGCCTTAACCGAAACAACCTTATCCTTCTTCTGGAAATCATCAACAACAGGCATAGAAGTCTCAACAAAAGTATGGAAACGCTTGCGAATAGAAGCCGCGTTATCATCATCACGACCACTAGTCTCACCACGCTTCAGCAATCTAGCCTCCATGACATCCTCAGGACAATCAAGGAACAGGACAAGCTCAGAGGGACAAACAGTCTCCTCGAAGAAAACAGCCTGGTCGAGCTTGCGCGGGAACCCGTCAATCAAGAAGCGGGCCTTGGTGCCAGCCGTAGGGGGCGAAGTGGCCAGCGAATCGGCCATGGCATTTGAAAGCAGCGCAACGGTCACTTCCATAGGCACGATCTTGCCCTCGCGGATGTACTCGCGGATCAGCTCGCCGTACTGGCTGCCTTCGCGGACTTGTTCGGCGCGCAGGAGGTCGCCAGCGGAGAGGTGGACGAAGCCGTAGTCTTTGACGAGGTTCGCGGATTGTGTTCCCTTTCCGCTGCCTGGGCCGCCGAGGAAGAAGACGACTGTTACGTCGTTTGTGGAGAAGCGGGGGGTGGACATTGTGGGTGGTTGGTTGTGTTGGGTGGTTGGGAGGTTGAGGGAGGTGAGGTGATGTTAAAGGGGGTTTAGGATTGTTGTTTGTGGGGGGTTGTGTCGGTGTGCGTGTGGAGGGGCAGCACTTGACTTGAAACGGAAGTTAGTTGGGGGGGCTTTTTTCTTGTACGGGCTAGGCCTTGCTTACTTCAAGCTAGTTTGGGCGTGGGGTGTGAACGTTGGTGCGAGTCTTGACGAGGTAGGCGTAGGCGCCGGAGCTGATGGCGGTTATAAGGATGATGGGGATGATTGGGAAATTGGAGCGGCTGGTTTGAGGGGCGGAGGGTGCGCGTGGCGGCGAAGATCTCGGAGCGTTCGAGTACAGGCGGTGGGGTACCTGGGTCGATCGGGTGAATTTCTGGCTGGTGAGGACTAGAGGCTTGGAGCGGACTCCGGAGAATTGACGGGCTAGAGAGAACATAGAGGCAGAGGTAGGCTTGTGGTTGTTGAAGAGGGAAAAAGAAAAAGGAGTTGGGATCGCCGAAACGGGATTAGCTGCTGATCTGTATACCTCGATGCGGTTGTGTACAACTTACACGTGTGTACGCCTTCGGCTACAGCTTCAGTGGCAAGTGATATTAGGTAAGGCTAATAACTACTTCATATCTATACATAGCCAATAGAAATGCACAAAGTCTATATTAAGATTGGCTACGGTTTCTTCCCCGGCGATAGGCATCATCATTCACGCACCTTGCGTAATCCCAATGGTCACCTTCTATATGTCGCCTTGATATAACAACTTAGATCCTATAATTATATGCATATAATTTTATTGGATCCAAGGATGTCTTTGTGTTAGGCTGCTTAAAAAGCTTTCCCTGAAACAAGAGTTGTCACTCACACTTACTATATATATCTAAACTTATAAGCGACGCATTAAATTTTAGTTGTGGACGCAACTAAGTGGCAAGAACCAATTTACCAAGGTTTTAATTCAGACTCTAGGGCTTCAAGAACAACTACTTTTCGAGGGAGGTTCAGACCAAATGGACACCGAAGTCAAGATTTCGACACTGGGGGATCGTGATTTGTTTGTTGATGGGATTGCAAACTAGGGTTGGAGAATCATATATCGGTGTTACGTACAAGACCAAAGAAGCTTCCGAATTGAACTAGATGCAGGTTGAATTCCTATTTAAGAAATATCCAATATAGATAGATGTTGTACAATGAAGGAACAAGGTACATTTGAATTAGGTTGGTTCAGAACAGATCAAGGGGTCAACCATATGAAACTCAGACCTGAAATCATTCCAAGGGTATACCTTGTTACGTGCATAGTATATATGTAACGCTCAAGCTTCAGCTTTTGCATAGAATAGTCCTCTGATACAATAGTTCGAGGCTATTTACCATTGTTACCCTAGGTACAGAGTAGAGGGGGTTGATTTCAGGTTGCACTATGTCTCAGGGCAAAATGCACTGTCCACGTAGTTCCAACCTTTAGTACCACCCAACTTTTAGGATCCGGGGTAGTATCCTCCATTTAAGATATCTCAAACTAGTGCAGTCTGTGTGGTATACCAATAACAAGAAATACGCCGGGATATGTTTCCAGCGTTTACCATGCATGTTGCCATCTCTATAAGTAGTTCAGAAACCAGTCGATTCCTTTATTTAAGATTGTCAACTCCTTTAATCGACAAGCATTTCCCTTCATCCTATTATTGATGGTCTCCATTACTGAGCGGGCATAGTTACTGCCCAATCGTGGCTAGACGGTGTTTGATGAAGTCCACAACTATCTGATTGTAATTAAATATGTAGCGGTGGTGTGCGGCATTGCCGTCTTCGGGGTATGGCGAACAGCATTGAGCATCACCGTAATCACAATAGCTTTGTATTGAGCTAGCAAAGGGTCCACACAAGGCCGAGTTTAAGCGGGGAAGGAGCTAATCCATTGACTTTAGATTGAAATTCTGCACTCGAATCTGGGGTTCGTAGTACTCACCCCTATACCCAGTACGCAAGTACCCACATTCCATGGCATGCCAGCAATGTATGTCTCATCACCATATGCAATCGCAGCTATGACTAGATATTTGCTCAGATTTGAGTTTTTTGACACATGCCGCGAAATCACGTACTAGTCGAGTTGTAGAATGGCGTGAGAGGGGTGACGAAGAAAAATCCAACCTCACTGGTTCCGCACAGAGAATCCATCATGAGAACTGCTCCCTAGTTGTGAATAAATAAACCTTAGCATTTTGCGTCGTTGATTGCCGGAATCCAAGGACAGAATGTCACATGTAAGTTTGATATTGACACACCATTGAATATCCCACTACCACAATCTTAGTTTGGGGGCAGCTTTCGCTGTACTCCTGCACAAACTGCTGCATTAAAACCGCTCCATCGTGAACGGTGTGCATTTTGGCATAGTCAGTTAAGACGTTTTCATGGTCATAGGGTAAGCCGAGGGTTGTCGAGCCCGGAATCTGCTCCAAGATCAGGTCTGAAAGAGTGCTCATTACATTCAAATCATCGCCCCCGCCTTGACCCCTAGCAATAATGGCATGAACGCTCGTCGCACACTCATCTTTAGACACAGACTGCGCATGGGTATCGGTCAACCTCAAGATGAGAGCTAACAGCGCCCAAGCGATCTTCACGATTACGCCACCCATTGTGTAGAGTTTGAAGTCACACGTGAGATCCGAGGGTCGTTGATGATTTGTAGAGGAAATACCGCCACCATTAGACCTTCTGCCTTGTTGCTTCTTTTTTATAACTTCGGCGTTGAACCGGGAATGCTCGACTTTGTTGACCGTTGCTTTATTAACCCCCCGAGCCGACGTAGTACCGTTACTTCAGTGAACTGGCTAGGCCGTGGTCTGATGTAGTGTTTGTATGTGATTGGCATTGTTTTGAATTCTAATAGTAGGTGATAATATGAACAACATTCATCTTTGCTGTTTCTCGTACATATTCGGGTTAGAGTATGGAGCCAGACCTTTCGAGATTGCGATCCATGACCTTAGCCTGCTATAGCTCAGCTTAAGTGTCGTCTAAAATTTAAGCGTATGATTTTGGCTTGATTTTAGAGGTCGGTATTTGAGCTGGAGCTCTATCGGCTAGAGTTTCCAGAATTTCGAGAACGGTAATACACCCGAGGAACCATACCAGTGCCTTGGGAGAGTGAAATCGTAGTGGGCAAGTTTCCCCTTGCGACGTGAGTTATGTTGGGTATAATTTTATTGCTCGGAGGAGCTACAATAACAGTGGGTGGGTAGCACACCATCCTAATTGGGCGATGTTCAGGTCGGGGCTTCACTCTATCAAGGGAACAGGAGGCAATGCGATATAAAATTTGGCGAATAACTATATATCTCAAGGTTCAAAATCTAACTATCTTGCAAAGTATGGTCTTTGAGAATCTGGAACAGCTCAGGCCCGAGTTTGTGTATGCTTCAACGGGCCTTTTGCTGTCTCACTGCACACAGAAGGGCTTCGTGCTTCCCCTGAACTATGGCCTCGATTACGCTTGATACGCTCTGTCGATTAAATCTCTCACGGCATTTCCCAACTCTGCGATGACCAGACCGGAGCGAGGAATGGTGTGGCCCCGTCCAGTGTCGAACATTGCTGCGGTATTAGGGTCACAAATGTTGAACAAGGCTAGTGCGCCGTATCGGTAGGGGTCTGTGCCAATGACACATAGTGAGTATATTGTTTGAATGGTGGCAATGGATATCAGAATTACCATCTGCACCAACCACATGAAGCGTCGGAATGTTTAGAGTATAATCACTCTCATCTGCTAGGATCACGTCCTCCTCGGGGGAGAGAGGAGGCCAACCAGTGAAGAAAATCGCGCACTTGATGCGACGCGGACGGCCAGTCTCCTGAGCCTTTCTATCCTCATCCAGGATTAGACTCCCAGCCATCGTGGCACCCTCACTATATCCGACGATGCCTTCGATATCGGGGTTCTTTTCCAATGTATCATAGAGGTACTCCATGACTTGATGGTGATTGAGCCAACGGCCATCCCAGCCCTTGCCCAAAGCTCTCATCACATCTTCAGGACTCGAACCATGCGGAGATTTTCGAACACGAGAGATCATTGAGTCCTCTGCTACTCCTCCATCCTCTAACCACCGGTAGTGCGGGCCGATACCAAAATATTCCGTGAACCCTAGAGAGCGTCGGCTTTTATCAGCGTTTGAGCTCGCGGGGATCGTACCTGCCGGTGGAGACACAGGAACAGGACCGTTGATATAGTGGAATGAAGCGAACCCGTCCATGGCCATTTGCTTCACCAGTGGATCTGCAATATTGTCAGTGAATCCTCGTTTCGAATCCTCATTCTCAATTGATACTTACCAAGCTGGATGTTAATATTCTGGGATAGAGAAGTTAGTACTGATGTCCATCATAGTGTCTCCCATCACCTACGTCGATGTTGCCAATAGCACCATGAAGACATAAGAACCTCATCTTGTATCAACCTGCAACGAAGTGGTTGGGGAATGTATGGTCTGGGCCCATATACTTTGGGGAAAAGGGGGGAGAAGCAACGAGCAAATATAGACATCAATATTGAACATATACTATATGGAAATGGGTAAATCATCGCTCGGGCTGTACAAGCGGCATAAAGCAAATGAAACAAAAACACGGGATTTCCGCCGAGCATCAACTTCCCAACTACAAACAAAGCAATTTTCTATGTCGAATAATGTGGGACGGTACAACATTTCGTTCAAACCCGCCAATTCGGGAATAACCACCGATCACCCAATGCTAGCAGAGCATCGATGGCCCGGAGCAGAGATAGCTTCATTCAGCTGTACACCCCCAAAATAACCCGCGTTGGGAGTGCTAGGGTGGGGTATTTGCAACGCTATATAATGCACCATAGTCATCTAGCCAGCCAACTTCCCCTATGTCGTTGATGTGGCCCCCGGAAATTCTTTAGACTCGCCTTACAATTTCACCTTTTGCGTTTTTCACCATGACAAATATGAACGGTGGTGATTCTGAAGGTGAGCCTCCTGGCGAGCAGGGCACGCCCCAACCTATTGCTATCATCGGGTATGCCTGCCGGCTGCCGGGGCAAGTTACATCTCCCAGTGACCTATGGGAGCTCTGCACCCGAGCTCGAAGTGGCTGGACACCCATCCCCAAAGACCGGTTCTCTGTCGAAGCATTTCACCACCCTAACCCGTCCAAAGTTGGTTCCTTCAACCCGAAGGGAGGCTACTTCCTCGACGAGGACATTGCACGCTTTGATGCTCCCTTCTTCAACCTCACCGTTCAAGAAGCTACATCCATGGACCCTCAGCAGCGCTTGCTGTTGGAGTGCGCGTATGAAGCTTTGGAGAGTGCTGGAATCCCCAAAGAGAGTCTTGCCCGCCGAGACGTGGGCGTCTTTGCTGGTAGTAATTTCTCTGATTACGAGCTAAATAACGTCCGTGATATCGAGACTATCCCCATGCACCAAGCTACTGGGTGTGCAGCCTCACTGCAGTCCAACCGTATCTCATACTTCTTCGATCTACGAGGGCCCAGTATCACAGTGGACACGGCTTGTTCTTCTTCGCTTGTTGCACTCCACTATGCAGTACAGAGCTTGCGAAGCGGGGAATCCAAGGAAGCTCTCGTTGCTGGTTGTCACCTTAACCTTGTACCAGATATTTGGGTTTCTATGTCCATGTCACAGTGAGTATTTCCGTTTTCTCCAAACCAAGCTCAGACAAATCATCTGACTGTATGTCATTATGTAGGCTGTTCAATGATGAGGGTAAAACCTTCTCCTTCGACGAGAGAGCTACATCTGGTTTTGCGCGAGGCGAAGGCTCCGGTGTCGTAATCCTGAAACCCCTCGATGCTGCATTGCGCGATAAAGATCCCGTCCGTGCTGTGATTGTACATTCGGGAGTCAATCAAGATGGGCGAACACAGGGAATTACGCTGCCAAATGGCCAGGCTCAGGAAGAGCTAATTCGGCGGGTCTATAGAGAGGCCAACATCAACCCGGACGAATGCGGGTTCGTAGAAATGCATGGAACTGGAACAAAGGCCGGTGATCCTATCGAAGCTACAGCAGTTCATGCAGCACTTGGAAATAATCGGACTCCGACGAACCCGCTTTACATTGGATCAGTCAAATCCAATATTGGACACTTGGAAGGTGCCAGTGGAATTATTGCCATCATTAAAGCAGCCATGATGCTTGATAGAGATTTGATGCTTCCGAATGCCGAGTTCAAGAAAGCGAATCCTAACATTCCTATGAGCGAGTGGAATATGAAAATCTTAACGACGACGCGGCCCTGGCCTTCTCGCATGAAATACCTTAGCGTGTCCAATTACGGTTTTGGGGGAACCAATGCACATGCCGTTCTTGAAAAGGCACCATTGACATCCAAAGCCCCAGATGGAGCTGTTGAGGATGTTGACATGGACCCTAAACGCAAGTTGTTTTTGATCTCTGCCAACGACAAGGAGTCTCTACGAACTAGGATCAAAGACTTTGGCATTTACTTCGAACAACATCCAGAGGTCTTTGAAAAGACTCTATTCGGCAACTTTGCTTATACTCTAGGCAACAAGATGTCCCAACTCTCGTACCGTGTTGGTGTATCAGCTACCTCGCTAGATGATCTTGGAATCCGTCTTGCCCAATTGAAGATCAATCCATCCAGGGTTTTAGGCTCCCCAATAGTCTCGTTTGTCTTCACTGGTCAAGGGGCCCAGTGGGCACAGATGGGTGTTCCCCTTATGCATGAGTACCCTGTCTACGAGTCGGCCATCAAACGAGCTGATCAATGCCTACGGGATCTTGGAGCTGAGTTTTCACTGATCGAAGAGTTGGAAAAGGATGTTACTATCTCCGAGATTGACTACCCTTATCTGAGTCAACCGGCCTGCACAGCGCTTCAGATTGCGTTAGTCAATCTCCTGGAATCTTGGGGAATTCGTCCCGCTTCAGTCGTTGGCCATAGTTCTGGAGAGATTAGTGCAGCCTACGCTGCGGGGATTTACGACTTGGAGGGAGCTATAGCTCTGGCTTACTGGCGTGGTCAAATGACCTCCTGGCTTAAATCCTCGTTCCCGTCTCTTAAAGGCGCCATGATTGCTGTTGGAACCAGTCGCGAGGCTATCCAGCCTATTTTGAAGGCCCTATCTGGTTACGCCACCGTCGCTTGCGTGAACAGTCCCTCCAGCGTGACCGTGTCTGGAGACGTGTCCGCAATTGACGGACTTGAAAGTGTTTTCCAAGATAAACAGCTTTTCAACCGAAAATTGAAGATTGACGTTGCCTACCATTCCGACCACATGAAGAAGGTTGCTGAGGCTTACCTCACTGCCATTCAAACCATTGAGCACTTCCCATCGGCAACAGCCTCATTCTTTTCTTCTGTCTTTGGACGCTTGATGGAAGCTTCAGAGCTTGGTCCAGAATACTGGATTTCTAACCTGACATCACCGGTGTTGTTCTCTGATGCTCTTGGCAAGATTGTGTCGGACGATGAAACACGACCCAACCTTCTTGTTGAAATCGGTCCACACTCAACACTAAAGGGCCCTATAATGGATAATCTAAAAAGCTTGGGCTCCACCGTCTCCAAGATTGCATATACACCAACAATTATTCGTGAAGTGGATGCAGCTAAGTCAGTCTTAGATACCGCTGCTGCTGCCTACATGCGGGGCGCTACACTCAACATGACAGGAGTGAATTTTCCCAAGACCAGTGCGGCAAACCGTTGGTTCTTGAGTAACTTGCCTCGCTACCCTTGGCAACATGGAACTCGGTACTGGCACGTTGCCCGTATCTCACAGAAGCATAGGATGAGAGACCGCGCCAGGAATGATGTCTTGGGAGTATTGGCAAACTACTCAAATGATCTGGAGCCGACGTGGCGGAATATTATCCGCTTAGATGAGATTCCCTATCTCCGGGACCACAAGATGCAGGGGATGGTCGTATACCCCATGGCAGGCTATGTGAGTTCAATGAATGCCCAATTTATCTAAATTATACTTACTGACTGTCCAATAGTTGGTAATGGCCATTGAGGCCGCTCGAAGACTCGCAGAGCAAGCTGATATCCAAATCTCCCAATTTGAACTGAGGGAGGTCATTGTGGGTTCGGCGCTTGTGCTCAGTGATGACACAGATGCAGAGACCACCATTACTCTCCGCCCCTACGCTGAAGGTACCCGTGGATCATCCGATATCTGGGATGAGTTCCGTGTCTGTTCATGGACCTCAAAAAGAGGATGGACAGAGCACTGTACTGGGCAGGTGCGGGTTCGCTCCGATCCGAAACAGCAGGCGGCTACGATATCGAGCCCATTCGAGACTCAAACCACCCACACGAAAGCTCAAATCGCGAGAATTCAGGAGGCGGCTACTCATCACCTCGATATGTCCCACATGTACCAGGTCCTTAGTGATCTAGGAGCTGGGTATGGTCCCATCTTCCAAGATATTGATAACTGCTACTCCAGCCCTCATCACTCGTTTGGCGATCTACATGTTAGGGATACCCGCAGTGTCATGCCGAAGGGATTTGAGCCTCCTTTGACTGTCCACCCATCATTCCTCGACGGGCTTCTACATTTTGCTTGGCCCCTCCTTGGCCAGGGCTTGGGCCGAATGGACCTGGACACACTTTACATGCCGACAATGATCAAGCGTGTGACAGTCGGCCTCAATGCCCCAACTACTGCTGGTGAATATCTTAAAGGTTATTGCAGTGGCAGTTCCAGCTTGCCTTTCCCTGCGCCGACCAAATTCAACCTTTTTGCTACCCCAGAGGGCTCTACAGAGCCCATAATTACAATAGATGGTTTGGTAATGACTCCTCTCAGAAATCCAGACATGCACCGTGAAGAAACTCGCAAACTGTGCTATAAAATTGATTGGCACCCCTTGACCGAGGTTGAAAATGCCGTTGAAGGAGATGATCAAGATCGCAATAGCCCTGCGGAATATTGTGGCCACACCGACACCCCCGGGGACGCAAATACGAATGGAAACACAGAACAGAAAGGCAACGCGCACGCAAATGGAGATCATATCAAACCCAATCACGATCTCTTCATCACTCACTTTGGAAAAGCTGATGGTATTGCTGATAAATTGAGAATTGCACTGTCTGACACATCCGGCCGGCAGGTGTCCATCGGAACCTTTGGTAAAATGGACTTCTCTCAAAAGTATCTTGTTCTCCTTCAGACTGGAGCCAGCTCTCTACGATATCTCACCAAAGATGTATTTGAGGAGCTCAAGAAGGCGCTGTTCAAAGCTCAAACTGTGCTCTGGGTGTACCGGACTGATTCTCCAGATGCTCAAATGACAGTCGGATTGGCTCGCACCTTACGCTCGGAGACCTTGGCTAGGATAGCTACTCTTGGGTTGGCTCCTGTGGACATCGAATATTCCGAGAAGCCTATTCAGGCAGCCATTAGTGCTCTATGGCCCACCGACGGGAAGCAGCGCTCAAAAGATCTCGAGTTCAAGGCTAAAGGCTCGGAGCTCTTTGTCCAACGCATAGTAGAAGATGATGCTGCTAATAGTTTCGTCCACAATGAGACCCACGATATGACAATCTCAACCCAACCATTCAGTCAGCCCGGGCGACGCTTCAAGATCCAGATCGGCAACCCAGGTGCTCTCGATTCCCTCTACTTTGTAGATGACACTCCCTTACCACTCAGCGAGGACCAGATCGAACTTCGAGTCAAAGCAAGCGGTCTGAACTTCAAAGATATTGTGGTCTCCATGGGCCAGCTTGCCCAGTCCTATATTGGAATTGAGTGCAGTGGTGTTGTTTCCAATGTAGGATCAAATGTGAAGAATTTCAAGGTTGGTCAAAGAGTCATGGCCATGTCGGAGGGCTGTTTCTCAACCTACGCACGATGCGCTGCCACTAGCGCCGCGGAAATCCCAGGCGACATGTCATTCGAGGTCGCAGCCACAGTGCCAGTTGTATTCTGTACTGCATACTATTCTCTATTTGACCTAGGTCAGCTGAAAACCGGCGAGCGGGTTTTGATCCATGCCGGTGCTGGTGGTGTCGGTCAAGCCGCCATAATGCTAGCGCAGATGATAGGTGCAGACATTTTTGTTACAGTCGGAAGCCTCGACAAGAAACAGTTCTTGATGACCCAGTATGGTATTCCCGAGGGCCGCATCTTCTATAGTCGTGATGCATCCTTTGCTCGCAGCATCCGCAGAGCAACTGGCGATGTTGGCGTGGATGTCATCGTCAACTCCCTAGCAGGTGATCTATTGCGCGAGACTTGGGAGTGTCTTGCGGCGTTTGGACGATTTGTCGAGATTGGCAAGGCCGATATCACGAAAAATACCCGCCTTGACATGCAGCCTTTTGAGCACAACGTCACATTCTCGTCGGTTGATCTTACTAAGGTTGGAAAGTTCAAGCCGCAGCTGATGAAACGCCTCCTGTGTGACGTTTGTCGACTAATTACTGAGGGATCGGTTCATCCTGTCCTTCCACTCTCGATCTATCGGATTTCTGATATCGAGAAGGCATTCCGTACTCTACAGATCGGCAAGAGTATGGGTAAAATTGTAATGGTTCCCCATGAAGGTGACCAAGTCAAGGCAAGCAGCACCACCTTACCCGTGATCAGGTATTAAGTCTAATCCTTCATTTTTTAGGCTGTGGCCCCCAAGACCAGTCCCACTCTCTTACGACCTGATGCATCATACATTTTGATTGGTGGTACTGGCGGTCTAGGCCGAAGCATCGCCAAGTGGATGTCCTCGAAGGGTGCAAAGAACATTGTTCTTGTGTCTCGCCGAGCCACGATTAATGAAAGGGTCCAAGCTTTGATTGATACCTTAGCTCCCCTAGGAGTGCGGATGGTGGTTAAGGCTTGCGATGTCAGCAGCCAGGAGTCTGTCGAGGCTCTGGTTAACGAAGATATGAAAGACCTTCCCCCTATACGTGGTATCATTCACGGTTCGATGGTGCTTCGTGTACGTTTTCTACTCTAAGAACCTATCTACATTATCTAGCTTTAATTACTGACTCTCTTTAGGATATGCTCTTCGAAAACATGTCTCTCGAAGACTTTACGGCCGTAGCACGCAACAAGGTAGAAGGAGCTTGGAATCTGCACAACACGCTGATAAATTCCCCGCTAGATTTCTTCATTGCCCTCTCATCAGTGGCCGGCATAATCGGCAATCGCGGACAAGCAGCATACTCCGCAGCAAACGCATTCCTGGATGGATTCATAGAATACCGCAAATCCATTGGTCTTCCGGGAACATCAATCGACCTCGCTGCAGTCAGCGACATCGGCTATCTAGCCGATACCGACGCCCAGCGACGCCAGGAAGTACTGAAGAATATTGGCGGCCAGACCATCGACGAGTCGGAAGTCCTGGCGCTGATAGCAGCCGCTCTGACGGGTGATCTCGACAAGTCCTGCTCTGGGCAGTGCATCACGGGATTGGGAGTGGATTCACTCGAGAACAACTTCTGGATCCAGGACGCGAGGTTCAGCGTGCTCCACGAGGCTGCTAGAGGTACACTGGGAAGCAGTTCGCAGAGTGACGGCCCGTCTGTGCCGCTGCACGTCACTTTGTCGGCTGCCTCATCCAAGGAGGAGGCTTTGAAAGTATGCTACGAGGCGCTGGCCGCAAAGTTAGCACAGGTGCTTGTTCTCTCCTTGGAGGATATGGATCCCTCGATTACAGTGGTTTCGTTGGGTCTTGACTCGCTGGTTGCTATTGAGATCCGTAACTGGATTGCCCGTGAGGCTAATGCCAATGTGCAGGTTCTGGAGTTGTTGTCCAGTGGCAGTTTGATGGCCTTGGTTGAGATTATCCTCAACAAATCTCAGGCTTATACTCGCACTGAGTAAGAGGATTATAGCTTGGAGTGATGCGGCGGTATACGAGCCGTTGGACTTTATGTACATTTTATATGTCATGTCCTGAATATTTGCAAATTGTTATCATTCGAGATTTACAAGCTACACCATTTCTCTTTGTTACACTAGACAGACTGGATGTACTCCGTACAACAGTAACCATTTCGATGTACAACATAGGTCAATTCTCTGTAGCCGCGTGTTCCACTGCCAATGCTAAGGATATTGTTTTCGATCAGGATACGGAATATGGGTACAATCCTGTTGTCTCGGTTGTTTCTGTTGACGGCAGGAGTGTCACCAAGGGCGTGATCTGGTATATTATTACTATTGGATTGATATGAGTGTTCCTCAGACTGATTCGTGAATATGAGATTGGAAATTCGGGGATCCTAGTTGATTGATTATAGCAGATTCATGGGTATGGTTATATTGTATTATAGATATTAGGTATGGCTGCTGAGCAAAGCCACTTTGCCTACCAGGAACTCGAGTTATAGAAAATCAAAAACTAGAGAATTGTCAGTGGGAATGGTATAAAGTATGTGACCTGCAGATGAGGTGTAGGTTTGTAGAGCAATTAGCAGGAGTATAATAGAGCCAGTTCATGTCATAGGGAACTTTAGAGACACAGGCCTGATTCCACATAGAGGCGAAGCAAAGAAGAAGGCACTAGCTCGGGGAATAGCCGAAAAGAATGGACAAAATCAAATCTGCCTCCTTGAATTTGAAGAAACGTAGGACCCGTTAATTAAAATGAAATGAATGAGACCGAACTCCATGACCAAACACCCAACAAAAAACCATATTGAGAGACCCATGTGGATTCCAAGAACCAGAAACTCCTTGTTGATGCTAAACGATTCGACTGTTGAAAGGGAAAAGGCAAGGAAGAAAAACGCTCTCTCCACAACTCCCCTCCGGGAATGCCCATGCAGATGAGAAAAAAAAAAAAGGGAATGGAAACCCGTCACATATCATGAGCCGACGGACCGATGGACATGGTTAAAAAGAAAATCACAGTGAAAGAGACAGCCAGAGATCAATACTCAGCGTTGGGTTCATGCATCACTCCTGTTAACTAGCAGGTTTATACCTGAGTGGATTTTTCAGCAACGTAGACAGCCACCGCGACTGCCGCACCGAGAATGGCGCTTTCAGGCGCTGGGTTGAGACGGATGGTGCATCCGGCGCCTGGATACGTTTCCTCAGTCAACTGATTGAGATAGTTCTGGCAGGCAGCACGGAAGCCAGGGTACTTATTGATGACGGCACCATCGCAGGCAATAGAAAGGTTTTTGTCTGAGTCTCCGCTCTCGATGACCGTGATTTCAGGTGATTCCTTATCGAGAGAGTCGACAGTGGATGAGGATGCGGGGAATTCTGCATCGTTGCGAAGGCACCACATGCTGTGGATGGCTGTCGCCAGGTATCCAGCAGCACGGCGGGAGACTGTCTGAGAGATGCGGCGCAGGAACCGCAGATCTTCGACAGAGGGTTGGCTGTGAAAGGTATGGTGCTTTTGCAGGACAGCGGCGGAGGTGGAAAGAGAGGCAGAGGAGTCCTCCTCGAGGCAGGCGACGATGCTTGTGTCGAAGGAATAGGGTTCACGCATGGAGTTTGGTAGGTCGCCGCCAAATAAGCGGGCGGTCTCGGTTGCCTCGACGATGATTAGACGCACAAGCTCGCCTAGGTACCGACCTGTGATCATGTACTCAAGCGGCTGGTAGTCGGGACGAAGATGCGTGCGGTTCAGTACGTCATCCCATCGTGTCATAGGCAGCACGCCTCCACCGAACATACTCATCTCGGTGTTGATGAGGACATGCTTAGCGTGGTCGAACCAGCCCTCCGGACGGACTCCGAACTTGGACGTTCCAATCTCATGCACGGGGAAATGAATCGCCATGTTGGTACCGGTACCCAAAATTAGAGACATGCGGGTCTTGGGATCAACATAGGCACGCGACAGTAGAGCTGCCGAGCTATCATTCACAATAGCGGCAACCTCTACGTTCAAATTGCGCTTGCGACAGGACCGGATAAGGAGATCACCTAGTTCCTGGCCTACCGTGCCATTGGAGGCCTTGAAACCCTTGCCCATATGGATCACCAACCCGCTGTTGTGGGACGTCTGTTCAATGGGGAAAGACCAGGACAATCCCATCCCCAGCGGTACATCACCACGCCCGTAGTCTGTTCCAACTTCCTTCAAGATGGTCTCAATCTGCCCTGCCATCCAATCGAAGAACTGTGTCCCTTCCAGCATCTTGAGTTGTTCATCAATGTGTACAGACGACACTTTCAAGATGCGCACTTCCTCATCCCGGCCATTCAATTCAATCAAAGCTACGCGAAACGTCGATCCGCCCACGTCCAATGCCAGATATGTGCCCTTTTCCGTGCCAGCGGGAAGCGCAGTATCGTAGGATGGAAGCATGCAGAATGGGCTAGTTTGTAAACATTCTCGGAACTGTGTGCGAATCTTCTCGGACATGTCGACCATGTTGCGCGTTGAAAGCGGCGTCGAGCACGAGGTCTCCACTTCTTCGGCGAAGTCATCGAGGCTGCGGCGTTTCCAATGGGCGCCAAGGAACGTCTTTCGGCGGCGTCGCGAGAGGCCGCGGAAGAGTGAGGGGAATAAAATCATGCTCTCGAGTGTGGCGACGACGTTATGGAACAACTGTTGCAATCGGTGTAGCACCTTGACCAGTGGTGCCGACATAGTCGGGGAAGGGAGATGGAGGAGAGGCGAGGTCGCAAGCCGGGAGTGAGGGATCGAAGTTCACTATGTCGAAGTGTGGATGATCATGAAGCGAATGAGATAAAAGAAGAAAGATCTGAAGTTATAACCTTGCAAGGTTGGGGGGGGAGCAGGCCGATGTGACACTCCCACTGGAGTTGTGTCTTGAGTGGATCGGTGGGAGTGTGGAAGCAATAATCCCCACCCGGAGAAAGTGGAAAGGAGAGAGAAGAAGAGAAGAAAAGAGGGAAAAATAAGGGTGTTGACCCTTAAACATGGATCAACATTGGCCCATTCTTGAGTTGACAGTGTCACCGCGAGTGCAACTGTTTGGGAGAAGAAGCCCTTGCGGTGTCGCAATGCGCATGTATGGTATTGTAACGGTAATTTATATCTCGATGTTGTGCAGATAGAGACATATTAGATTAATCTACGGAGGATTACTTGGGATTCTATTGTAGAGTCACATTAGAAAAAAAGCCATTGAAAAAGGCATTTTCATACCACACCATTTATGTACAATTCCATTCGCTTATTACCATATATACCTGGTCGTAATGATAGGTGGAGCGGAGTTACATGCGACTATATGGGAGAATCATAATCACAGTGTAATCTAGAATGGTTATAGAGTACAAGATTTAATATATTCCCGTACAACATAGATAGGATAAATAAGTATTCCAAATAATTTCCAATATAATCAGAATATGGACAAATAGAATACGGAGCACCGGCATTCCCAATGTACCCATACATACTCAATGACCCCCTTGAGTGCAACGGTGGTAGTCGGCGTAACCGCGGAGGGGGGGACGGTTACATGTGGAACTAAATCTTCTACTTAACTTGTCGTTCTTTTATTTTCCTATTTTCCCCACTGGAAGAGATGTATCTCTATCTTATTTTCACTTTTTCTCATTTTGGCAATCTGAATCTGAAACATTCAAGCTGTCCGATCCAATACCCTAATCTGGGCATTCTTTTCGGGGTTACAACGTATCTTTCGGATATACTTCTCCTTTTGCACTCTATAATCTTACACTAGAACTGTAAAACTAGAACTGTAAAACTAGAACTGTAAAACTAGAATTGTAAACTCATGTCTTTGGTAGTTTCGTGTATCCAACTAAACTTTGCCCCTGTCACCCTATCACGGCAGATAACAGGGTTCTCCCTTTGAGCCTCAACCGCGTAGCGTCGAACATTGTCCACAGCCGGGGGTGTCAACCACCTGCCAGTATTGGTCACGATGATACTCTTCAAGGGATCAACATTCCATCTCGTTTCAGTTCTGCAATCCGACTTGGCTGGCGATGTTTCAGTGGACTGCTATGACATCATCTATGTTGCAAGCACCACATCATATCCATCTAGGTAAAGCAAAGGCAAGAGGCAAACTCAGTAGCTCTTCCCATCCTTACGTCTCAACAAGATCATGATTATGTCAGTCCAAGGGATACAGGATAAGAAAGGTAACAATATCATCGAAGGTGACTTCGTCTACCCCAGGTTCAGAGGCGGGTCACATGAGGGCAAGGTAGGATTCCTGTATCTATGGCGGATCTATGGCGAATCTTTCGCCTGTGCTAGGAGTCCCTACGGCACAAATTGACCAGTCAGCAGGTCGAAGCAATCATCAAGGATCAAGCTAGTGCCCAACACGAGGGTGTGGACAGGTGCCCTAAGGTAAGTCGGACATCAGCGAGACAATACTTTTCATCACACCATTCCATAATTATATATGTTGTACTCGCTGTCCTTGACACGCCCCGCAATATGTGCATGTTAAGGGTTATCTACACTGATCAGCATGGCCTCACCACCTCAACACTCCAACAACCCTAGCAAAGTTGATGCACTGCACGCAGGGATTGTAGGGGTTCTTGATAGCTTACGGACCCTAGAACAATAACGTGCCCTAACAATGACTTACCATCCATGGGTGTCTATAATCAATGCTCGATAGACGAAATACAGATCCTATATGGTCCATTCATGCTATCCTTGCTAACAATGTCTTTGTATGCATTACTGGCCCGGCAAATTATCGTGGTCATAGATCTTTCTGGGATACCCTTTATGCCCCAAGACAATTTTGTCTCGATCATGTCACCTTCTTTGTGTAACCTTTGAGCTCTCATTAGCAATATCTAATTCCCATTGTTCTATCTTTTTCTTTTGTGGTAAGAAGCCAGAGATGGCATATGTTTTGCCTGGGTGAAGACTTCTTTTTTTAAAAAAAAGTATATGAACGATGATGCACCAGTCCCTCATTCCATTTTCTTTCCCATCCCACGTTCAGCAACAAATATCACCCCCAAAGCCCTAGAAGTGCAGTACTCAATCAAACAATTTACTAAACTCTCTACTTATCTAACATGTCCGCCGCTATTATTGCCCAGCCACCGGAGGAACAGCCCCCGCCATTGAAATATGACAGCCTCCAAATAACAGGGGCCATGAGGGCTTCATGGATAAGGGACCCCACCCAAAACTGTCCAATTGGCCCCTCACAACTCACAATGCAAAACATGACAGAATCAGGATGGGGAATCCGGCATGAAAAACGACACTTCCCACCAGACCAAATCTACGAAGAAGCCGTCGAACTGGGGCTTTCGGGAGAAAAGCTCTACCGCAAGATCGTACTATGGAAGTCTGGAGTATCGCGCGGTCAGTACTGGGTAAATGACTACGTGTTGAAAACGGGATCAGGAGTAATTTTCGCCACAGACAGCTTCCGGCCTGACTCGGCATATTGGGCGCAAATTGCGCAGGCCGTTTACCAAGATGAACACCCCATGGAGGATTTGAAGTATGTCTTCCAGTGTAATATCATTAACCCCGAGACTATGCTATTTGTGCAGAAGAGCATCTATGTCGCGACAAATGGTCTTGGTTGGCCAGATGATAGACTATGGGTCTGGGAGGAGAATACCGCTGAGTATCAGGCTCTACTAGGTACGAGGTTGGCTAAAGGTGTGGCGTATTTGGTCCTAGGGGCTTTTCCGCGAGGAACGAGACGCATTGCGAGAATCGTGACTTGGGGAGGTCGTTATATTCCATACATACAGATGCGGTTCGATATTGAGAAGGTTTGATTCAGAGGTGGCTTTGGGGGTTACAATTTTCTTTTTTCAACAGGGGTAGTTCATACATAGACAATATCATAGTCATGAAATATAGTAATTTGTCATGAATTATAACGAATTCAATATACCATTAGAGAACCATCCAAGGCCGCTCAAGCTTACTGTAGTACCAAGGTTTAATGGACGTCATGATGTACGCGACCTTACATTAAGCAAAGACAGCCTTGGCTACATGTCTTGAACAGCTAGAGTAAAGTGAAGTGAGGCAAAAGGCAGGTGGAAGTAAGTTGAAGTAAGTTGAGAGCAAGTCAAACTCCTTGAATTCATGTATCCAACCCACCTGATCATTCCAAGCTTGCTTGTTTAATTGACACGTGAATGATTTGCTTTCCATCGTAACCTTTTCATGAGCCATTGCTCTACAGTATGGAGGAAAATCAGCAATCGAATCCAGGTTCTTCATCCCACAAGATAATATCAGGCCAAAAAGCTTTGTCAATGATACTAACGGGTCTCTTGGTGAAGCGACAATATAAATCATTTTGAAAGGTGCACCGTAGTATCACACGTTTTTCAATTGCAATTATGCTCGATTCGTAGTACGGGACGGGGGAAACACGAGCAACTCTAGTCATGGCATAGAGCTCGTAAACTCCTTCCCAGATGCTTGTGTGGCGGTGCCAGTCTTGCCGGTCAAGCGCGGTCAAAGTCTCGCTTAAAGCCAATCCACTTGCGTAGCGGATCGATATACTGAGTGTCGTGCAGGGCACTGGACTTCATGATCCCAGGTCCTCTTTTTAGAAGCAGTATCATATTCTCCTCGATATGTTTTGCTCGGTCGGATTGTTGGTCACAGGGTATTCCCGTACAATAGCGACACGCGACTCGTTGTCGCTCCATGTAGAATTTTAGCCCCCTCCGCGGGTATTTCGCTAAAATCAACCAAACCATGAATTTTGGTAAGCTCCAAAACGGCGCAAAAGGTTTCTACCGAAAGCTTGCGATGTGGCTGATATTCAATCACCATCTTGACACGAGGGGCAACCCATTCGCCCATGGCATCTAGCCTGGCTGAAAACACAATCAGCATGAATGACCCTCTCTTGAATGTAAAGTACTTACTGCCAAGCCTTAGGGACCAGTATAGTTCTATTGGTCAAGTAAGATGGTGTGTCAACTTTCAACGCGAAAGCAAGTTGTGGCCATGCCGGACCACCTCTTCAAAGTTCGTCTTCTTGCTTCTCTCTTGGCTTCTGTTCGGTGTAAGAAGAAAAAAGAGGACATTGTAACTTGGGGAACTGGTGCTGATAGGTTGTCAGGCGGTCACCTCTTATGCCAACTTTGGAAGTGACGAGAAGAGGGAAGGCACGACCTTCCCTTCATAAAAGCATCCAAGGTGTTGGGGCACTACGATATATTGAAGTTCTTGAATCTTCGAATCTACTATCGCTCTCCGATGCACACAAGTGAACGCCGATTATGTCCCATACTCCATCAGCCCAGACTTCCACGGCACGATGGGGGTTCGCTCATCTGCCCAGCGCTAGAATTAGTAACTAGTACCCCGGCTTCTGTTCCAGCAGGGACAGGGAGGCAATTTTATTCATGCATTGCATGCAGACGGAGGCCAATCCGCCTACGTGCCCCTGATGGTGGTCTACTTGACCTTCGAAGAGATGCCTGCCCATGGCTAGTCCCAATGCCTCGGCTATATTAGGCGACGCGCGTGGCGACCGCGTTAGTAATGTCCACCTCTAGTCGGCGTGTGCTGCGAAACCCGCTAGGAGGGTATATACTCACGAGGGCATATTGTACAACCCCCTAGCATACGCGCTGGCCATTGACAGAATCACGTATGACAGGCCTAAGGATCTATTCTAGCTCGATCTTGAGCATGTGTCGACAATCACTACCTCCAGCCTTACAGTCGAAGGATCTGTTCGGAACTAAGGGCTAGTTGGGTGCGAAAATGTTATTTTACTTGCCTCATGCCCTGGCTGAACATCCAATCATTTGGAGCTAACATAGAATGCAGAGAACGACGTACTGCATTTACTTAAAAAAACTGGTTCGTGGGGTGAAGGTATATTTTATGGCTTTATCAGAGGCGAACTGGAAGACTGTAAATACTTAGGTAGGTAGATAGAATCTCCAAAATTAAGAAGGATTTTCCTTTGCCGATCATCAAGTCTGATGGAGCGGTGGAAATGGGAGAACCCCCTAACGATTCAGCCTTTGATCAGGTTCGGATTCGGAATTAATGCCAAGACATCCCCCTGAACGATCTTCTATCACTCAAATAGGTAAAAGTGGCCGGAGAAACTCCCGTTGAATGGTTTTTTGAGGCAAAGGAGACCGATTTCGACATGCAGGCCACGCCATCATACCGATTTTCTAGTAAACGGAGACCGAATGAACAGGTATACGAAGTCGGAAAAAAATATACGAGAGGATATGTACTCCGCTGTGGGAACGGCATGTAGGCCATTTAGCCTTGTAGTGGACTTTTATAGGGCAACGGCACTTCTCTTCTCCACTCCAAACAAATGCCAAGACATTTCATTACGTTGCTCGGCGCGGCCCTCCAGGGCTTCTTTTCTCTCTTTTTAGCGTCTCTTGGGCTTTCTCTCTTGATAAAATGGATTTTATAGTCCTCTGAATTGCCTAGCGCTGTCGTCTCCCCCCGCTCTTTACTTGTGCCACTGACGACGACCGTCTGAATGTTCTGGTGTTTAGCATCGGCTCTTATGTAGCGATTTTCTTTGCTCTTCTTCATTTCCTTTTTAATTTCGTTTTTATTTCATTCAGGAAGATCTACTCTTCCTAGCCATTCTTTAAAAGTTAATCATGATGTTTTGGGCGGCTGCATTACTCCTGTTCTCAGGTAATGCCGTTGCAGAGCGTCATGACTCGGATTTGATGTCTTTTGTGACGGTAGGTTGAATTTTGATATCGTTGGAATCGTGTGGTTCTAATAGCCAAAATCCAGCTCCCCGAGGTACGAGCCTTAAAATGGGAGGTTGAATACTACGACCGCGAGCGGTTGGCCCCCGGATACTGGTTCGTCGCGCCATATGGGAAAATCTCCCCAGAACAACCTTCCCTGAAATACCAGCAATACCAAGTCGGACCCTATATTTACGACGACAGTGGCGTATGTCCTGTCCCCCAGACCCGGTAGAAACAAAAGAAGCACCAACTGACTCGCCTCTGGCGTAACAGGTCCTTATCTGGGCTGGAGCACCCTTATACGACAATCAGAATGTCTTCGATTTTAAGCCGGTGCACAACATCGATGACGACCCTCATCTGTCCTTTATTGTGGGATGGGAATACGACAATTCGAAGAAGGGCCACGGCGCGATTGTGAATACTCATTACGAGGTAGAAAAAGAAGTCCAGCCTCCCAGCGATGTCCATGATTTCAACATGCACGAATTCAACATCATGGACGGTGGAAAGACCGCCCTGGCTTGCACATATCGTTCCCAAGTCATCAGCATGGCCGATTTCGGACGCCCAACGGAAGAGAGTTGGGTAACCGTTGGTGGATTTGTTGAGGTGGATATCGAAACCAGCGAGGTTCTAGTCAAGTGGGATTCATTCGACCACATTGCTCTCCACGAGTCAAACATGTTTCACGCCTGGGATAACCCATCCGGGTCGCCCGGTTGGGACTACGTACATATCAACGCAGTCGACAAGAATAAGGCCGGTGACTACCTGATCTCATTGCGATTCACCAATACCATTTACTTGATTTCTGGCAAGGATGGAAGCGTTGTGTGGCGCTTGGGTGGACTGGAGAGCGACTTCAAGCAAGACTTCACCTTCTCCAAGCAGCACGATGTCAAGTTTGTCTCATCAGACGGCACTCGCCACGTTATCTCGTTCCTGAACAATGCTTCCGACGAACGTGGCGCCGACGAGAAGATCTCCTCCGTTTTATTCGTTGAGCTAGACACAAGTGTTGTCCCTATGACCGCCAAGGTGATTAAGCGAATCAATCGCCCCGATAGTGGTCTCACCCGACTCCGTGGTAGCGCTCGCCCTCTTCCCAACGGCAACATCTTCATCGGATGGAGCGAACGCGGGTACTCGAGCGAGCACGCATCAAACGGCGACCTTCTAATGACGGCCCAGTTTGCATCAGATCGGTACTCAACCTACCGCTCTTACAAGGGTGAGTTCACTGGTCGCCCCGCTGCGCCTCCCGACCTGGTCGCATCCGTCTACGGTACCAACGCCGAGGATATGACGACCATCATTCACGTCAGCTGGAATGGCGCGACCGATGTCGTCCAGTGGAAGTTCTACGCGCAGGCCTACGACCTCGGCCCATCCCTGCTCATCGGCACCACCAATAAAACCGACTTCGAGACCATGTTCATCGCCGATGGCTATATGGACTTTGTTTCCGCAGAGGCCATCGATGCCGAGGGAAATATCATGCACACTTCTGAAATCAAGCGCACTGGCACCCCATCCAACTGGAAAGCAGCCGGCTGGGTCGGTACTGACTCCGGCCCTACTCCTGATGACCCCTCAATCATCGTCGCTGCCAACGATAACACGGATTCCACGTCTCCCGCTGACAGCAACAGCGGCAAAGCGGCCGAATTGATCAACGATGGCACCTCCACTGGCTCTGGCGACCGCTCAACCGCCCAATACGCCGACGCGAAGGAGGTCGCCAAGGCCGTCTACAAGGCCTACGAGGTCATTCGCGGAATCGGTGGTCTCCTCATTTTCATCCTTGTAGCTACCACTTTGGGCGGAGCTGGATTCGCCCTCTGGCGGCACATCCGCACCCGCCGTATCGACCGCTACCAGCACGTACCCTCTGAGGAGGGTCTCCCCGTGGAAGAAATACCCCTCGCTTCTAATCAGCGGTCTTGAATGCTGTGGCCCTTTGTCACTTCCAATATTTCATATTAGCACTACATCCTGCTACGTTTCGCAAGGGCGTCCTTTCACATCTTCACCCGCGAACATCACCAAACTGGGCTTGCAAAATTGCATACCCAAGGACTGTGGAACGAACACACACAAAAAAGGGAGAGGGTTAGTTGAGGCCATTTAGTATATACCATTCTGGTAATGATCGTTTCATGCATATCATACCCCGCAATCTGGCGTTATTTTCATTCTATTCTTGTCATATATTCTCCATCAGGCTGCGCTTGAGTGAAATTTCTGCATATATCTGGGTTGTTTACATATTTTTTTTACATGGGGACTCGGGCTGATCTCTCTACGTTTTTCCTTTTATTCTGTGTAATATTACTACTCACTCTGATACCCCATTCTCTATCCAATCTCTACAATGCCGGAACATGATCGTAATACATTTGCCATTTCCCCCGAGGCGAACGTGGAACATATAAAGGAAATAATATTAGATAAACCATACGGAGTACCCCGACGTATGCAACTAAATCAAGAGCAAGAGCAATGAAACAAAACAGGTGGCGCGGCATGAGGCTGACGACGAACGTTCCCAAATCGGCAGGCCGCGTCATTAGAGAACGGATCTATGTGGCGTTGGTTTTGATTCTTAGATATATGTATACTGGAATAGTTGAAACATGCCTGAATATCACTAAACAGAGTAGAAGGCCTTTGAATATGAAGTATAATACATTGGTTATAAGAACATCGAGGAGTTGAGGGGTTCGCTAAAACTTAACAATCTGACCCTTCGCAAACCCAAGCCGAGCCAAAACGCCCGTTTGGAAACGTGATCCGACCAACGAATTCTCCATAGCAGGAGGTCCACAAACAAAAACCTTTGCATCGGCATCGGCCCTCACAACATCCCGCAACAGCTCCTCAGTAACATATCCCTTCCTGAACCCATCACTCTGTCCCTCCGGGTGACTAACTGTGTAGGTATAATCAAAGCGATCGGGGAAGCGCGACTTAAAGCTTTCCAGTTCTTCTCGTAGAAGCAGGTCCTTCTCGGTATTGACGCCGAAGACGAGGTTGATTTTAGTTGTGTCGGCTGGATTATTGAGGATACCTTGCGCTAGCTGGTAGATTGGCGTAATACCGGCCCCGCCTGCTATGAGATAGACCTGCGGGGATTGGTTCGTTGTCCAAGCATGTCCTTTGAGTGCCGCTGCGAATGTGAGGGTGTCTCCTGGGGTGAGGGAGTGAATGTGGCTGCTCGCTTTGCCGTTGGGGTATTTCTTGACCATGAGCTCAATCGTGCCTTGTTGATCTATAGTCATTCCCGTTAGTTTATCGGTATGTCGGGGTTTGGGGGTTATAGTTCGTACTCAGATCGCTGATTGGTGTATATGGGCGTAGTACGGGGAACCAGCGCCCTTCGGGGCGGGATATGGTGAGGAGTGCCGCTGCAGCATATTAGTACATAAGCTTTAATAGGAAGTTAATCTGTATTTCGGGCCCGTACAAGTTAATGACAATCCGCTTGTGGCGTTCTGGTCTGGAAACTCGAAGACGAGGCGTTTCGTGTTGTGGTTTACATCTGTCGTGCTTTGCAGGCGCAATGTGGTAAATCCAAATCCTGAGAAGACTTTGGGAGGCTCATTTGACTCTGCATGGGCAGTTGATATGAGACGTGACTGCGCACAATAAGCTCCAACGCCGAGTAAAGTGACGGCTGCGGCCGATTTTGCGGTTATGGACTGGGGGAGACGAGTACTGAACATGGTGAACATGGTGAAAATTAAATTTTTGTAACATTACAGTAGGTCTAGATCAACCAGGTTTATATAGTATACTGTCCAATTTACGTCGGGAGTCTCTGCTAATCCAAGCCCCGAAAGCCGAACCAACCTCCGTCCAAAACCCGCAAAACCCGTAAACATCACGGAGGATGAGCGCCGATCCCGACATGAAACTTTCTATGATCCCATAGATCTGGGAGCCTCATATGATCCACCATTGGATCCTCCGTACGGAGCACTCCGTGCTTTAAATAATACTTAGATTCCGGCCTCTTCCGGAACCCGATAGGAAGTTGGAGCTACATAATGGGTCTTGAGTCCAGATAAACTCTATTCAAACTAACTCGCAGTAACTTGGCCATATATTAGGGCTTTCGTTAATTTGTTTTGAAATATGTCAAACGACTTCATGATCTTGAATAAAGTAGCAAAACACCTCACCAGCGCCAGCGCCGAGCGAAATGGAATATCATTATATCTGATAGGCTAACGTCGCATTCAAAATAAAGGGAAAAAGACGACAGAAAATTAAACCAAACCATCACGTTGTCTCGTCTCTGGTGCCCTCATCATTTCTGAGGAACGGTTTGAGCCTGTTGCACAAAGCTCGCCTTGCCTGTCACTTCGTTGTAAATATTATACCCATAGTCGGCGGCATTGGGCGGGGTATATACTAGAAAGAAAACTCTCATCAATATTCAATTCCCATATCAATCCCATATCCTGCACTTACAGTGAAGAGAGACAGCAACTTGGTCACTACTCGGGTTATGAACACGGTGTAGCCCGATATCATCCGAGATATAAGCGACGTCATTCATGGTATGCCTCGTATCAGACTTGATCTCCAACGGACCATGAAGATCAGAGTCCTGATCGGGAACATTGTAGATAGTTTCTTGGAGCGTTCCAGCTAAGACCTTCATGATGCAGTGTGCATTGGCGTGGTCATGGACGGGAGAGCCTTTCCCGGGGTTCCATACGAGGAGGAGCTGGCAATGGGTAAATCTCTAATTCTCGGGATCCAATGTTGACACGATCTGGCTAGGATTGGAATAGGAACTCACGATATTTGCTTTTTGGTTGATGTTTTCAATAGCATTGCGGGTGTAATTCTTGCTGGTGTCGTTGTAGTAAAAGCGGGCCCAGTCGTTCGGGTCAGAGATATACTTCTGTGCCAGCGAGATCAGGTATTCGTTGTCCACATCTGCTGAGGAAATGCCACCACTCTCGCCTAGATAGATCTTGATATCTTGTATGAGATCATCTAGGCTGTACTGAGGGTTGTAGTGCTTGTTGCCTAGTGATAGGCTGGTGCCAAGCGGGAGTAAGGGGATGACAGCGGGCATGGTGAATGGAAGTTTTGGTGATGTTGGAGGAGTATGTGTTCTTGCAAGGTAATTAGAAGTAATAAAAAGGATCCATGGATGAGTTATATCTCCAGAACCAATTCGTATCTGTTTCCCCCTAGATTCCCCCCATGCAAGCTAAATTTCAAAAACGGGATCTCAATCGCCGATTGATCCAATGCCTTGCACTCCAGCGCCCCAGACCGATTACAGTCTCGCCTGATAGTACTCAGAGGCCCGAAAATGTACTTCTGGACCAGTAAGAGCAATCTATGTCAAACAAGAAGGGAGAAAGTATTGGGAAAACTAGAATGTGTGAAATTCCCATCCAAACCGTTTGTATTCCGTTACAAGAATTGAGTAGAACTTGAAACAACATAGACATTGCTTATATTTTTCAGACACAAATATCTAGTTTTTGAACAAATTTCAATTTCTTTAATATCTCTCAAGTCTTAAATTTTAATCTGAAAAGCCGTGGGTGGGAGAAAATCAACATATAACGCCATAACGAGAACATCCAACGCAATAGAGATGCAGCTGCGGTTCAACCACCTGGTGTAACTCATGATGTAAGAGTTACTAGTCCAGCAGATGTCCTAAAGTACATACTAATGTGACTTTGTAGATTAATGCATCGGCGAACAAATTAAGCACTAAACAGAATCCCATGTCACTAACCTCGAATCTTAACACAATGATGGTTACCACGGTTATCACCGGATATTCGATCAAGGCGGACCCAATGAAGGAACAGTCGGTGGGTATCCTAGTCTTATCTCCCGATGTATGATTCTGTGGTGAGAAGCGCTTGGGATTATACTCTGTACTTCTAGGCTATTTACAGTGGAACAAATACAAACTGCTTTTGGGTAGAACGCCGGACCGAATATGCAATACATTATTGATACCATTTGCAACACTCATGTTACTTCAAGAAACCTGTCTTTATCTTCACAACAAATGCCCGCTGTGACACATGATGTTGGTGTTATGCGTGTCTGAATGAAACACCCGGAGAGTTTCACGGGCCAATCAAATGTCGGATCGGGACCATCGGCGACTCAAAAAAAAGGGTTAATCGGCGTTTGCCATATCTTCGATATCCTCTAAGAATTAATCTTTGAACCCCTTTCATTATTATGGATCGTTAGTATTTACTTAATTAAGGCCCAAGACCTAATACGTGGTGCATGACGAGGCCAGCTGATGTTTACCCTAGGAACTGTTAGGTAAAAATGACATCAAGCATAACAAGTTGTTTGTTTTTCCTGTGCAATATATTGAATAATACACTGGCTCCTGGGTATAACCGATCTAATGAATATCAAAGTCAGGCATAGCGCTGAAAAACGAAGCATTGTAACAAGTTGGATCAATGAATTGCGGGGAAAATTCCGGCGGCATGAAATCATGGCCATCTGGCATGACTAGGGCGGGATTGGCACTGGAGCTGTGTCCTTCTTGGTCATTAGGCGTGGTGACCGCCGAAGTGAATCGATGCAGTGGTTCTGCATTCCATTTTTCCATCGAGTCCGACAAGACTTCCGCCGCAGAAGATCGAAGAGCATGGTATAGGGACTCGGCCAGTTTCCATGTCCGCTGGGTGCTCTTGAGGCATCCTAGAATGAGTGTGACACGGTTGCAGTGATGATCGAAACACTCCTCGGAATGACTGGTAGACGTGGCGAGCTGGATGAGTCCGCAAAGCGTCAAGGCGGGAATGATGAAGGGGGTGTGCTTGGAGACGTTTGGACAAACAGATATGGAATCTGAGATTCGCCTCGAAGCCTCTGTTGCCTTGATGCTATGGACTAGACGGGTGAATGTTGATGGGAGCTGACCAGTCAGACCAGGCCAGAAGCGATCATCTGGTTGGGACTGGGACAATACAAATGGAAGGTCGCTTCGGGGTAAGTGTAGGAGCATAGCGGCATAGGCTATTGTTAAATGCGCTTGAAACATCATTTCGTCAACGTTGCCGTATGAATCAACAATGTCGAGCTTTTTGGGCGGTAGGTGGTTGATCCAGCTCACTAGCGCATTTTCTACAGCTTGGAGATGATCACGGTGACAGTCGCGTAGTCGGTTCAAGACAAGAACCCGGCACAATATTGTCGTGGCCTCGATGCGGTAGCTGAATGATGAAAAGACAGTATCCTCTGCCGCGAGTATCCTCCGCTTGAACTCGATTATCATGCGTGGTTTCGGGATATCACCCGCGCAGTTATACGCTGACTCTTCGCAGGGCAGGGCCACCTCCGGTGATACCGTGCTACATCGAAATGTCGTGGTCTTGAGCGGGACTGCCATAAAGATATCGGTGACGTATAGTTCCCACCATGTTCGTCTCATGCTTTCGGCTTCAAGAGATCTTTCGGGGTTTGTAGATGAAGCGAATGACCAACGGTTCATGCCAAGCTCCAAGGCAATATCGATGCTACGAGAGAGGGCATCTTGGGCCTCAGTCCATTCATCGCGGGCGTACAGAGCAATGGAATATAGCAGCCAAGCCTGGACCATGGAAGCTGATCGATCGGGGTTTGTCTTTAGCTCAGCAACGACTTGTTCCTTGTATGGCTGGCTTGGAACAGACGCAATATAATGGGACCCCACAAAATGCACAGCTAGCTGTAAGAAGTGAGGGTAATTGTGGTCATGATACAAGGAGCTCGGCACCAAGATCGGATGGGCGACATGGAAATTTTCATAGTATAAGCGAGGTAGGCGCTCATCATGGAGCGACAGTTTGCTTGCCGGTTCCACAGTTTGCTGAACAGGCGCATTTCCTGAAAGCATCACTGGCCAAGAGACTGGTTGAGTGGAGATATCGAGTCCTGCCTGCCTGTCTGCCTGCACCGAAGGATTTTCTGGTGCGGTCTGTGCAGGGGCTATTGGCAGAACAGGGACTGCCGACTGATATCGGGTCTATTGTTAATTCAGTAAGGAACTATGAAGAATATTACGGAGTACTGACGTTGACATGGGTTTGCGGATGGCGTTGATATGGAGTCTCAAGTCGTGATTTCCTACGTCCGCCCCGTCGGGAGGGTAGATATTGACAGAGTAATCCATTTTGAACACATCGCGAACATGATGGTTTGCTAGCATCGCATTTGAGATGTTGTTTTCTGCATTCGGTACAAGCCAGTGAGGCTAACCCGGTTGTTTTCTTTGCTTTTGTCGGAGTCATTTTACAGAAATGATGGCATGCAGGGTTGACGTTTCAATCCCCGGTGCTATCGGCGTTTGGCGGGCGGTCGGCCGAGGCATTCCGACAAGTTCCGAATCAAAGATAATTCGATATAAATTTTATTTGACTTATTCTAAGGATTAGAACTGTTCACTCAAAGCTAATATAGGACAGATGGACAATTGTAGAATCGCTTGCTCAGGTCCTGTAATCCTGTGCTCCGACTATTTTGTAGGCATCCCAAGGGATTACATAAGAGCATTCAACCGCTTGCCCAAAAGATTATAATGACAAACATGACAAACATGACAAACAGAATATCTGTTTGTCTCTATTTGTCTCTACAGCGACACACAAGGTCACCTGGGTATCACCTGATAATTATTACATAATGTAGATTACTGTCTCAGACACCAACACCCAGGAACACTCATACAAACACCATCTTCAGGGGATTGGATGTTCATATTCTCTGGAGCACTCGACCCTATACTTTTATTGCCTCTTCAGTTTCACAGAATGTTACATTTTGGGTTACCCAAAACACGTGAGTTTATGGGGAGTTCATTGTGTGCTTTTTCTACTAAGAGTGATCGTAAAAGCTTCAAGTGCGCTAATAATTCATGTAACGAAAAATAATCTCATCTCCTCGCTTCCTTCGCCAATAATTCGTAGAGTCAATTAACCCCAGCTCTCCCCGTATCACCCACGGCCATTTTTTTAAGAACTCCTCCGTGACCTCCCAACTCTTCGGATCAGAGGGCTCCCCCCATACCAGCAAGCTACAGCTCTTCGCCGAGATATCCCAGAATCCCATAATATCGACACATAATTCACCGTCATCGAGCTCATCACGGGCAGAAATCAGGTTGTCGCGCATTTTGGGAAAAGGGAGGAAATCTAGCCACGGATGATGGGGAATCTCGCACTGTATTCGCGTTGGCCGTAGACTGACCGGCAGATTTGGGTCATCAATCTGCTCTGGTGTGCAAGCATTGAATGGGGGAGTTATCTTTCGCGATGTCCAATCACGGTGAGGTGTTATCCCAAGTATGGCGAGATTTTGGAGAAATGCGCGGTATACATTTAACTTGCTGAGTATTATTAGGTGGTCCCCTGTAGGGGACCCTTGCGCATAACTCTCGAATGAGGATGTGCTAAATTGTTTCAAGAGATCTTCAGCTTCCTCGGCGGACAGCCACCTTTTTGGACGTTTTGTTTTGTTTCGGGTCTTGGGTGCGGAGGGTCCGCCCTCCGTAACTTCATCACTTTGAGCAAGCTTTCGTTTTCCTGTCCTTAGATTAGCTTATTTGTTCATACACCTGGATTGTTCATTGGCAAAGGTGAAATGCCACATACGATGCGCTCTCTGATTCAACCGATTCTGCAGCTTTCTCCGCACTTTGGGATCAGTTATCCCTGACCAGTCATCGTCCTGTCCGAGCTCGAGAGAGCCGTCATCGAGGACAGGGGGAGAAGTGGAATACGAGGAGTCACGTTCCATTCTAGTTTCTTATCAAGCTGGTGGCACTCCGCTTAATTCCGTCGGGAAAGAGGAGACATGTAGATGGCTGACCTTTTTGTATAACCGTCTTGGCATTTCCACAAATTCAATGAATACCCTCAAACGATGCTGCCTGTACCTTCAAGACATTGAATATTGCGTGGCTTTGTCTGGGCATGGTAATAGTCTGCCAAAGATTGAGACAACGGTGACTTTATGGCCCACATAAGAGATTGGGGGAGTTGAGGTTTTTGCCAATCATGAGAGGTCATGAGAGGTCATGATTCATGTGTGCATCTGATGCGATTGAGAATTGGTAGGAAATCCGATGGATCACTAATAATGTTCGGCCGAAACTATTTTATCTGTCTATATCAACGATCCTTTGATATTCGTGTATCAAAGCTCATGTGGGTCTTCATCGGCCGAAGTATGTCTTGGCGAAATTTCTTGCTGACCAGAATTTCTAAACACGGATGCTGAAAATGCAGGGAACACATAGAAAGGCCTAGGGAGCCTATCAAAAACTCCTTACATGTGCTAATATTTGACTTGGACCCGACCTGCAGTGGTATAGGGCGAGATAAAACATTCATCTCGAGGACTCTTCGAAGGAAGCAGAACGCAGATATATCCTATCATGCTATATTCCTTGCTTTTCATACTCGCGTCACTGTTCAGCCAGTTTTCAACTCTCGCTGCAGCTGTCCCAAACCCTGTCTTCTCCTTCGATAGGCTTCAAACGGCGGAAAATGAGCCGAGCTCTGTTACCTCTTTCCACCCAACCTTGCCACCGAACTGCGTCTCTGATCTGAACGACCTGAAATCTCAGTACAACACCATATTCGACGGTGATTACAGTTCCAAATTTGACGATATCTCTGCTCTTTGCTACAACACAAACTCCGAGGCACATTGGGAACACAGTGAAGGATTTAACCACTTGTACCTGGACAAATTTGACAAGTTCAGGAAGAATTGTTGTCAGGATTCCATGCAACATTGGGAAGGAGGTATCGCTGTGGCAGAGCCTTGGGAGGATTTCAAACTGCCTTGGAAATACCTCTTCTTTTTGGCTTCCTTTTGTTGTTTGCTAGTAGTTTTCAAAGCTGCATGGGAGAATGGTCTTCAAAACTTCGACAGTCCCATATTTGTGATCTATCATTCCGGGTGACTGGATGCTTCAATTAATGCGGGCATTAATAAACTTGAAAGGTTTATGGCAATAAATGTCCAATGGCCTTTTTTTTTTTTTTTTTTTTTTTTTTTTGAAGAGATATAGTATAGGAGGTCCAGGGATTTAGTGGGTGGTGACTAAGCTACAAACCAGGTCTAATTGGAGTTGAACCCTTCGCCACGTTTGCCATGTCGGATTTTCTTTCTTTTTTTTTTTTTTTCGCAAAGCAGAATCAGTCAATGTCTTTTCGAAAGAGACCTGTAACAGCATGTACAGAATGTCGACGCAGAAAACAAAAGGTATACTGTGATCAACTATGATCTATATTTATGTATGGTGCTTGCTAACTTGTAAGTAGTGTGACCGTGAACGGCCATGCAATCATTGCATTGGACGAAATGTTCCAACAATGTGTAATTATGATTATTCAAGTGCCAGAGAAGCGAGTCCTGAGAGTAATATGCCCGTGTTGCAAAGCCCGCCGGCTTCAACGCTTGGTGATCAGTCTTCGGCACTTGGCACAAGTAGAGATTACCGGCTAAGCGACCAAGTTGGATATGCTTACACTGCGGAAGAGAGCTACATCTCAAAAGTGCAAGAGGTCAGTTTTGTGTTTTATGACTTGAGATAGCCTCATGGCTAACATTATTAGCAGCAGATGGTTGGAGCCGATGGAGGATTTCAACCCCTAAATTTCCAACGCATCATTCCTCTCCCTGAAGCTGCGAGGCAAGAACTCTGCGGTATTTGCGCAAAGTTACCCCATCGACCAATTATGCGAGAACTTATCAACATTTATTTTGCCGAAGCCAATTGGTACTTTGCCACATTGGAACAACATTATTTTGAGAAACTTTACAATTCGTGGTGTTCTCTCAACGATTCCTCGACAGAACATGGCCAGGTCGCTGATTTACCACCGGACCTTCTATATTTCTCGGCACTATTATTTCAAGTTCTTGCTGTGTCTTTACAGTTCGTCTCGCCGGACACGAATTGTAGTCGTGCTCTAGGAGCGGATAGTTTCGCCGCGCGTGATCGTCTATCCAGCAATTATTCCACAAATGGAGTCGATATCGCGCGCATAATGGGAACTCAGGATCCTACGATCACTGCTGTGCAAAGCGACTTTATGAGGGCATTGTGGTTGAAGAATTGCAGCCGAGGAAGAGAAGCATGGCATGTATTAGGTAGCGCAATCAGGTCAGTCTCCGCATCTTCCAAAAGGAAAGCAAGTTTCTCACTCCAACCAGAAAAGCCCAAGACCTTGGCCTCCACCAACAAAGCAAAGTTTATCAAACACCACGATCTACATTAGAGGGAACTCTCGCCGCGCTGTGGTATGACGAGTACAAACGCAGGTTATGGATCAAGTTGTTCTCTTGGGACAGGTGAGACATCTCGTTTTCTTCTATGATCCTATCCTAATAAGAGCAGCCACATGGCCTTTTCTCTAGGTCGACCACGTGCTATCAACGTCAGCGATTGTACCATTAATATACCGTTAGATTGTGATATACCAGCCGACCCGTCAACCAGGATACCAATGACTTTAGCACCGCATGAGCCTCCTTCATCTTTTACACCACATCTTTTCCAATACGCCATCTGTCAACAGGCTCATGATGTGATGTCTTTGGGTGCCCATAAGAAAAATTTCATAGATTATTCCTTGATTCAAGGCATCCACGACAAAGTTTTGTCTTTATTGAGCGATCTTCCACCTGTTCACCGACCGATGAATCCGGATATGTCATGGGATGCGAGTTACCCCCATATACCCAAGCAACGTCAGCAAATATCAACGGCCGCCCACTCGTTTCTTATGGCATTGCATGCTCCGCACGCCAGAACTCACACGGCCAGTCGACACGCTGCAACTCAAGCAGCTCTTGCCACGTTGGATGCGCAAGAACAACTTTTTGATCTCATGGCCACCAGTTACTCTAGCATCTACGCCCTCTGTATTTACACTCTTGGGGCTGGTATATTCCTGGCTGTGACGATTCTGGAATACCCGCCTGCAGATATGGGTGTACTACATGGGATCCTTCGTGCAATCCGGAAGGCCATTCATCGCCTTGAGTTGGTACAGGATAGAGTCTCTCTAGCAGAGCCGGGCTCAAAACTCTTGAAATTTTGCTACCAGAAAATACAAGCGTCTGCGCAGGCCCGATCCAGTTTTCAAGACGCTACTGCCTATGGAGCAAATCCCTTTGCTGCAACTCCGTTCATGCACGCGCCATTTTCCGGCGGAGCACACATCGAAGAATCTCCTGATCACCCGTCGGAGATCCTTGCATATACCTCTGGATCTGGGGGTTCATTGCCTGATGACATTCCATTTGACAGCACACAAATGTTTGAAGATATCACTCAGCCTAACTTCAATATGGAAGCATGGGTACGGGAATTAGGCCAGGCTAATGGCTCAGGATGGAGCTCACTTGCATAAAGCCTTGATCTTGCATCATTGTTTATCCTGGCAGAAAGCACTGGCTTCGCGCATACTTTTACTCAAGTTATCGGCATCCAGCAAGCTGATCATCTTCATAAGCACTTGGCTAGAGGGTTCGCGTGTTGAGCACCACTATGTCGATACTACGTATTTCAATGCTGGACGGTCCCTCGCACGGCGACTACGTCACAAGGACACATGACCTTACCTGAAGGTCTAGATGGCCCACGTCGACAAAGTCTTCTGTTTATTTCCTCCACAGCAGCTGTCGCCTGTTAATCTGCAGAGAAATTGCTTTTATGGCGCTGAAATCTTTTTAAATGGACTAAGAAACATGTCGGCGCATTGCTGCGAGCTGGATCTTTCGAGCTGGATCTTACCTTGACATTTCCCAACCTGGCAATTTAATCGTTTGTCACCGTGGCTTTAGCGCATTATAATTGAGACTGCTTATTACGGATATCACGAAAATGACTCTAGTTTTCTTTTCTTTCCCTTTTTTTCCAAGACGAAAGCGAAAGAGAGATCGCGACATCGTAGTATCTTCAGCCATTGTATGTCTGCGGTCATTTTCCAACCCTGGATAAATAGCATACTTAACACTATTTCGTATCCTGAATTGCTGTTTCCCTTAACTCACCAGGCGTTTTAACAGGCATGGTGCCAGGTATCACGTTCATAGCTGCTCTAAGCATATTACTATCCTCGATTTAGTGACAATGAATCAAGGAGATGACGCAAATCATTTCTAAACAATATGATAACCAAGAAATATGTTGCCTGCTAAGAACCAGAAATATACTCCGTACAACATACGTTTACCGACAAATGTCCGAAAAATGGAAGCAAAGATCGGCCGACAATGTGTCAATAGTTAACTAGAATTCTAATTCACAACAAAATTCATTTGGATCCCGACAATGTAAGCATAGATCGGCCGACAGGAGTCAACCAGAATTTCTAGGCCAGGGGTAAGCCAATCATAAAAGTTACCTACCTGGGTATACTCCGATAGTGATAGCCCTCAACCTTGGAATGATCAAGGTTTACTTTAAACTCTACTTTGACCAATCAGGGCTGTTCGGCCGAAGCTCCATATTGCCAAGAACCAATTAGATGTGGTTTATTTCGTCGGCCGACCTTCCAAGATACAGGGTTTGTTCAAGAAACCCGCAAGAAACCAGGGTTCAAATCCATATTGATGACAATAATCTTTTCATTGGTGAGTTCTCAAATCGAGATCCACTTAATTCCTACTTACACCCTACAACATATGTTGTATTTGGGTACGGAGCGTAGGAGATAGGTACATGTTCGCTCTCCACTTTAATGTCGTAGTTCACCATGGGTAACTGAACCCTTTATACTGGATCGCCTAAGAGAGTACGGAGTACTCCGTAGGGGGTCTATCATTGCCAAGAACTTTCAAAGCTTTCAGGCAACAGGCCTTTGATATTGGCGATGGGTGTATCCTTTTGCTTGGCGTTTATTCTTGGTGTGTTTTTGTGCTGGATGGGCTGATCATATTTATCATCAGTATGGAGTATTTAGAGGGCTTTCGTTGTCTACCGAATATTCTCCCATTCCAAGTATTGGGTCTCTATGTACTCAACGAGATACCATGAAGTATACAACGTTGTTCTTCTTATCCCTCGGGATTACCTCGGGCTTTCCTGGAATGGATATACTCCTGAACGATATAGGACGCCGGCAGTCGACAAGTGGGACAAGTGAGATGATTGGAGACTTGATAGATGGTGCTACAACTGCAGTTGGTAGGCAAGTTCGAGAGTGTATCACGGGTGCTGGATCATGCGAGAACCAAGATGAAAAGGTTCGGCTTCTTTCCCCTCTATTATGTGTGTACTAAATTTGACTGCGGTTAGAGTTATAATCGCCCTGGCGATCTAGGAACTGCCCTCTGTCAGGCTGATTCGTGTTGCGTCTGGGACTTTGTACAAGAAGAATTGGTCGGGTTATTTCGTAACGAAAATGGGACGTGCAATCACCTTGCTCGAGCCTCTGTGAGACTCGGGTTTCATGATGCTGGTGCATGGTCCAAAAGCAGTGGCCCCGGTGGAGCCGATGGGAGCTTGCTGCTAAGCTCGGATGAGATCAATCGACCCGAGAACGATGGTCTACAAGAGATTCGAACTAGGGCATTGCAGCTCTTGGATAAATATTCAAGATACGGTGTCACTGCTGCTGACTTGGTGCAGTTCATGCACCATGTCGCCACTGTAACCTGCCCTCTGGGTCCTAGGTTGCTGACATTGGTAGGACGACATGATCGCCGAGAAGCGAACCCCACAGGTCTTATACCAAACAACAACGCAACAGATGCAACCTTTCTTATTGAGCTCTTCCAAAATAAGACCCTTACAGCACGGGATCTTGCCGCCTTGCTTGGAGCACACACTGTCGCTCAGCAATTATATGTCGATCCTTCGAGAGCAGGCCAAACACTCGATTCTACGCCAGGAATTTGGGATATGAATTTCTACCTCGAGATGGCATTGCCTGAACCCCCTTCGTAAGGACGCACCATAGTGAAAGCACTTCCAGTTTCAGAAACTGATTTCATACAATGTATTAGAGGTGTTTTCCGGCTACCAAGCGATGAAGCACTTTCTCGGGCTGACGGCACCTCCTCCCGTTTTGAGGCATTTACGGTTGGTTCCTTTACCTCATCTCCTAATCTTCAAACCAAATGCCTGGTTCAAATACTGAGGAAATCATACTCTTCTAGGACACCACCTTCGGCCAGACAGTCTGGAATACTGAGTATTCGGTGGCATATGTACGCCTTAGCCTTCTTGGTGTCAACAACATCAACCGACTTACTGACTGTACCAAGGTACTACCTGGTGCTGTGACCTCATTTTCACTGGCATCCTCACCATCCTCAACCTCCTCAACATCCTCACCATCATCGTCTTCTTCATCCGCCGCCAAATTGTTGTCAAGCAAATCCATGAACATGATGGTCTATGTTCTATTTTGCGTCTTCGTATCCATGATATGAGTGAGGTATTCAAGAAAAAAAGAAAACAGAAGTAGGTCTCTTTGATTGGGAAGCTGGAAAATTGTACATATCTCATCATCGATCAGCTCGATACATTCAGCATGAACCGTAATGTAAGCTAGCAGGAAGAAAAGCGAATGAAATCAAAACATATGTTGTAGGTCGCAACATGTTACAATGCAGTGGATATAAGCAATATTGTAGACTGCTAAGAGCTATGACCCCTTGGAATATTTTCTCGCACGACATGGAGCTTTATTTCTAATACATCCCGGCGCAAGTGGCGTATTGCGACACAAATCGAAAATATTGTCACTATATAGGCTTTGCAATCTAGTTCACATGCTCACGCCAAACCTCATAATACCTATGTCATGTTACATTTTCCACATCCAAAGTGTCCAATGCATAGCAGGAGACGCTAACATAGCCGCTATCACAGATGTGTGCGGAAGAAGTCCGCCAGCTTCGGCGCACTCTGGTTTGTGTGATCGTACAGGTCAATGTGCGTTAGCCCGGGAATAATATACAGCTCCTTTGGCTCTTGGGCCTGCTCAATTGCAACTTGAGAGAAGTAAAGAGTATCGGCATCCGAGCCTGCAATCATCAACAACGGACGGGGAGATATAAGTTGCATGTAAGTGTAAGAACGGTATGTAGCGATCAAGTCGAGACTGCGCCAAAGGTGCCAGTTTGGCGCTGATTCAACATGCCCCCTTGGGGTCTGGTAATAATCGTATGATTGTTGGTAAAACACTGGCATGCTCGGCGACACATCCGCTGCAGTTTGCGGAAAGATTCGGGTCAGATTCGTCTTCCCTGTCTCCTCTTCCCGAATACGCTGGCGGCCTGCCTCTAAAAGCTCTTCCTGAAGCCCATCTTGCATTGGGCCACCATATTTCGCAAATCCTTCAGAGTATAGAGTTCCCAGATCGATGCCACTGACAGTGGCCACTGCCTTGATACGCTTGTCTGTCTGGGCAGCAAACGGCACATAGCCTCCCGATGCGCAAACCCCCAATGCGCCGATCCGATTGGGGTCCACGATTTCCAAGGTTGAGAGGTATGTCACGGCATTCCGGACATCGTCGGCGCGTTGGTAGGGGTTCTCGAGGTATCGCGGCAAGCCACCACTTTCGCCTTGATAGGCAGCGTCGAAAGCGAGAGTAACGAAGCCGGTCCGCTCAGCAATCTGTCGGGCGTACAGACCAGAGGTCTGCTCTTTTACGCCGCCGTGCGGATGTCCGACCACAATGGCAGGACGGGACGTATTCAATGTCGAGTTTATCGGTGGCACAAAAAGATGAGCTGCCAAAGATATTCCGTTGCTGTCAAAATGCACCCATTGAGGTTGCAGATTGGCAGCACTCGTGAGCGCAGAGATTAGAAGGCATGGGAAAAGGTTTTTAGAAAGATGCATGGCCAGTTCAGTAGGCGAGGGACACGGAGTAAAAGATTGACAGTCAACTAGAGACTACTGTTGCGATGGAAGGTGATAGGAAAGGCTCAGTAGCCCTTTATATGGCAACTGTCACCCCTTGTCATTTCTCCTCTTCATGGTCAAGTTCATATGAAGATCGCTGAACATTCCATCATGCTGACCATGCGGACTCCGGGTTTATGGTCGGAACTAACCCTGTGAGCGAGTAAAGTGAGGAGATCTTGGCAAATCTGCGCCGCGTCAGCGCTGCATTGTGTGTGTGTACATCCAACCTTGGAATAGTACTCCGTACGAAGTACAGAGTATAAGGAAAAAACCTAAGGGGCAGACCGCGCTAATGCAGATGGCTGACAGCCCATTCTCCCATCTCCCCACAACTTCTCCCCCAACTGACCAATTATATAAGAAATGTCATCAATAGCTATGCAGACCCATAATTCAAATGGCGCGATCCCTTTCTGCATCATTTGATCCCTTATCAAAAGAGTTACGACACATTATGAGCTGTGTACTGCTCTTTGTCAATCGGACATATGGTGCTATTTATTGACATGACGTTTACATCTCAGGATGATCGTTGGCAAAGCAACCAGCTGCGAGAATTATTGATTGGCCTTGATCTATATAAAACCATCTCGCCCACATGACATACATGCCTAAAGGGTTATGGACGGGAAAGCATCAACCTTCCTTCCCTTTCTGACTGATGTCTTAAATCCTTCATATAGAAGGAAGGTTAACGGTCCTCATTGTCGCCAAATTCAGGTATTGTAACTTGGCGACCTACTTGGCACCGACCAAATGATATACCCGATTATTCCCCGATGGCCCTTGGCATCTTGGTAAATTTATGGTTACTATAGATTCCTATACCTACAAAATGTATATATATGTGAATATCTCAGTGCTGGGTCAGTATCGCACTACCTGGTAGACTGCTTGTCAGAAATCAATTCGAATTCATTCATCTTGGTACTCTACCTGACGCCCTTACGCTCAATCGACGATGTTGCTGTTTACTCTGGAGCTTGGGCTCCTTGGAGCAGTGCTCTGCCATCTGACGACGGCAAGCCCATTGGCAGACAGACAACACGCAGATCCCACTGCCACCGTTAAAAATGGAACATACACTGGTCGCTACAACGCTGAGTATGATCAGGACTTCTTCCTGGGAATACCTTATGCTCAGCCGCCAGTCGGCGATCTACGCTACCGCAACCCTGCCTCTCTCAACACATCATGGGACGGAAGTGCCGATGTCACCACCTTCTCCTCGGCCTGTTACAACTTCGGGGTACCCCAGTTTCCCGAAATACCATACTCGGAGGACTGCCTGAACCTCAATGTGGTACGGCCCAGCGGCATCAAGTCAGGCGACAAACTACCCGTTGGCGTATGGATCCACGGTGGAGGCCATACAACGGGTTCGAACCAGGACCCCAACTACAACATGACCTTCCTTGTCCAACAATCCGTCGCTGCAGGCAAGCCGTTCATTGGTGTTAATATTCAGTATCGGATGCAACTATTTGGCTTCATGTATGGCTCGGATGTCGTGGATTCGGGTGTTGGAAACCTTGGTTACAAAGATCAGCACTTGGCGCTTCGTTGGATCCATGAAAATATCGCTGCGTTTGGTGGAGATCCATCCACGGTGACTATCTGGGGTGAGAGCGCGGGAGCAGAAAGCACAGGAGCCCAATTGATTGCATACGGCGGTCAAGACCAGGGTCTCTTCCGAGGAGTCATGTTGGAAAGTGGAGGACCTATTAATCCATACCGATACAACACTCCGAAGGAATGGGATGTCTACTACCACAACATTCTTCGGGCCACCAATTGCACCAAAGCAGCTGATACGCTGGCGTGTCTTCGGACTGTGCCTGTCGAACCACTCTTCGCCATTTTCAACAGCAGTGTGGCAGCCTCAATCCCCTCTTGGGGTATGGAAATCGACGGAGACTTTATTCGGGAGAATGCGCGGGAGGCGCTTGTCGCTGGACGCTTCATCAAAGTGCCAGTGTTGCATGGTCAGAACCATGACGAGGCCACAATTTTCTCCATCACGGGTGTCAACACGAACGAAGATTTCTATGCCCAAGTGAGAGAACGAACCTCTGATAATGCCACTGTGCGCGGTATTGCGGCACTGTACCCAGATATCCCCGCCATTGGAATTCCATCCACATTGGAAGGTCGACCATCTGCAGCACTGGGCTTTCAGTACAAACGCATTTCGGCCTTTATCACTGACCTAATTTGGCATGCGCCTCGCCGGTTGACCAGCCAAATATTGGCCCAACACAACGTCCCCAACTGGAGCTATATGTTCAATGTGAGGCCCAATGGGGTGCCGCTATCAACTGGAGTAGCTCATTTCACCGAGGTGTCATTCATGTTTTACAACATTTTGGGTCTTGGATATGACGAATCGCCGTTTGCCAATACGCCCTCAAGTTATAAGGAGCTGTCAAATATCATGTCAAGATACTGGGTCAACTTTATTGTTGATGGAAATCCCAACGGTGATTGTGGTAAGTGTCCATGCCTTCCTTACTTTATGCTAGTTTTTTCGGATCATTTATCATAAGCTTCATGGAAGCTTTACTGATTCGTGTTCATAGTTTCCAACTACCCTCACTGGCCTGCATATTCCCTTTCAAACCCACAGCAGATGACATTCGATGCCAACACCACTGAGCTTTCGTTCCCTACGCCAGACACATACCGTGCAGCACCGATTCAATATATTATTAACCACTTGGGTTGTTCTTTTGGAAGGTGATCGTGCCAATCAGACCTACGGATGTGAGGATAAAAATAGTCATTGTCAACCCATCTATTTACCTATCTGTTCGGCTTTCTGCCTACCTACCTGTAACATTATGGGAGATTTGTCTGCCAATTGTTCTCATAGATGAACATAAGAATGGTCGACCGCTTATGCGGCTGTGACATGTGTTTTATATGGTCTTTTTATATCTCTAAAGATAACTTTTTTTGAATATGTTCTCCCCTGCTCAAGCTTTAAAGCGAGACGGTAGTAGAAGGCGGAAACGGGCTTGGATAGTGAGAAGGACTTCTCTATAACCTTGAACTATGATCAGTTATGGAGCAAACAAAAGCTAGAAACGTAGTAGCTTGCATCGAACTCTGGATTGATCCAGCCGGTGAAAGATAAGCCGTGATCAGATTGTATATCTACCTTATCTTGAAAGGGTTCTAACAGGATTAAGCTACTAGGATAGAGGTAATTGCTGCCGCAAATCTAATTCTCCTCCTGCTTAACTGCAACTTTGACCTCACCTTCAATGTCTTTACCCCCTTGAAGAATGTCGCGAACGGTAATTGTATTCTCCACGTGCCTGACGCCCTCGAAGATGATATCGATCTCCTCCAACGTCTTATTCTCAGTTGCTGGGAAATAAAGGTACATGATAGGTACCTCCACCAATAGATTCCAGAAGGACGTGATGAGATAGAATCCCCAAGCTGACCAATCCATAGCATATGGGATGGCGAATGTATTAAGGAATGCTGTGGCGTAGCAGACAGCGCTGAAGAAGGAAATGCCATTTGCACGCATCGAGTATGATAACACCTCGACGGGGTACAGCGTCGCAAGTGGTGTCCACACAAGAGAATAAACACCGAAAAAGAGGAAGATCAAGGCCACTTCAGCAGCTGAGGAGGAAACTGTTGGGTTGTCTCCAAATTCTTTTGTGATAACAGCAACTATTATGAGGAGTAAAGACATGACCACAGTAGAGCACACTAGAACAAGATTAGTTACGGCCGCTTTTGATGACATTCTAAGGGGACGAATGGACGACTCACAAAAGCCTCTGCGGCGTCCAATTGCATCGGCTGCCCAAGCACCGACAGCGGAGGTGAAAAGATTGAAAACACTCATTCCAATATTTATACCGAGCTGAGTTTTCGTATCCTTAATACCTGCAGCATCTAGTACGCTGCTAAGGTAGTAAGTAATGATGTTGTTGCCACTCACTTGACAGAAAACTGAGAAATCAAATCAGTAAAAGTAACCTCAAGCTGTGAGCTAACAACTTACATCCAGTGGCTGCAACCACACCTATCCTCCATCGATTGGGGCGAGTTTGAACCAGAGCTTTGAGGTTCGTCTTCTGCATACATTTCTCATGCTCCAAGGTTTGACATATCTCGGCGTACTCAATATCGACAAGTACAGACTCTGGATCTCCATTACCATGATATTTGGTGAGAATAGCTTTCGCTTCATCATGACGATCTTTGTAAATGAGCCATCGCGGACTTTCAGGGATGAATGGCAGTGGGATAAGGCAGCATATTGAGGGAATAAATTGTAGCTTATGACTCATCAGAATACAGCTTCAAAGCCTGAATTTTAATAGAATTCATCCATGGGCGGTATACTTACCAGGGACGGAAGACGCCATGACCACGTGCCTTCGATGTATTGACTTCCATATGTGATACCTGCAGCCATAAGACTGCCAACATACCATGAGCAGCCATATAAACCAGTGAGCATAACGCGATACTTCGGAGGTGCAATTTCCGAAATATATCTAGAAGGATTTAGCAGGTTTAATCACAAAAGAATAACAGATTGAAACGTACGTTGGTGCAGCGGTTGCACCTGTGGTGACTGAGACACCAACCAGCAGTCTACCGCAACAGAACATAACCTCGTGGACTGCAGCACCCTGGATGGCAGCCCCCGTCATTGCTAGAATTGCTGTAATAGCGATGCCCCATCTTCGCCCCCAATTATCAATGATTGGGCCAGCAATAGGCATGGCTAATACCGATCCCACAAAGACAATAGCCACGTTAAGCGCAAGCGTTGTTGTAGTGAGCTTAAAGTAATCGGTATACGAGGGTAAGATTTGCAGACCATTCTATAGAACCATCAGCTCAACATTGACAAGAATAATTTGTAATTATCTAGGGAAGTTGTTATTACCATCATGGACGAGTCATAGCCCTGGGTTGCCGAGTTCGCCGTTGCAACTAAGCAAATCATGGCGAGGAGATACAAAGCATTCCCATCCCCCTTGGTTGTTCGCGGAGGTGGAGTGTCACTTGATGGCTCCATTTTAGCCAAGTCCTCAGATCTCAAGGGAAGTAGATGGCCTAGATTGAGATATGGACAAAGATGGAAGAATCAAATAACGGTCGTTGCTGATATTTTGGTAGAAAGTGTGGATATTTAAAAGGAATTTGAAACCAATTTGGATAGTTGATCCCCACGAATCCAAAGTTTACAAACAGCCAAGGAACCGGCTAAATTACGAATCCTGGTTGTCTTATCGTGAGCGCAACGGGAATACCCTGTCTAGTAATATACAGCGAACTGTTCAGTTGCTCTTCTGCCAAGGTAAGTTAGTAAGTTTGCCCTAAGCTTATTGCGGAGTATGGCGTCGCAACTTCCGACCCCCAAATCTCATACGGGCAGCACTAACGTAATTAGAGTAAATTAGTCGCTACAAGCCGCGTGGACGTGCGTTGAGATAGGATAAGCTTTAAAGTTGTAGATACGTGCATGTGATAATGGACCATTGAACGTTTACGGGATAGTCATACCCTTAATAGTAATAAATCGCAAGTAGCAAGTCTATACGGACTCCTTATTTGGGAGTTGTGATTTCACTGTTTACAATATTATAGTCTTAGAGATATAGGAAAGTTACGTTGTAGGCTAGATCTCGACTGTGAGATAAGGTGTTCTTGTTTCTTCCTATTCCGGTATTTTACCACAAGAGGCCTGCGTCTTTAGGTGGAGTATGGGGCCTAGATCGTAATTTAAAGAGGTGTCTATCGTTTATGATTCAGATTCAGAGTCAGATAACCGAATACGACACGGAGATTGGATCGGAGCTTCGCGACCCTTCCCCAACATCACCCCCGACTTCTCGGGACGATATCGCTTTACGTAATTTGCATCACATTGCTCCGTACGGTTGGGCTTTTTGCGATTCCATAATATACGTATCTATACGTATACCTATCCCGTCGCTGGTTGAATGAAAGGGATCATAATCGGCTGTCGACACCAAAACAACGCGGCTTCTCTCCATAGTGACTTATCTCTTCTGCCCCAATTCCAGCATTCAACATGGCGACCAGAGATGTTGACACTCTGGTACAGGCCTTGACACTAGAAGAAAAGGTCTTATTGTTGTCTGGGGTTGATATGTGGCACGTTCCATCTATTTCAAGACTGGGCATAGGCTCCATTAAGGTAAATGATACTTGCAAGAACTTCCAAACATTAAGAACCCCGGATTTTGAGCAAATTGCTGAAACAAAATACAGACAACTGATGGACCATCGGGCGCACGCGGCAAGTTCGCCGTCGATGGGCCCAAAGCTGCGTTTATCCCCGGACCGGTATGTCAAGGGGCGACATGGTCACGAGCTCAAATCCACAAGCTAGGTCGCTTGCTTTGTCGTGAAGCCAAGACAAAATCGGCCCACGTTCTCCTCGCTCCGACAATCTGTTGCGCTAGGAACCCTTTGGGTGGACGTAACTTTGAGTGCTTTGGCGAGGACCCCTTCCTGAGCGGAAAACTGGCCGAGCAATACGTAAATGGAGTGCAAGAGACCGGTGAGGTTGCAGCGACTGCGAAACATTTGTAAGTGAATCCTGATGGGTATTGTCTAGAAGGACAAATATTCCCTGCGTGAAGAAAAGGTTGCCAATGATGAAACACAGCGTTGCCAATGAGCAAGAACATCTCAGATTCAGCATCGATGCTCAGATCTCTGAGACTGCACTCCGAGAAATTTATCTTCGACCATTTGAGATGATTGTGAGGATGGCATCGCCGCCTAAGTGTATTATGACATCCTACAATAAGGTCAACGGCCAGCACATGGACAGCAACGTACCTATAATCAAGGATATCCTTCGGGATCAATGGGGCTACAAAGGCTTAGTGATGAGCGATTGGGGCGGAACAAATTCAACTGTTGAGAGTCTGCTCGCTGGTCTTGACCTAGAAATGCCAGGCCCGCCTGAACAGCGTGGAGAAAAATTACTGCAGGCGATCAAGTCCGCTCGAAGCGATGATCTTTTGGCTGCGGTCGACGCTTCAGTAGTACGAATCTTGGCTTTGGCTGATAAATTTGATTTGCTTGGCCTGAGTTTGGAAGAGGCAGATCGGACACGAGATAGTCAAGAAGTGTCCTCTACGGCCCCGGAGGACATACAATTGATGCGAGAGGTTGCTGCCAGCGGGATCGTCCTACTCAAGAATACAAAGCAAACACTGCCGCTGCAAGCCGATAGCATTCGCGGGAAACAGGTGGCTTTTATTGGGCCCAATGCTTTGAATGGAACTCCCGGTGGTGGTGGCTCAGCAAGCATGAATCCTCAGTATCTCAGTCGACCAATGGAGTCTTTCAAGGCTGTTGCCGCTAAGCATGAAATTGATGTCACGGTCAAGTATGCTCTCGGTGCCTACTCGCAAAAATGGCTTCCTTTGTGCTCCAACGATCAGTGGGGAATAAATTCGACCATAGATTCAGATAACAAAGCTCTTGTTCGTGTTGAGTACTTTGCTACAAACGATTTCACGGGGCCTGTGGTGGAGACACAATACCGCAACAGCTCCAACATCGATGTTTCCGACAGCTGCCCTGTCGATTTCCAGGTTGATCCTGTCCCGCCATACTCCTACCGCGTGACATCAAATTTGGTCCCCACAGCTACCGGGGAACATTCATTTAGCTTGAGCAGTGTCGGAGGGTCAAGGCTATTGATAGATGGAGAGCTTGTTATCGATAATTCACGCTGGACGGAGCTTGGAGAGACATTCTATGCCTTTGGAAGCGCTGAAGTCGTGGCTAGTAAGCCTCTGGTTGCCGGCAAATCGTATACAGTGCACGTGGAGGCTTGGGTCAATACCTGCGAGCTGTCTGCCAACGCATCGAGCGCTGATGCAAATCATGTCTTTGCCGCTCATCCTTCTGTCCGCATAGGGTACCTCCAGCAGATCCCAAGCGCCGAGAAGCTTATATCTGAGGCCGTCGCACTAGCCAATGAAAGTGCATTAGCCATAGTTGTGCTAGGACTCAACGAAGAATGGGAAAGCGAAGGGTACGACAGAAAGAATATGGCCTTGCCAGGAAGCCAAGACGAATTGGTTGAAGCTCTCATATCGAGCGTGCAACGGCCTGAAACTCTCATATTCGTCAATCAGTCAGGCTCACCCGTGGAGCTTCCATGGATTGACAAAGCATCAACTTTCCTTCAAGCGTGGTACGGAGGTCAGGAAGCTGGAAATGCTCTGGCAGATGTGTTACTTGGAAACACCAACCCCTCCGGAAGACTCCCAGTCACCTGGCCACGGCGTTATACAGACCTTCCCTTCCATTGGAACAAGGAGATATGGCCAGGCGTTGATGAAATTGTCAAATATGAAGAAGATACCCAAGTCGGCTACAGATGGTATAATCACCACCCGGATGTGCTGCCTCTTTGGTGGTTTGGCTATGGCCTGAGTTACACTCTGTTCTCGAGCATTCTCACCAGTGTTCACGACATGGGGACTTACTGGTCAGTCGTGGTGCAGGTTAAGAACACAGGTACGGTCGACGGCCAAGAAGTTGTACAAATCTACAACTGGCCCGCAGGCCAGATAAAGAACACTCTCCTCGTTGGCTTCGAAAAATCGCCATTGCTGAGGCCGAATGAAGACATCACTATCAATGTTCAAGTTCGAAAGCGAGATGCCGCTCACTGGGTAGGGGATAAATGGGTGCTAGACGAGGGCTTATATGCATTTGGTCTTGGGAACGGGGTGAAGGAGGCGATGAAGACGAGTTTAGAGATCAAGGTCGAAAGCCACACTTGGTCGAGCTGTGAATATGAATAAGCAATTGAGCAATATCAATTAATCAATGCTCAAAATTAACATGTTGTCGTCTAATTATTGTGTACTAGCTATTTAGGTCCTTCACCCCAATTGAAGCAACTACAAGAATAGCCGGCTGCGGTTGCGGCCTTGTGACCTCTTTTAGGTTGATCTTTTTAATGAGTCTTTTTAAATGTATTTTCTTCACAGATTCCAAAATCTCATTGAGTAACAAAGTCAGATCACAGATGCTGAGATCCATCTCACTATTTACACAGATCCTCTAGCAATTCCAACATGCGTTGCTGCAACTTCACAAGCTCAGACTTAGAAACTGTAGATGAGGTGGTTCCAGCTGACTCCATTTGACTCCGTGACTGTGCGCCTTCTATGTTTGATGGCGTGTCTTGAACCAACTCTTTCCGAAGCGTAAAGAACGGAATGCCCAGACCGCGCAATTCGGCAATGATAGCATCTCCCATTTGCACGGCTGCCCTATGAACCTTTGCATCGTAGGTTGCAATCTCTGCGGCAAATTCTTTTTCGGTCTAAGAGTAACCAGTTAGAGCGAATAAGCAAAAGAGGCTTTAAGAACATACCGAACCATCTTCCTCTTTTACAGGGGCACCGATTGCCCTCCTTTTTAGCGTTAGTTATCAGTCAATAGTAAACACTACAGCAGTAGCATAGAGATAAACCCACAGGACTGCATCTAGCTCCCTCTGTTTCTCAGGGCGACCCTGCTGCTGCTTCAATAATGCCTCACGGGCTTGGAACCACTGTTGTTCATGGCGGTGTTGACTTCGGATCACACCGCGAATGCGCGCTTGAGTCTCTTCATTTTGACCCACGGTGCGCATCACATGTTTTAGTGCTGCGGGCCAAGTTGTAATAGTTGACGAGTCAGATGCAGAAGTAGAAGTGGTGGATGGTCTCGTAATCCTTGCCTGCGGGGGTCTTGGGTCCTGTGAGGGCTTGGATTGAGACGATGTGATTTTTGCCGGATGAGTAGGTGTAGTTATATGCTGGTTAGAGCTGCCCTGACCCTGAGAAGCTAGACTAGACAGGGTGCTGAGGACTGAATTCAGGTCCGAGGCATTGTAGGAGCCGTCTCCCATATTGAGATAGTAATAGAGCCTCCCGATGAAACCCTGGACGATGCGTATGCTGTTCCAAAAGTTGCTAATCAATATATCAGCCTTGGTGGACTGGTTGATAAATAAAGATTGAAAGTGGTGAGTGAAGATGGATGTAGATGTCAAGTGTTCCAAAGACGATCGGGGAAGGATATATATGCAGAGTAAGGATAGAGAAAGGGCGTGTTCAAAGAGACAAATCAATTTTTATAAAAATAATAAGTAGTATAATTTATTCATAACATATGAATTAAAAATCCCCCCAAAATGATCTCAGAGGACAGAAAGAACCGAAAGAAGATTGAAGTCATACCAGTTGAAGCTGTTTAAATGTCTTGGCGCATCTCCCGTGCTGAAAATTTACCTTCAACCTGCAAATCCCCCGGTTTATCAACTGTCTCCAGCTCCATCACCCCACCACGGCCCTCCAATTGCCTCCGACCAATTTCCAGTCATATTTGTTTGATTTTCAATCCCTATCTTGAGGTCTACCCCCCGAAACCGGGAACTCCCAACATGTCCCGATCCGCCGCAGACGCAACGCGGTTCACGGCCACCGGGCCCTACGCCAACTCTAAGACCGGCGGCGCGTACCAGGCCCCAGACTTCGGGAAGAAGAAGTCCAGCACGAAGTCATCACCACAGCAACTTGGCCCGAATGGCCAACCGGAGACACCCAAGGAGAAGGTGGAACGACTGCGAGCACAGGCACGGGCTGCTCGGAAGGCACAGGCAGCTGGAAGCGGTGCGGATCGATGGATTGAGTCTGGGCGGAAGTTTGCCAATAAAGCGCACAAGGGAATGGTTTATTCATTGATTGCCGCGTCCGGTATGTTTCCTGCCCCGTGGAATAATATGAGCAAAACACCTGCAACACAACATACGATGCTCCAAAGTCCGAGTCAGCGATGACAACAACCGGACCCCCAATTCACCCCCACTGGACTTATACTAATCCTTCTGGATTATACTAGGTGTCTGCGGTGTTCTTACAGTCTACTCGATGATCTCGCTCACCCTCTATAACCGCCGCCAACGCACGCTTTGGATCGAAAAGGAACTCGCGACTCTCAAGGATGCCGAGAATGCCTGCGCCAACGGTACCGCAACTATCGAGCAACAGGAGCTCGTGAAGAAGGAGAAGATCGGCGAAATTATGAAGCAGAAGCGCGAGGAGGAAAAGGCGCAAAAGCCCTGGGCCAAGGCAAAGCGATTCCTCTTCGAGAAGTTGAACATGGAAGACAGCGGTGCCAATGCTGCACCAGCATCCGCATCTGGCCTGGCTATTGAGGGTGCCAGCAATACTCAAAGTAGTGTTATGGAGGCCGTGCAGGCTAAGCAAGCTCTGGATGCTGCTGCGGCGAAAACTGGCGCTCCTTTGCCCGGTCAGTTGGATGTGCTGGCCGAGAATGTTGAACAAGCTGCAAAGGCCAAGACATCTAGCTGGACCGGCTGGTTGACGGGGCGATAGATGGGTGTGACTTTTGGTCCTCCAAGCAGACAAAAAGAAAGAAGGACGGACCGGATGGGCCGATTGGCATAATGCTATAACCTGTCATTGGATGCAATGCTGATCTGTTTCATCATCTGCCTCAACCTGGACCCGTCTCTCCGCTGATCTTCACTTCTCACCATTTGCTATACTTATTTTTCTCTTGCATGGCAAGCCGCGATCTTTTCTCGTGGCCTGCTTCCATTTTCCCAGGGGGTTCACGGCGTTTTCTTCTATCTTTCTGGAATGTGTTCCTAGTCAGTATGGTCTTTCTTGATACTCCGAAGGGAGTGGACGGGTGACCTTCAATGTATATCGTGTACAGTACATAGATCTGCTTCTATCTGCTCTCATTTCTACTCCGTATTCATCTTCAGATCCCTACAATGTAACCTACTATGGTGTGTATACCACCTATGGATACCACCTGCCGCCCCCACCACCTACGTAGTAGCTCACTTAGCAATAATTTCGCCCGAAACAGACTCTTCTGACCTAAGTTTGTGCACTAAACCCCAAAGAGGGAGGGACCCATCCCCAACACCGGAGAAGCGCTTTGCCGCTCAGGGACCACACCTGGTCCATGCATGTAGTGGAGCAGGAAAAAAAGGGAATTCGTATAAGTAGAGGGGAGACCCTAGAAAAATATAAATATGAAAAAAAAGCAGATTCAGCCTTTGATCATATTCCTAAACTTTTGGCTACTCATACTAATGAAATCTTCAACAGTCCCAGCGAAATGCAAACCCCTCATAAATGTTTTTTGACACCAACTACACATTCACACATGAATCCCAAGGGGGCTTCCCAAGGAACAAGCAGGAAAAAAAAAGGTACAAAGGAAAACCGCTGAAAACCCGAGAAAAAGAAACAAACAGGCACCGAAACAAGGTATCTATGCCAGACCCGTTCTCCCTCCCCTCCACGGAAGAAGGGCTGTGAAAATCAGAGACAAGAAGTGCATCATCTAGAGAGGGAAAAAAAAAGAGAATTCCTCTATTGCTGCGCTTTCCGGGCAGCGCGACGAGCACGAACACCATCAGCGAGATCCTCAAGCACCTCGACCGTCATCTCCCAGTTGATGCAAGCATCAGTGATACTGACACCGCGGAGAAGAGCCTCGGGTCCCTCGGGGGGAACCTTCTGGTTACCCTCGTAGATGTTGGACTCGATCATGACACCGATGATAGCAGTCTGACCCTCACGGAGCTGATCAGAGACCTCCTTGGCGACGATGGGCTGGTTAAGGTGGTTCTTGTTGGAGTTACCATGGGAGCAGTCGACCATGAGGACCTCACGCTGCTTCTTGGAGCGGAGAGCCTCACGGGCAGCCTGGATGCTAGCGCGGTCATAGTTGGTGCCTCGGTTTCCACCACGCAGGATGACGAAACCGTGCTCGTTACCGGAGGTCTTGGTGATGGCAGCCAGACCCTGCTTGGTGACGCCGAGGAAGCGGTGGGGGTGCGAGGCGGCGCCGATGGCGTCCACGGCAACGGTCAGGTTACCATCGGTGCCGTTCTTGTAGCCGATGGGGAAGGACAGGCCGGAGGCGAGCTCGCGGTGAAGCTGAGACTCGGTGGTGCGGGCGCCGATCGCGCCCAGCGAGATCAGATCTGCCAGGAACTGAGGGGAGATGGTGTCGAGCATCTCCGAGGCGATGGGGAGTCCCGTGCTGGTCAGGTCGGTGTACAGCTTACGGGACACGCGCAGACCCTTGTTGATGTTGAAGGTCTCGTCGATGTCGGGGTCGTTAATCAGACCCTTCCAGCCGACTGTTGTGCGGGGCTTCTCCAGGTAGGCGCGCATGATCACGCAGATGTCCTTCTCCAGTTTAACGGAAAGCTCCTTGAGTCGGCGGGCATACTCGAGTGCGGTGTCGGGGTCGTGGATGGAGCATGGTCCGACAACGACTAGTAGACGGTCATCACGCTGCTCAATGATCTCGATTGCTTGGTTCCGGCCAGCGCGGACTGTCTCAATGGCACGAGCGGGCTATACAGACAATTGCTGTCAGTTGGTGCGCTTGGAATTGCCATGTCCCCGCAGAGAGCGGGGTGAAGGGAAAAAAAATTTACTCACCGCGGGGATCTCATTTTGCAAGAAGTTGGGCGACAGCAATGGGTCGTATCCGAGGACTAACAAGAAGAAGATCGTTAGCATCACACACGCAATTGGCTCCGAGCACAATTCCACATACCACGAGAGTCCTCGTTGACTTCAGTAGTGCTGATGAGAGGCATTATGTTCAAGAAGCACTAGTGGTGATTAGTATAAATTATATAGAAGATTATAGAAGAAGATTCTCCAACTGAAATCAATCCCAGTTTAAATCAGCAGAAATGACTCACAAAGTTGGGCCGAGCGTGTCGAGGGGAAAAATGGTGACAAAAATTAAGAAAGGCAAAAGTGGGCCAAAAGACTTTGCGGGAGACAAGGGATGGCTTTTGTACTGCGAATCGTGCTATTTATGGATTTACTACGGAGTACTCCGTAATATGATTATTATGATTATTATAATTGTTACATGTATATTATTGATTTTAAACATAAAAGCTAAACTGCATGGTATTTACTGCATGTATCACTGTAGGGGAACAAGATCTAGTCATCTTTTAGCTGTCGAGTGCATATTCTGAGAGATCCAATCACCGGGCCGGGGATGACCACACACACATAGTCCTACATTGGGTGTGTTATACACAATGTCCCACTGTTTTTTTCACCGAAGGATCATTCTCTCTCCGGCCTGCATATCATGTCATGTATTTCTGTTGTCATACTGGCCCTTCATTCTCTTATGTACTCCATACATGATTGGTCAAATAGCTGGTGTTCTTGATGTATCATATAGAGGGTGACCTAATCGGGTAATGATCAATAGAACAGAACAGAACAGAACAGAACAATAAATACAATAGAACGACGAATAAGATAATCAATTAAGTTCATTGATATTAAGGAACTCTATTGTGAATGAAAGAATTCAATCAAGTTAATCACTATTGTTCCTCTCAGAATGGTCTGAATTAAGCCTCACTCTTCTATGACTATATAATCATGTATCTATGGATGTATATACTTTGTGCTCCCTTCTTTCCATTCTGATACGTTCTTTCCCAAACACTTTCCCTTGCATTTTCATTACCTGGAACTCCGTCAGGTACTGTACCAGGCAATGATGTCCACTTCCAAGCGAGTTCTGGAGGGCCTGGAGCATTCAAAAGCAAAGGTAAGTCAGCTATCCACCAACATTTATCCCTGCCACTAATCAAAGGTAGAGAGTTTGCCGTCCTGCACCCTTGGACCTTGAATATTCCTCCGGCCTGCCAACCCATCTGGCCAATGGGGACAATTTGTCTCCATTTGTGATCCAGAACGGTCAGCCCTCGCCAATCCCCGGCGAATTGTTCAGCCAGGTGCTGAACATCAATGGATCATCCAAGACCGTGTTCACCAAATTAGTCAACGGCGATGATCTGTCTCCCCGGCTGGTCCAACAAATTGGCCAACCCTCGCCAATTCCTCACGCCCTGATCAACAAGTCATTGAGCATCAATGAAACTTCCGAGGTCACTCGCCCTCAGGGCCCATTCCTCTTCTCTAGCAACCAAGGAAACACCCAGTCCACAGGCGAGTTTAACCCTCGTCTTTCTACCCCCAACGACGGTGCATCGAACACCGTGAACGTGAACTGGCCACTTCCATACACTCGCTCCGTCGGTCCGGTTAACGAGGATGGCTTCGCCGTCATTACTCAGACCTGGTATGATTACAGCTCCATGACGGACTCAGACTCACAGTCCTCTTTCAATCCCGAATTCTTCCCCACTCCTCGAACCCGCACGCGAGTTCAGTACTTCGGCCGGCCCGATGGAAGATCTCGCAAGAAGCCTCGCTTTATTTTGGGGTTTCGTCGCGGTTGCCCTCAATGTTACCACCGGGTCCCTGGCCATATGAGCCACATTGTTTTTCTTGAGTCGCCCGACTCACGATTTCTATGAATGAAATGACTTTGACATGACGCCTGCGAATGACATGGACAACGCTCAAGGCCTCATGTTCAATCACAAAAGCTGTGCTTTTGAACTTAGTTTCTAGAAATACTGAATAAATTCTCTATTACACCATGCACCTCGATCCCTCTATTTATAGTTCCCTCTTTTTACGGGTTATAGTCCGTCGGTAGCTCCATCAATATCCCCCAAGCAGCATCACATGCCACCTCTCCTTTGGCCAGCAACCAGCCAGCAACACAGCACTAAGCTATTGCACCATTTAGACCCACATTTATAATGCGCCTATAGTACCCTATTTTGACGTCCACTACTATCTACTGTTTTTGGGCTTCCCTTTATTATAGCGCTGATTAAATAAATGGCATGGTGATAATTCTATAAACTAAATGTGGGATAAACTTCAGCTCTTTGTTCTACTTCAAAGAGATATAGAATCCTATCAAAGCAGACGCTAATCCTTACGTTGATGTGATTGGGTCCTTTAATTCTGTAGTCATAAGTGGTTAGCATCCTAATATTTGGCGAGATATACCACATGAAGTGTCGACAAGAAGCAGGTACGCTCTCTTTCAGGTTTGCTTTCAAGCTCAGCCTACTTTGACTGTGTTTGTCCTTCTCTTTATTTCCATCCTCCTCACCTTTGTTTTCAGCTGCCCCTCGTAACTTTTATCTTTCCCTTTTCTCTTCCTTCAACCTTCTGGACTACACTTTTCATCTCTCTTCAAAAAGCATCTTCAGCCACAATGCCTTACACACCTGCAGCCGCTTTTCCTGTTCGCATCAATACGAAGAAAAAGAGGGTCAAGAAATCTGAGGTGTCTGAATTGGCCCCCGTGCCGCGAGAGTCACAGATACCCCAAAAAGAGAAAGCTCATCATCTGTCTCAGGTAAGCACTGGTCCTGGTCTCGGGATCACACTGGCATGACCTACCTCACCTATTCTCGCACAAAAGTCATTTTCCACATACTGATAATTATCGCCAGGTAATGGAGGGCTGCGTGCACAGCTCCACTGTACATGGTACAAGAATCAATGGCAGCCGCCACCACGTAGCGGGCTCTCCCGAGAGGACCGGAGAGATAACCCCTGCAGAGCGCCGCTTCTGTGCCGAGAATGAATACCCCGCCCGGTTCACCTTGCAGGAAATCGAAATCGACATAGGCTCGTGGATGTGCCTCGCATGTCCCACTTCGACCCGCAAATGTCTGGACTGCAAACAATACGAAGGCCACGAAGACTCCCTGATCATCGCCATTCATGGCGAATGTCTCACTGAAAAGACCAGAAAGCGTTCAGCAATCGGAGTATTCTACGGCCGTGGCAACGCTGGCAATATCTCGTGGCCCATTCCAGGCAAGGACGACCACAGTCACACGACCCAGATCGCCGAGTTGACTGCCTGCCTGCGGGCCTTGCGCAATGCAACCTCCATCATCGAGAAACGCCGCAACATGACGCAGAAGGGCAAGGTCCTCATGCCGCTGAATACCTTCGTTATCAAAACAGACTCCGAGTACCTCGTCCGCAGCTTGACGGAGTGGCTGCCGAAGTGGAAGAAGAATGGATGGAAAACTTGCAAGGGCGTTCCAGTTGCTAATGCTGATATGTTCAAGCTGGCAGAAACTGGTATCATCATGGTTGAGACGGTCGTTCAGGTTAAATTCTGGCTTGTGCCCAAGGAGAACAACCTGGAGGCTACTTGCCTGGCAAAGATGGCTTTCGCGGAGGGATGAGCAAGGGGAACCATCCATGTGCCCCTCATTGGGGGTTATCAATTCAATGAACTTATCACAGAATCTCTAAATGAATCCAAAAGATATCAAATTCGGGAATGTCTTCATTGTCCTCGGCTTAGCTTCCGGTTCCAAAGTGCCGAACCGAAATGGCTGACATAAGGATCCGATGGGCTCCCGATGTCCACCTAGACAGCTCGGAGGTTTACAACATATGGCTGTCATCAGAATTACTCAGTATTGTAGAATTCGAAGCGTTTGATAGAAGACTATTAGTAAAACTTACAAGACTAGGATATAGAACTGGAAGTTGGAATATCCAACAGCTTCTCCCCACATTTTTCGCGGGAAACCGCTTAGCCGATCTTCAGTGCCGCGGCCACTCAGGAACGGTACTGGGGGACCAAACTACTTCCGACCCCGGAATTTTGTCCGGCATTTGCCTATAAGTAATTTTGGTGGCCCCGGGGAGGTTTGGATGGAGTTGTTGCCGGTTTCCTCTTTTCTCTTTCTTGCATACTTTAGCCATTGTTCAGATGTGAGTAACTATTCCAGGGCATGATATTCCACTCGACTGACAGCGCCCAGAAAGACCGGAAATACCCTTGGCCCTCGGTATACAACGTTCAACTAATTCCAAATAATCCAACAAATCTACAAAACAATGGCTTCTCCAATTCCCCGCGGACTCCGCCAAGTGCTCCAAAAGTCCCCCAATGACATCGTCATTCTCTCCTCGCTGCGCACGCCCGTCACCCGCGCCAAGAAGGGTGGTTTCAAGGACGCCTACCCAGAAGAGCTGCTCGCCAGCGTGCTGCAAGCAACACTGAAGGCAAACCCAAACCTTGACCCCGCCCAGATCGACGATGTGCTCATCGGCTCCGTCCTACAAGAACTCGGCGGCGCCAAAGCTGGCCGCATGGGCCAGATCCACGCCGGCTTCCCTCACTCCGTGCCCTTCAACACGATCAACCGCCAATGCTCGTCCGGACTGGCAGCAATCACAACAATTGCGAACGGCATCCGCGCCGGCGCCATTAACGTCGGCGTCGGCGGCGGCATGGAATCCATGACCCGCAACTACGGCTCCCGTGCCATCCCCACGGTCCTCTGGCCCGAGCTGAAGGAGTCCCACTCCCAGGACGCACGCGACTGCATCATGCCCATGGGAATTACCTCGGAGAATGTCGCGTCGCGCTACGGAATCTCCCGCGCAGACCAAGACGCTTTCGCCGTCGAGTCTCACGCAAAGGCCTCAGCCGCTCAGAAGGCTGGCCGCTTCGACTCCGAGATCGTCTCTGTCACTACCAAGACCCTTGACCCCGAGAACCCAGATGCCCCCGCCAAGGAGGTGACCGTCTCCCAGGACGACGGTATCCGCCACGGTCTGTCCCTCGAGAAGGTCGGCGCGCTCAAGCCCGCTTTCTCGCCTACCGGCGCTAGCACCGCCGGTAACAGTTCACAGGTCAGCGACGGTGCCGCCGCCGCTTTGTTGATGCGTCGATCCACGGCTGAGGAGCTGGGTCTGTCGGGTTCTATTAAAGGGCGCTGGGTCGCGTCTGCTGTCGCAGGCTGTGCCCCCGATGAGATGGGTGTTGGCCCTGCTGTTGCCATCCCTAAGCTTTTGCAGGCTGTTGGTGTTGAGGTCCCCGACGTCGGTGTGTGGGAGATTAATGAGGCTTTTGCTTCGCAGGCTCTCTACAGCGTTCGTAAGCTTGGTATCGATCAGGCTAAGGTCAACCCTAACGGTGGTGCTATTGCTATCGGTCACCCACTCGGTGCTACCGGTGCTCGCCAATTGGCTACTCTGCTGCCTGAGTTGGAGCGTAGTGGTCAGGAGATTGGTGTTATCAGCATGTGCATTGGTACAGGTATGGGTATGGCGGGCATGTTTGTCCGCGAGTAAGTCTTTTTACTTGCTTTACACAAAATGTTCTTTTTTCGATTTTGCTTAGCAGTATGATACCAGCGGTACATGTGTATATACAGTTTGCATACTATGAATGATTATTTTTCTTTTGTACAGACCAGAGTAGCCGTCGAAGCATGTTTCTCAGTCAACATCTAGCGAGGATTTGTTTTAAAAAGATGCAAGAACTGGAAGAGATAGAATACATCACCGTGGACAATTCTATTTACGTAAAATAATTTATTTACAATGTCAAAGTCCTGGCATTGCAGAGAAATGAACACCAAAATGCCAAGCATCAAGATCACCAGCACGTGACCCGCGCCTTTCTTGAATTTGTTTCTCCGTCCGGGCCAACTCCGCCAGCTCGACGCTCTCAGACAACATTCGCGCCCACCTTAACAATGCGGCCCTCAATGCGCCTCCCTCTGCGGGAGGCAAACTTTGTCTGTTCCAGCTGCAGAATTCAAGCTAACCCCCGTGTCTCGCCGCTCGGTCAAACCCGCCGCTATGCCTCCGACACCTCCCCCGGAATCCTCGAGCGCGCTCGGCGCAAGATTTGGGGCACCGACAAGCCCCCAGGCCCAGCAGACCCCTACACTGGAAGTCAGATCATGCCTGGGGCTGGTCTGAGTCCCGGAGAGCCCGTACAAGAGGAGGCATTCAGTCTTCAAGAGGGTGAAGCACAATCTGAAGAAATCGATGAGAACCTGACCTGGGAGGGAATGCCCAGGATTGGTTATCTCAAGGAGAAAGAATGGCGTCTGAAGGGTCCGAAGGGACATGCTGATAGAGTCAAACCGTACGTTTGATCCGAGTTTCCAATTCGATCCCTCTGCATCCTAGTTTGTCCTCAATGGGTTTGCTAACGATGTCCTTTTTGATTGATCGAACAGATGGTACCACAACCCAAGACCTTTACCGTACATGAAGGCTGCGCACCAAGCTGCCGTGGAGATTGGTCTGAAGCAAATTTTGGGCGAAAAGGTCACCGTTGTTAGCAAGAACAGCAGCCGAGCGATCGAAGCCCAGCTCAAGTCGGTTAAGATTGAAGGTCAATCTGGTAACTGGGGCGACCGTCTCCGGTTCCCCGACATTAAGACAATGGAATCTCTTCTGCGCAATGCAGCAGGGGTTGTGGACGGCAAAGCCGGCGATGTCGCTTTCCAGGAGAAGTTGAAGATAGCCACCGAGCAGGGAGATCGCCTGTATGGCGCAGAGTCCAAGGGTCAGCTGCAGAACAGCCTCAGCTCTCTGTCGCTGGCTGATGGAAACGTCAAGTTTGTTGTTCGTATTCCCCCTTCAACCCTTTTATAGCCAACATCACTAACAACTACATTTCAGTTCTTCGCCCGCCTCTCCAAATTGATGTCTCAGCACATTTCTGACTACATCATCACCTCTTCCACCACTACTGGAGATGTCTTCCGCGCACAGGAGGCACTTCGCAAAAAGACTACCAGATTGACGCCTGTGCTTCTCCATAAGATTATGGATAAGAACGGCGCCGCTGAATTGCCTAACGTCAAGATTCTCGATGTCCGTCAGACTCGCCATGACAACGATGAAGATCTTGGCCGCAAGAAGGTTATTGTTTCTGCGCTCTACAAGGGTGGTTTGATTACCAAGAGCCTGGGTCAGAAACAACCGCCGCCCTGGAAGCAGGCTAAGAAGACTGAGCTGAATGCCTAGGCCTTTCTTGATGTTTTGTAGAATGTTGGAGGCATCCCTTTTCCTTTATCTAGGAGCAATCTTTTGTACATTAGAATTGTTGACTGAATTGCATTTTTGTCCTTATTTCGTTTCATCATGTCGAGTGAGTTTAGGTAATTGTACATGTTAATTTTGGAATGTACGGTGTGTCTACCAGCCTATTCCTCCAGCGTACGAGATAAGTACGTTCATAAGATTTCCGAATTTCACTTATCTTAATTAGTTTTTGTAGACCAGTCTAGATGCGATAAGCGAGTCGGGTTCAGACAGACGGGATGGTCACCGTTAGGCGTTGCACTAATCCAGGTTTCCAAGTTCCATCGCGACAAAAGGTAATCAGATTTTGCCGGCATGTGCTCGGGATGGTATGATTTTGTCGCGCATATTCCAAGGCTCGACATCTCTTAGTCTCCACTCACAGCAGCAAATAGACCTCTTTACACATCGCTCTAAGCGTGGTTCCAAAAGAGGTGTTGATTCAGGCTGGTAGGCTCGCATTGGTATTCTCTAAGTACATTCTAGTGATGAGTAGTGCTTCATGATTATGGTCCAATGCCATTGCTTACCCCTCAAGAGCTTATCGGAATATAGCTTCTACGTAGGTGACATTTTTCTTTTATATATATTTCAGGCGATCGAGGGAGCAACCGAAGCATATCTCAGCTGATCGAGGGAACAACTGTAATAGTATAAAGACTCCAGTGTATCTTTATGATCGGAACCTAGCGTCTCCTCTCGGCCCCGAAGCGTTCGCGAGAAGATCCTTTGTGCTTCTTCAAACCGATCTTGTTCAATAAAGGTGTGACCGAGCCAAAGTGCAGAACAGAGGGTTTGTTGATGATCACATCCTAGCACCTTCACTCTCACACGAAGAGCTTGTCGATACATGATTTCTGCTTCTTTGTGCAGTTGTTGATAAAAGAGCGAGTGTCCGACCCAGTGTGCAGAATGCGCTGTCTCTTCGTCGACATAGCCTACTGTCTTTTCTCGCCCTTGAAGCCCCCGCCGGAACATTCTCTCTGCCTCTTTATGTCGTTTTTGGTGGAAGAACGAGTCACCAAGCCAGTATGCAGATTCCAATGTTTTCTCGTGATCATGGCCTAATACCTTTTCCCGCCCTTTCAGAGCTTGTCGGAAGAAGTATTCTGCTTCTTCGTACCCTTCTTGGCGATAAATCGTGATACCGAGCCAATGGGCAGAATCTAGTGTTTGTTCGTGATCGTAGCCTAGTATGCTTTCTCGCCCTTGAAGAACTTCTCGGAACATGTGCTCTGCCTCTTTGTATCGTCCTTGGCGATACAATGAGTCGCCAGCCCAATACTATCGTCTGAGTGTTGAGGGGAGAGGCTTGCTAGTCGCGGCTTCATTTCCTGAAACAGCTCGCAGTGTAGTCTGCCCAGAAGAGTTTAATCCCGTTTCCTGTGGCGTGGTGGTCTGCTCTGGGGTATTGTTAACCAGAACCACTGTGGCGGTTGAATTAGGCCTGCTTTGTTGAATATCCTCGTGTGCTTCTGGAATAGTTTTCCAGGATGCAAGCTCTTCCGTCATTGTTGAAGCTAGAGATAGAGCTCGTGGCTCACCTGCAATGATTCTCGTGGATACGGTGGGTTGAGGGATTTGCGGCGAAGAATACTGCGAAGAATACTTCCAAGTTTCTTGCGTCGTGTTAGTCTGCTGTGGAGTGTTGTCTATTGGAACCTTTGTGGTGGTTGAACGAGGCTTGCTATCGAGAATATCCGAGAGTGCTTTTGGATTGGTATTCCAGGACGCAAACTCTTCCGTAATTGTTGAAGCTATGGAGGGAGCTCGTAGCTCATCTTCAATTATTATCGTGGGCATGACAGGTTGAGGTATTTGTGATTGTATCCAGGGGTTTGACATGGCAGCTGCGGTAGATAGTCTATCATTGGGGAACAGGCGCATCAGGGCAACCACAAAGTCAACACCCATTTGACTCACGCCAGCATCGATGAGCATGGTGTCTGGGAAACGCTGCTGATTTCTGTATACTGAAAGCAATCCGTTATTCGCGAACGCAGGTTTCTTGGTGAGAATCTCGTGTGTAACCGCTCCAAGAGCCCATATATCAGAGGCATAATCAGTGCCTCGATCAATAAACTTCCAAAGTTCAGGGGCAATATATCCATGTGTTCCTTTCAGCGTCGATGAATACCCATGAGATCCTTCATCACGTTTGGCAAGACCAAAGTCTGCCAGCTTGATCCACCAATCGCCGGGAGGGTGTCTTTTGATAAGGATATTCTAGTCCCGGCTTAGTAGAAGATCTCTTTTCCAAAGCTAAAGAGCAAGCTCACGTGTGGTTTCAAGTCTCGGTGAGCAAATTCATGGCGATGCATCATGTTCAAACCATCGAGGATCTGATATGCAATTTGTTGCGCCTCGTTCTCAAGTAATGGCGATGTTGGCGGTCTTCGATCAAGATACGTGGCAAGGTCACCGATTTCGAGATATTCCATGGCGACGAAGAGCTGATTGGGACCTTCGTACCATCCGAATGATTTGACGAAGCGTGTTTTGTACTACTCTAGTTAACACACATTCTCGGAAAAGACTGATTTGAGAGACTAACTCGAGGATGTGAGAACTTAGCAATTGCTTCCAACTCACGGTTATAGTCGATCTTGTCTCGCGTATTGATCGAGATCTGCTTGACTGCTCTGACTGCGCCATCTTGGCGCCCTCCTCCGATGCACTTCTCCAAGTAGACCCTACTAAATCCACCAAATCCGATATCTTGTTTATGGTGCCAATACTTGAGTCGAGTCACAAGACGCCAGCCAGAGTTTGGATCTGGCTCTTGGAAAGTGTGGACTGTACAGCCCGCGTGAAACTGTGTTTCAAGCTTTGAATCTCGGATGAGATCTGAAATTCGCGCCATTTGGATGTTCAAGTGGGTATTGCACGAGTTGGTAAGGTGTGTTCTTCCCCACTATTGATGGTCTAGAATCGGCCGATGAAGAAAAATATGGTTTTGAAGCAATGATATTGACCGAGATGGGGGGAGAAGGAAGAAGCTCCCTCACCCCGAACTATCTATCTATGGGGTCTGCCAGCACAGGGCCGCTATATACTCACCACCTGCCAATAGCTATGCCTCACTAACCGCCCAAAACGAACACCCCCTGCACATCACCTGATACAGCCCCTCTAATGCGATCTGATTTAGGTCTACGGAGTAGGCCCTACCACGTTATTCGATCTCTCGCATTTCATATGTTGTACATCATTATCATCATTGCTCCAGCGTACAACGCTACAGTCACCATCAATCATTGAAGAACATTAAAAGCCCTATGAACTCCAGAAATCAAACTCCCCCACGACCTTGTGTGACATTGAAAAGCAAAGGCACTTGATTCGGGCCTAGTTTCTACCTCTGCGCAGCAGAAAGATGGAACACTCTTAGGTCATGATATGGAAAATCCTCTAGTCATGAAATCACGATTCTTGGACCCGGTATCCTTCTTGGTGAAAAGACTGTCGAGATTTTCATTCCCACCCATCATCTTCCGGCGTTTCTTCTTCTCATTCTCCTCCGCCAACACACGGGCAGTGAGCGAAGAAGTAGCAGCGTTCTTGATTCCATTGCTAGAAGCAGTACTAAGCACCGGCGTGGAAGTGTTGCTTCGGCTTTTGGTATCCGAGGATTGCTTAGGTACTATCAAGCCAGCAGGTTCTATGGTGCCGGGAGCATCAGTGACACCCTCGGCAGTGGCGTTCTTCTTGCGCTTCTTTGAGCCGGGAGCTTTTTTGAGAGAATGCGTGAGCCCTTGTTGGGCAAGTTTCTGGCCTCGCGCAATCAGACGTTCCTTGTCTTCTTTTTTTGTGGTAAGGATGTTAATGATGTTATCTTCGGTGTAGGACTCATTGCACTAGCACACACACGTCAGCCACTATCCCCACTTTGTATCCAAGATGTGGTTCTTACCTGTAAGCACTTGTCGCCTTTAAGCTGTCGGATAGCCTCCTCTGCAAACACATGTCCACACGGCACCAGATACACAGACTTCACACTCGGGCCCAACGGCTTTGCGGTGACCGGGCAGATCCAGCCCTCGCGGCGCTCGCGGGGCGCATAAGCACGGCCTGACGGGTGCTCAGTAAGCTCAGTATCGACTTCAAATTTCATCTCAACCACATCCCGGACCGACTTTACTCGTCCGCACAGGATCTCTTCGCAGTCGGCCTTGGAGCTAATGCCCTCGACATCGTCGCCGGGGAGCAGGAACTGGAGTATAGCATCCTTGTTGTAAAGATTCCCGACTGAGTCTGATACTATTGGCCGGGATAGGGACTTGTGGGAGAGCGGACAGGTAGTCCATGAGTGTTCTTGCTGCTCGCGCTGGGTCTCTTTTACTTGCGCCGTGCTTGGGGCACGAGCTGCTTCGCGGACGAGCTCGCGGCGAGTCGGAATACTAGAAAGCCTTGTGTTAGAAAGTTCAATTCTGTAAGCACATCTGTAACAGAATTACTCACCTGCCACCGTCATTACCCATGTTTGCGATGCGGTTGATGTAAGATACTCTCACCTCGCCACGATAAAGTTAGAAAGATAGCGTGCTGACTCAGCGCCGATTAGATCCAGCCCGGGCCCGCTATCAACAGCTGGCCAGAAGCTCTCTCCGCACCTCCACAAACAAAGCTCAATGCCTCAAGCATGAGACTCCCTCAGTCGTTATTGTTGCTGGCTGCCGCTGGGTCGGTGGCCCAGGCTAGTAGTGACAAGCCTGCCCGTCCCCGCGGCTTGGGCCCAGAATGTGAGTATTTGGACCCTGTCTTTTAGATCTAGTGTTTCTGCAGCCAGTTCATGTAGCAGTGATCTATGATAGGCAATTGATCCTCTTTGTTTTGAAGATTATACTAATATAGTATCCTTAGTTGCCAAATTCTACCAGGACTCAACAACATTCACTTGTATCTCGAATCCCTCGGTCCAAATCCCCTTCTCGGCCGTCAACGATGACTACTGTGACTGCCCGGACGGTAGCGATGAGCCCGGCACATCTGCCTGCGCACATATCTCACGCAATTCGCCGCTGACAGTGGCCGATCGACCTGGAAATAGCGATTTGGACACCGCACTCGCCCTCCCGGGCTTCTACTGCAAAAACAAGGGCCACCGGCCATCATACGTTCCATTCCAGCGTATCAACGATGGTATCTGTGATTATGAGCAGTGCTGTGATGGTAGCGACGAGTGGGCTCGCGTTGGGGGCACGAAGTGTGAAGACCGATGCAAGGAGATTGGCAAGCAATGGCGGAAGCAGGAAGAGCAGAGTCAAAAGTCGATGACTGCTGCCCTGAGGAAGAAGAAGGATCTACTTGTCGATGCCGGTCGCCAGCAGAAGGAGATCGAGGATCACATCGCCGCGCTAGAGGCCGAGGTTCAGGGTGCTGAGCTCAAGGAACAGAACCTTGAGGCTGATCTGAAGCTCGCCCAGGAGCAGGACAGTAAGGTGGTCCGCACTGGAAAGGGTAAAGGCAAGGTCGCTGCCCTTTCCAACTTGGCCAAGGTCCGTGTTGATGAACTACGCAATGCGTTGGTCGACGTGCGTCGCCAGCGGGATGAAGCCCGCGAGCGGGTGAAGGAGCTTGAGGATATTCTGGCTAAGTTCAAGGTCGAATATAACCCCAACTTCAATGACGAGGGTGTCAAGCGTGCGGTCCGTAGCTATGAGGACTATGCTGCTCGTGAGCAAGGCACTGATGGTGCGAACGGTGCCGTGGACCGTGACTTGGACGAGATTGCCAAGGCCGACGGCGAGGACAGCGGAGTTAACTGGGAGCACTGGGAAAACGAGGAGGATGGATGTAATGACTCGGATCTAGGTAAGTTATTCCTTGGTTTCTTATGACACCTAGTGTAGCTTACTAACGGGCAAATGTAGTGTACAAGCTCGCTGCTTATCTCCCACCATCACTTGTCAGCTTCATTGAGGGCAAGGTCGTTTCTGTCAAGGGCTACCTTGAAGAAAAAGGCATTTTGCCCAAGGCTGATGAGAACTCTTCCTCGGAATCCAAGGCCGTGACCCGAGCACGCGACGCCCTCAAGGCCGCGCAAGACTCTGTCTCAAGTCTCAAAAACAAGCTACGCGACCAGCGTGCAGACCTTGAGCAGGACTATGGCCCTAGCTCCATCTTCCGCGCCCTTAGGGGAGTATGCATCACCCAGGATGCAGGTGAGTACACGTACGAGCACTGCTTCCTTGAGTCGACCAAGCAGAACCAGAGGAAGGGAGGCAGTTCCGTGTCCATGGGCAAATTTTCGAATGTTGGAACCACGAGCGTGGAGGAAGTCAACGCGGCTGGCGAGGTCGTCAACGTTGAGAAGATGACTATTGAGTACAATCGCGGCCAGTCTTGTTGGAATGGACCTAACCGGTCGACCAAGGTCATCTTGGAGTGCGGTGAGGAGAACAAAATCTTGAAGACAGCGGAAGAGGAGAAGTGCGTGTACTCTATGCTTGTTACCTCGCCGGCTGCTTGTGCAGGTGGTGAGGAGGCAGGTAATGGCGCGCCTCGCTCGAAAGACGAGTTGTGACGGCGATGTTAGATTAGATATCTGTTAATACATGTGTATTGAATGTTTATTTCATATGCATCCCATTGGTTGGAATGAATTGCAATTTGAGCGCTTTTGTACACGACTGTTGTTGTTTCTTACGCATGTAGTATCAAAGTATGCATTTGTCTCTCGGTGATCGGAGTTCGACACAACATATCTCAAAGGTGCCAATGCAGGTAGACGGACGGGTCATTGCATGAACAGATCAAATTGCACTTACAGGAGCATATATTGGATACAACTAGAAATCACAGATCACAATATAACCAGGTTTATAGTTGTCTGAAAACTAAATCACAAGAACATACATGAGGTCAAATCTGAACCTATATAAACTTAACACCCCATCCACAAGGCTCCAGGCCCTATCCCCAGATCCTAGCATACAATCATCTTGGTCATGAACAATCACAATGGAATTATCTCATAACTTCGGCAACGAGGACACCCGCACCCCAGCTAGTTCGATAGCAGTGGGAGCCCGGGTCTGGTATGGGTTGTATGGGAGGAAGATGGCAGTGGTGAAGGCTTGTGAGCTGGCTTAGTGCTAGAAAAGCAATTAGTTTATCTCTTGTCCCAGGGTTGTATCCCACTCCAAGTGATGGTGCTTATAGGATCCGGAGTGAGTAAGTAATGACATACAGTGCAGGTGGAGCAAGCGCAGGAGTTGCACTCGCCGGAGCAGCAGTTGCAGGTGCAGGGAGACATGATGAATATAGATTTGGTAGGTAAGGAACCTTGAAAAAAGCTTGAGAGTAGTGTTTGGATATTGATTGCTTGGATAGAAAGAGAAAAGTTCTACCAGGGCAGGATATGAGGCCGGCTTTATACCTCTGAAATCCACAACTGCTACTCTATCCCCGATCAATAATAACACGGCGGATAATTCTATTCTCCCATCTATCATGCGCCTCCATCCAATCTAAGACGTCGCGGCGCCCCGTCCACACTCCATCGTATCGCGTGGTCGAGTCAAATGAGCCCAGTCCTGCATCCTACTCAGGATCCCCTCAACCCCGATCAGCCTGCCACCTATCATGTCCTTCGGCCTATTCTCACGCGCTATCCGCTGTAAAAAGTACTATATCCAGCTTGCTCTACCGCTCGCCAATAAAGAGCAGCCTATCGGGGTCTGCCTATGATGTAAATCTCTAAAGTCCCAAGCCCCTCTCGGACAGATATGGCACAGAGACCGGTGAAAGAGTTGGTCTCCGATCTATTTTCTTGCAAAGTCTAAATATTATCTCTCTCTTTCGGTATTTGCTCGGTACTATAGTGAGTACAACATGATCAGGTTAATCAGGTTATGTACGGAGTAGATCAGATTGCATTGTGCTCGGACCGGGTTCCTGCGAAGAATATGGCTGGACTATTGACTTAGTCCGAAGACTAAGAACTGTGCAGGGTTCATTTTGTGGAGCAATTGCATGTGTTGTTTACGCTTTGCCAAATATGGTCATCTTTGCCTATATTATGTGTGAAATGCTTACCTTTAGATCTCGACTGAACTTTGGATACGTGTTTCATTGATCGTATGATATGAAGGGCTATTATGTAAAGGCATATAAGACATCGAATATAGTAGCTATATGGCAGTGGCAACATTTCCTATTATTGTGTTAATTAAAATGAAGACCTTCATCATGCCACGGTGACGGCCACGTTTCGGTTACGACGTAGATCTGCATGCCATGTTTGATCCACTGGTTTCGGGATGGGCCTCTTATTATCTCATAAGTACAGTCATACGTACAACGAGCGTACGAGATGTGGACGGTAAGTACTGAAGTAAACTAGGGTAAACGTCGTATTCAAAGAAAAGATGGAGAATGCCCAACAAATAAGGGCCAAATATGCAATTTCTGGCGCCTGCAGCGGTTTCGGGACGGACTATCGTCGTGGCAGCCTATGAGGCGAAGTTTGCGCGGATTGAGGACCTTGGAGGAGGGGTGCCTTCCGGCCTCATTGGTAGCCCTGGATTACCTGAGACGTATGTTCATACCCACCTGATGGAGTCGCGCCAGGGTGTCTCGGCTTTCGCTTCTTTCTTGATTGATTTTGGGGTATGGAGTATTTGTGTACCAAAACTGTATGACGGGCGAGACGCTCTATGAGGTGCACCTGCATGTTGGGGTTGTATTAGCTCCCCAAGTCGGTTTGAGACAGGCATTTGATCATTTCACTATATGTTGCATTTGGGAATATCTATTCAGAGAAAGAAACCGTGTATTCTCAATCACAAGAGACGAGATCTGATAACACAGACTTTGAGAGGTATCTTAGCTCGTGCAATGTACGTGGCATAGAAACGACGATATCGGGCGTTTGGGCCTCATTGTATACGGGCACAGACTCTTTGGGACCTGACTGAGAACCAGAAACAAACCAGCAAGGCACGAGAAAGTGGAGAGGCTGCATCTTGGAAGCTACCAGAGCATATCACAGACCCTCTCCGATGTGCATTATGCATGATTATGATTGGCTCCGATCTGATACTACTGTTCTCGGACTCGTGCAGCATCGAGTCCCGCTTTTATCTCTTCTTGCATTCGACTCTGCGCGGCACCAGGTGTTGGGGTCTGGGAACGTTTGATGTTGGAGATAGTGAAAATGCCGCATCGGCAAAACGTAGTGGAAGGGCGGGAAGAGTATTTCCGTATCTGGTCAATATAACGGCGGAATGATCACCTAGTGGACTATGTAGTTAAGTTAGGAAGGATGCCTAATATTGTATCAAACAAGATTCTCGGTGATTCGGCCTTTAGTAGTATGTCTATTCCCCCTAGGTTATGCTGTATGTTTTTGAATCGATGTGGGTGGCTTGATCTAAGTACATACCGAGGTACTCCACAGATGCCATGTACAAAGGTTGTTGATAGCTATATGTTGTATATTAGATGTGTCTACTATTCTCCGCTCGGGGGGCTTTTCGGGTATCTAAGTATGTCGGACAAGCCGTTGAGCCCCCAAGGTTGATCCATACCGATCTGAAGACCCAAATTTTGGATCTGATTCCCACAAGGTACTTGTTCTACAAGGAATAAAAGTGATTGAGCAACCGCATGTCATTCACTATGACCCCTGTTTTATGACATGACGTGCAGTCCCGAGGAACATAGTCCGGTGCTACCCAAATCAAATATCCTCCGTCTCACTGCATGCTCATATCTATCGAGGTTCAAATCGAATCATCGTGCCCATATGGGTGATTTATTTCTTCTGGACAGATTGAGGGGTCAGCTAGACGTCATCGAAGGAGGGGATAACACGTACAGGGCAGTTGCAAGAGCCGGCAGGGCACTGGCAAGAGGAGCCGCAGCTGCATCCGTGGTCGCCTATCATAGTGGTCAGCATTGAAAGAAATTCCAAGGTGAAATACGACGAGGGACAACCCCGCTATGACCCCGCCATTTCGGAAATCAGGCCGGGGCAAAGCGCGGTTGTTCACTGATTTGTGAAATCACATATAACATGGAACATGGAAGATGAATATGCTTACCCATTTTGTATGTTTGGAGTGGTAAAAACTGGTGAAGCTTTTGAAGTTGTGTTGGTTGTAAAGGCGAGGTGGGGGGAAGGAGGAGGAGGGATGGGGCCGGGACCTTATATACTCGTGACTTTCCGGGATACGTCGAGTCTGAGGGTCAGACACTTGAGTGAATTCTCATTGCATCTCGTTCCACGTTACACTTGTGAGCATATTTCTGTCCCCGCTTACGCACATAGCCAACGCATTAGCTTCGAGGGTGTTTAGGATCTCAAAATTATTTGTGTCCTCAAACCATGACTACTTCTATCGCTTGCATATGCGGAAGTGTAGCTTTATCTATCCAATTGGATTCCGTCACCGACCAATCCAAACTCCAATTATGCCATTGCAACGGTTGTCGGATGGTGACTGGGCAGTTGTCTTCGTCGTATCATCTCCTCCAGCATGAACCACCAAACTTAGATGGGCTCCAGGAATATCAACAGTCCAACCACGTGAGCCGCTTTTTCTGTAAGACATGCGGTGCCCATGTATTTGCTTGCTTGCAACCTGGGAGACAATTTCTAGTTACCTCAGGTTTGTTGGCAGCAAAGAACGTTCCCTCGGTCCGAGCGGTTGAGCACTGGCAAAGCAGCGATACAGGTGACGGCGGGCTTAGTGTACTGCTTCCTGGAACGGAGTCCACCGTCACAGGTTGCAGACTACACACTTCAACAAGCATCGAGAGCCCTAACCAAGAAGAATCACTAAACCCGGTGAAATATACATCAACAAGCCAGCACTTGCAGGCACGTTGCCTCTGTGGAGGAGTTGAGTTTTATATCAGCAAGCCCGATGCATCGTCCTTACAAGCGTCCTCGCCATGGCCAGATCTCCTGGTTCCATACTACACCGGATCTGGAGCGAATCCTGATGATATCAAATGGTGGTTGCGAGATGGTGGTACAAAATATATTGCAGGAACCTGTGTCTGCAACAGCTGTCGACTGAGTAGTGGATTTCCCATTCAGACTTGGGCATTTGTGCCCAAATCAAATATCTTTAATGCAGACGGGTCACCACTCATGTTCAATGTAGGGACCATGCAGCGGCATGGAAGTTCACCAGGGGTATATAGGGAATTCTGCAGCTGCTGTGGGGCCACTGCCTTTTGGCACTGTGATGAACGACCACTGATAATTGATGTGAGTGTGGGCTTGCTCCAGGCAAACGGTGCTAGAGCTGAGGATTGGCTGGAATGGGCGACAAATCGTATCAGCTTTGCTGAGATGGCGGTGCAACATGATTTGATTCATATTCTAGAGGATGGCCTCAAGACACATTCAAAGAGACAGTAGAAATCGACATCTGAAAGGTACGTATCTTTGAAACTACATACATGTATGAATGTCGTCTCGTAAACTCCGTAGTACCCCCGTGGGCACACACGTGGAAGGTGCGATCAAGTCCGTCACCGCCTTCCCTCCACCTGACTTTTTCGGAGATCTTTTTTTTCGCGCGTCGAAACTGGAAACTCTTGATTCTCTTTCCTCCACGCGTCTGCATTTTTTGCTGCTTAACCGCAGCTGTTCAAAGTGCCAATGCCTCCATTCGCTCCATTCCAGTTCAGAGGAGGTTCCAACTATCGTGGTTCGCGTCCGAATCCGCGCCATGAGTTCACTTTCCGGTACCAGAAGCCTGCCACCTCCGACCGACCGTTGTTGTCCTCGAAGAGGGAAACCACGCCCGAACGGCTTGAGGGCGACACTAAGCCTGAACTCAAATTTGCCGAACTTTCCACTTTGAGCGACAGCGAAGAGGCAGAAATGGACATGTCTGATGACTCCGACACTGAGCGACCACGTAAGAGACGTGCGCTAGCTCTCGATGGGCCGCAAGACACTGCTCCAGCCCCTCCTGCTCCGAAGTGGTCGAACCCCGATCCCTACACTGCGCTACCGCCTCCGGCCGAGACTACAAACAAAAGGGTGGATGTTGTCAAGCTGATTCGCAAGGCGAGGCTTGACATTGCCGCAAAGACAAACGAGACGGATGCAGTCAAGCAGAACTCAGACTTCATTTCTCTCGGCATGGCATTTGAACCAGAGGATACTCAGAGCAACGCTCCTGATAACGCCCCCAAAGGGCCAAAGGCCCAGGGAGTCCTGGATTCCGCCATTGCGAGCCGCAAGCGAACCCATGACGATGAGATTAAAGGATACTCCCGAAAAACCGGAAAGCCTGCCAGCAGGTTCAACTACGATGGCTCCGTTATCGATCAATGGAAACCACTCTCTCAAGACACAGGCACGCCTTGGTTTGAGGGTACCCCAGCTTCCTTACACGTGGGAACCCAGTCAGTACTATCCTTCGCGCTCTTCCTATTTTCTCTCTAACATCTAAACTAGGCTGCATAATGAGATTCTCAGCTTCTATCACTGGGCCAAGCCACAAGAATTTGAACACATTGTCCGTGCAGATCTTGTCAACCGATTGGAGACTGCATTCCAACAACGATACCACAACGTTTCAATCCGGGCCTTTGGTTCTTTTGCCTCGGGTCTCTATCTCCCCACGGCTGATATTGATCTGGTGTTACTTTCTCACACATTTTTACGCACGGGGGTTCGGACATTCGGAGAGAGGAAGGGCCAGATCTACGCGTTTTCGGCTTTCCTCAAGAGCACAAATATTGCTGTTCCTAACTCGATCGAATGCATTGCCTCCGCCCGGGTACCGATTCTCAAGTGGGTCGACAAGCTGACTGGATTGCGAGTGGATCTGTCTTTTGACAATGACAGTGGCTTGATCGCCAACGAGACATTCCAGAAATGGAAAACCCAGTATCCCATGATGCCGGTTATCCTGGCCATAATTAAGCAGTTCTTGTTGATCCGCGGCCTCAACGAAGTCCCGACTGGTGGACTAGGAGGTTTCTCTATCACTTGCTTGGTCACGAGTATTCTCCAGCATCTGCCCCAGGGCCATATGCAGCCAAACCTAGGAACAATCCTGCTTGACTTTTTCAATTTCTACGGGAAGCAGTTCTCTTATGATAAACTGGCAATCCGGATGGACCCTCCAGGATATTTCAACAAGGTGAGCGGATTTTGGTTTATATTACTGCCAAGTAGGTAGCTGATCATGTCAAACAGGGCTATTATTTCGGCAATCCCGATCGTCTCACAATCGAAGATCCTAATAACCGAGACAACGACATCTCAGGTGGCACTAAGGAAATTGGATTGATCTTCCGAGCTTTTTCTAATGCCCACACTGCCCTGAAGAATCGCATGGAATATCTTGCACTTGTGCAAGGATCGAACAAGAGCATTCTTGACCCTATCATTGCAGCGAACTTTGATGAATACATCGAACAACGCTTCCAACTCCGTCAGGTGTTCATGACAGAAGAGAGGTTTGCTCGTTACAGGGAGTCTCCGCCTCCGCCTCCGCCGCCGGGATCCCCTCCTGCTAATGGAGCCTCCCCTCCTCCTCCTCCTCCCCCTCCCGTCGACGGTGCTCGCTCCCCCCAGCCGGCGCCCCCAGCGCCACCTGCCCGCAAGCCTGCCAAAAAGCCCAAGGCAAAGTCGAAGGGTACGAAATCGGAGCCAGAAGATATTTCTTCTGATGAAGCGGCCGGACCCGAAGCCAAATCTGCCAAAGCTCGGAAAGGTGAGACAAGACGTCAGTTGTGTCAGGAGCGTGCTGCCAGACTCAAACGCCTGAGACCCGACCTCAAGAAACTCCCTAATACCCTCAGCCTCCGCCAAGCTCGCCGCCATGCAGGTTACGAGACCGATGAGCAAATGAACGCGGACTTGGACAGGAGAGAGCAGAAACTTCTCGCCTCGGCATAAATTTGAGTCTCCATTTCTACGCCCGCAACGACTTTCTTTTAGTTTCTGTTTGTATGCTTTATTTTGTATGATGATACCCCTGACTTCGAATGGTTTGGTGATTTGGACGGGGAAGAGAGGGATGTGTGCAATAGCGGTATGGTGGGGTGGGCGATATCTTCGCGTCTGCTTCGGCAAAACTGTGTGCTTCTACTTGTCGATGGCGAGAAGCGCAGCGAATGACTGGTGGAAAATCGAGAATGAGCATTCTTTGAGCCTGAGACGAGAAAAGTAACTTACTATTTAGGATTCTCTCCCGGACTTCGATTTCGCCAGAATGTGTCAACTTGTCCCTCGGTTACAGTTGATTAAGGCTATCTGAATCTTGAAGTCGGTTTTCGGTCTTATTTGATCGAGAGCTAGTTTCAATGTGGATAAGCCTCGACAATCTCAAACCCTGGATGATCTTGTTTTCACCGTCTGTTCAGGTCGATCCGGCGCCTCAACGTCTAATGCTTTCTCGGCTCCCCCTCGACGAGCATTTAGTTCTTACAGTTCTTTGGTCCCTACATGGGATGCTGTTAGTGATTCCAATGAAACCCCCCGATGATCATAGATTCGCGCCCAACGTGGATCCATGTTTGTCGGCGTTTATCTTTCTTGCTTTTCCTTTGCCCTCTCCTTCCCATGCCTTCCTTCTCACCCAGGGAGCGCTACATGCGACTTCTGGGAGAGGACTGAAGCATCAGGAGCCCGGGCTTAGGACCACAGACCAAATTTACCTTTCAGCTATCGGACAGTGGGCCATCTCCATGTGTTGCTGAGTCCCCTCCTGCCCGTCCAGGAAATCTCCGTCTAACCCAGATCCATGGAAATACATATAGGAAATACAAGAAAATATTAGGAGGCATAAAGGCTGCCTCTCGATCTATTCATGAAGTTCTATTTCTGGATTCTATGCAAGTTGCTTTTCCACATCTGACGGCGGTGTCGGCATAGGATCCTCCGTAATAGCCGTATCAGATATAGAAAGAGATGGCTTCCGTCCTGTGCTCTCCTCAGCCTCGATCCGCCGCACAGCAGCAATATGCTCCTCAGATAACGAATTCACAAAGTCTGGTGACGGACTGGCCCAGACATAATCAACCCACTCTGTACCCAAGATACCGCGAATCTCTCGTGCCAGCTGCAAGATATGAACCCCGCGTGCATGAGACCAGGCACGGTCCGTGATAAGGTCCTCCTGAGGCGTGAGGATATTCGACGCCGCGGGAACATCACCCGTCGGAACATCCAGGCTAGGAGTCGACAGTCCAGGTGGTTTCAACTCAGTATCAAAATATGAAGCGTCGTCATCCTCGTTCCAATTCTCCAGTCCATCAACGATACTGTGCCACACGCGCAAAGTCTCCTCCAGCTCAGCGATATTACTAACGCCCATAACGCTAACACCCAGCTTTCTCCCCGTGCCCATACTAGCCACAGACAAGAACCCAGGATCAGCGTCCGCAGCACGAGCAAGCGGCGCACCGAGACCACCAGCCTGTGCACCAACACGCAGCCACGCCTCCAGCGCAAACCGAATCGCAACAACCTCAAGCTTCTCCCCATGCTGCGAAGCACAATCCGAAGCACTACGAATAGCACTCCGCAGAGCATTCGGGGCGGGATGGAAATCGCCCATCGAGCCAATAGGCACACCGTCACGACGAAGCAATCCCATCCCCAGCGGTGATGCATTGGGAACAACATCAACGCCAGCAGCAATCAGCCTAGGCAGGGCATGCGAGTGCAGCCGCGTATTCTGCAAAGTGAAGTTGGCATATGACATGACGATATCGAGCGGCTCGCCCGTCTCACGGAGAATCGTCTCCGCCAGCTCGCTGAGCGTGTCGACCGGGTAGCCGGAGATACCGACGTAGCGTAGCACGCCCTCTTCATCGCGGAGACGACGCAGCTCCCGCACTGCTGTGACCACTTCCGCTGCCGCCACGAATTCCACGTCGTGGCAGTATACTACGTCCAGGTAGTCTGTGTGTAGGCGCTGCAGGCTGCGTTGTACGCTGTGTCTGATCCATTGTGGTGAGTAGTCGAATGAGGAGCCCGCTACGCGTCCGACTTTGGTGAGGAGGTGGTATGTCTCCCGTGGGAAGTTGGTTTGAACGGCTTCTGTTGCGAGGGCGCGGCCGAGGAGTTCTTCTGCGGGGCCGTAGTAGGGGGATGTATCGAAGGCGCGGATGCCACGCGCTAGTGCGCGCTGTACGAGTTCTGTTGTTGGGAGGGCGTAGGGATCGGCGTTATATTGGTTGTTGAAGGTTGCGGTGCCCATTATCAGCGGCGGCAGGGCCGCGGACAGTGGGGTGGAGGGGCGCATGGTGTGTGGTTTAGGAGGTCAATATTGTCAATTCTGAAGAGTTGACTATGGATGTATGGGTTATCTCTTGGAGATTGGTTAATTGGTGAAGTCTTTTAAGTCTCTTCGAATGGTAAGTGTAGTAGTGCCTGTATTTTCTCTCAAAAAAAAGCAGAACCCCCCCCGTCGGCTCCGCTCCGGATGGCGCCATGGCGGGGGATTCCCCCCAGATCGGGACATGTGGCCACGATCCGATCGGCTTTGCCTTACATCTTCTCCGCTGCAGGTTTTAGTTGGGTGGTTCGAATGTGGAATGGCCCCTTGACAAAAGTAGGTACAGAGACAACGTGACCATGTTTCTGAAGGCGGCGGTGGCAAAAAATGGGAAAAAGTCGAGTGCAGGTTCCGACAACTACGATGTACATGTGCAAAGAATGAACAGTAAATCAGTCTAGATCGGACATTACACAAGTTAATGCAAGTATATAGCTATTGTACATGAATCCTTTCCGAGTGAGAGTGGAGAAGGGGGTCAACGGAACGCGGCGCATCACAAATGATATACACAGACCGAAAGGTCGATGGGAAAGTCGAAGATGGAGGCAACGCAGCACTTCCACTTTCGACCGGAGATGATGCCCGCGAAGGGGATTCAGAGACCATCTTAAAATATAAGAGAGAAAGACCCCAATCAAGAAAATCAAGGCGTCTTTCTCCAACAACCCAAAACGCCATGCTATGCCAAAACAAGAAAGACGAGCAGATCGAAAACAAAGAAGCCAGTTGGAGTCGGAGGCTTCTGTCGCAGGAAAGCGTAGATGTGCTCGTAGAAACCCCGGAGGGCCTGGGGAACCGGAGAACCGCACTTATTGTCGTGTTCATTGATCCTTGTAGACCTTGGGGTTCCAGCCTTCCTTCAATTCCTTGTCGTGCGCGGCTTTGCGCTCAACTTCGCGGAACTCCATCTCCAAACGCTCGCGTGCACGCAGAATTTTGCTCTGCAGGTAGAAGCTGCCGCCCTTTTCGGGGTTGTTGGTATCAAACAGTTTCTTGAATCGGGTCATAACGTGTTCGAGGTCGTGTTCGCCGGAGGCCGGAGGCTTGACGTTCAGGATTTTGCAGGCTTCGTCGATGGTTACGCTGGAGGTGGTGCTGGACTTGCCGGCTGCCTTTTGCTGGCCAGCATATTTGCCGGACGCCTGGGCTTGCTTGTAGGCTTCGGCGAAGGCGCGGCCGAAGACCCGGGCTCCGGTCACGACGACTTGAGAGACAATGCGGTGAGCCTAGCAGATTATTAGTTTTAATTTTGGGAATGGGAGGAATAAGGATATCAATGAACATACCATTGAGAAAGTGCCGTAGAGGAGGCGATCACGATGTTTTAGGTTGAAGGAAGAAAGAAGAGAAGGGGAAAATTTCGGCTGCGGGTTTTAGCGTCGGGAGAGCTCCAGGCACGGGCATGAGTATAGAGGACAGTAGTATATAGCCAAGGTCATTTGAAGTTGAGATTTAAGATTATTCAGTCGTTAGGAATAAAATATTTACTACTATCATCTATTTAGACATCCATTCTAGAAAAAAACCCCCAAAATCAATAAAATCACTGAAATCGAATATCAGGACCCTTCACACGCCATATACCGAGAGTCACATGTCCACAACTTCGATCTCCCCGCAGATCTTCTTTGGACCGAACATGAACGAACGATCATATAAAAATCCTCACTCATCCCAGAGGATGAGTTCATTGTCCCTCTATGACCTGTCCATGATTGGATGGCAGCTTTAGGTATGATATTTGATGATACTTCTCCCTAGAACCAGATCACTAATAGAAAAACAGACAACCTTCCGTGGATAGACTCCATGGCACCCTCATCGAACCCACAAGATCATGGCCAGTCGGATTCTCAACCTCCGACGGTCGCTGCCTTCTCCCCGTCAACGATTACCGGCTCGGCCCTGACCTCGCGCCAACGCTCCAGTGTCATCGTGCATCGCAAATCACCTCTCTTAGTGGCCACACCACCGGCTATCACTCGGGCCCTAGCCTACTCGCACCCGTTCCTACTTCCTCTAAATAAATTTGCTGGTCTCCTAACATGGACTTCTGGAGATCCGTGGCAGAGCTTCCTGCTGGTGGCCACCTTTTGGACTGTCGTGTTATATAGCGATGCCATCATTCTTTGGGCAGGGCCGATCCTAGTCGTGGTCGCATTGATCCTCGGCATGTATGGACGTCGTTACTCGCCTCTGTCATCAACTACATCAACAGGCGAAAAGCACAAGACCAAAGTTGCCCCTGATAGCTCACTTCGTCATCAAAAGAGTCTTGATGAAATTGTTGAGACACTCCGCATCTTCACAACCAGATGCAATATCCTCCTCGAGCCTTTGCTCGACCTCACCGACTTCCTATCCACCCAGCGCACTCCTACATCAGCCACTACCAAACCTGCGCTGACGGCTCTGTTCATCCGCATCCTTTTAGTCACTCCTGTCTGGATCGGTCTGACTCTACCTCCATTCTACATACTCACCACACGCCGCGTTGTCATGGCCGTCGGCACTATTGTTCTGACTTATCATTCCCGACCCGCTAGGGTCTCACGTGTCATTCTGTGGCGGTCTCGAGCCGTGCGTCGCCTATGTGCCGCAGCCACGGGTCTCTCCGTCGCCGATACCCCGAGCAATCCACAAAGGGCCCCGGCCCAAGCCCAGGGCGAAAAGCAAGGCTTAAATATTTCAACTCGGCGGCGCGGAAACAACGCAGGTGTGCGGTTCACGTTTGTTGTCTATGAGAATCAGCGCCGTTGGCTGGGTATCGGGTGGACTTACTCGTTGTTCCCTGCCGAACGTGCTCCCTGGACAGACGAGCATATGAACGTGGTGAATCCCAAAGACTCTTTCGAGTTACCAGATGTTCAAACAGGAGATGCCAAATGGCGCTGGGTGGAGGGAAGTGAATGGCGCATCGAAGGAGCGGACAACTTCAATGGAAAAACAGACTCGAAGGGGTCGACCGGCGAAGGATGGATCTACTATGATAACAAGGTTGGTGCTTTCTCTCTATCGGCTTCGTTGTATTATCTTCTAACAGAAATCTAGTGGAATGAGGGTCGCCGCGGTCAAGACGGATGGGATCGCTATACCCGTCGACGCAAGTGGTACCGTGACGCCGAATTAGCGGACCTCTCACCTCAAGCCACCAAGAACGCCTCCGAAGAAACCATTTCCGGACTCACGCAAGCCCTAGAAAAGCAAAAAGAACAAGAGAACGACGATAACGCCGATGCACAGAGCATCGCGCCATCCACCTCCTCCAAATCCAATCGCCGGCGCTGGTTCAGCGGTACCAAGGACAAAGAGCCGACCTCCTCTGGTGGCCCGCCCGCTGACAGTGGGCGTGCCACGGGCTCAAATGTATCTATCGTAGCCGATAGAGCAGACGCCTCGCGACCCATCAGCATCAAAAATTCCCGCAAACCATCTCATGTCCGCGAAGGAAGTGTAGCCACTAGTGACAGCGCCAGCTTGCGCGAGAAGGAGATGGCGAACTCGCAAGATCATCTCGACCGGTGGTCAACTCGAGCTGCGGGTGGGACGGAAAGGGCGGAAAGGGAATGGGGGCTCAGCGATGAGGTGAACATGGGACTGAGTTGATCATACGTTCGATATTCATGTATACAATCTTCCCTTTTTCGAATTCCGCGACTTGCTACCTAAGGCACGGCCGTATATCCTTATTCTTTGTACTTCCTTACTAGCAAATGGTCAATACTTTACTGCACCATGTGGGTCCTGCATATCATATATCCTCCATTTATCGTGTATACTGTATGCTCTATGAATATCCCTCACAGTAGCACCAGTAACATATACTTAATTTCCAGGCCGAGAGGAAATGGCTGATCACCAATATATAATGTCTGCTTCATCGCAGTATAACACACGCATCAGTAGAAGAGCAAGGGTACTTTAACGGATATAGCTTTCCTGTCATTACTCGCAAAGACTCTATGAAGTTTGTAGGATCAAGCCAAGAGACTATGCCTATACCAATCGAAAGTGAATCCAATTTGCTCAGACTCGCCTAAAGAAAGCGCGTGAAGAAGTCCACGTTTCTCTAGGTCCTCACAGAATTTCCTTTTCGAAAGAAATTCCTCTCCCAAGCAGGCTTGATCCACATCGGTCCCTTCAGTCAAAAGTGTTTTCGTATACGCGGCTAATTCTGAAACCGTGACATATTTGTTATGCCAACATTTGTCGATGATATCGTCAATCGGGGGATTGCCATCCAATTTCGGAAACTCCATGTTCTGTAGTAAGTCCACAACCTTAGGACCATGTTCGGAAGGATCCTCGGTAAGACAGCGATCTCCATAAACCTCAAAGCCGTAGTTTAACAAATAGTATAAGGATCCGAGAGAAAATTGTTCTGGTCGAGGGCCAAGAAAGCCAAATGTTCCAGATTCTCCTTACTCGCTATTGTTAAGTATTCTACCATACGGGGCTATGCAAGTTTCGTAATTTGTGCTAATTTTCGCCGTACTATCGAAATCGGATAGCTTTAATCGGTTGCGGTCAAGTAGAATATTTTCAGGTCGTAAATCCCCATGAGCGAGGTTAAAAGATTCCAAGAAGTCGACGGCTTGAGCGAGATCGTGCATCCATTCTTTTCGTAGGAGTAGAGGTTCCAACTTTTCCACTGTAGTAACTACCATAGTTTGCTGGTCCCGAGTATGGTTTTTTTTTGTATCCTGGAAGAAAGTGACATATCTAGGAGGTACATTAGTAGATAACCTTTTAGCTGCTAACAGGGGTCGTACCTAATAAATATTCCGACAAGCTTTTGTTGCTCTTGTATAATTAATGAAAGATAAGTATATTTTGATTAATATTAATTAATATAGGCAGCCCAAAATCAGATGAAACAAAGTACAGGAATATGTCTCGGGCCTGTTGCAAATCCACACCTCAAGGACACAAACCCATCTTCATATCGCATAACGGAATTTCGGGTTCTCCCGATCTGTAAGGTCCAAAAATTCATGGTTTTCTGGAATGACGTACGCATCACCCAATGCCTCCTTTTCCCGGTCACGTCGATGGTTCTCCCGTTGCGAGATCCACCAGATAAGGCACAGATCTAGTGTGACGATGAAGTACAGGATGCAGATCGAGATCTTGGCTGGCAAATACCCTGGAGCATCTTTGGCTTGGAAGGTCTGTGGCGAGATGATGTTGCCGACAGTGTAGGCGATCGTCTGGATACAGGACACAGTGATCTTCTTGGTTGAGCCAGCCACATTGGTACTGGTGAGTCCAAGAATTGTCGTCCATCCGAGTGGAATGCCTCCGGTGAGGTAGTATCCAATAAGGGCCGGCACTCTGTCGGTTGTCGCCATTAAAATCGCACCCACGACTGCCAGGATATGGCCCACGATGCACCAGAAGAGTCGTCGCTGTGTCTTCATCGCCAGATAGGTCAGGCCAATCAACGCCACCACCTCATAAGCACCCATGGGTGTGACAAGCAGAAGACTTTCCGTTTTCGAGAAGCCCATGCCTGTTACCATGATGTTTCCAAAACTCGTGGCAGTGGAGTTTGGTACATTTGCCGCCAGGACCCAGAAGGCGTAGAGCCAGGTGTGCGGGTCGGTAAGGGCTTCGTAAACCTGGGCTTTCTTAAAGACATTGCTTCCGATACCCTGTCCGTTGCCCCGAAGACGCTCCGCGTGCATTGCCTTTTCTTCCGGGGACAAAAAGTGTGCCGTGAGAGGGGAATCGGGCAGGAAGAAGAAGAAGAGGATGCCGGTCACTACGGTCAGTAGACCCAGGATCAGGAAAATGACCTGCCAACCTCGCAGGGCAGCGCTAGGATCCCCACCGATGTGGGTTGCGACACCGTATGCGACGTAGCCGCCGAACATCTGCGCGAATCCACACATGGAGAACCACAGACCGACGCGGAAAGCCTGTTCATCCTTCCGGTACCACTGCGAGGTAAAGACTACCCAGGCGGGCACGATAGAGGCTTCTGCAGCGCCCAGAAGCGTGCGGCAGACCATCAGGGAGGCAAATGACTTGCATGCGGCCATGCAGGCCAGGATAGTGCCCCAGATAGTCACATTGACTGCGACGTATCTTGCTAGGGGAAATGCTTGCATCACACGCATTGTGGGGAAGGCGAATGCTAGCTGGCCGAAAAAGAAGATACTCGACACCCAGTTGAATTGGTTGCCCTGCAGGTGCGCTGACTCACGCATGCCCGTGACACTGGCATAGCTGATAGCAATCTTGTCCAGATATTGTAGGAAGTATACGATGCAGATCAGTGGCATGATATACAAATCGATCTTGCGCAACAGTCGTCTAGATGCTGCGGGGTCGAGGACGCTCGGCGAACCGGCTTCCAGCAACTGCAGTGCTCCATCGCCTGTCGTAGACTGGACATGGGGGGTTTTTTCGTCGAGTTTTCCCGGGACGCTCTCTACTGGTGAAGATGTTGGAGCTGTCATCTTGACGGAAGTAGCGAGATATCCTTTGAAATCCGCCGAGGAGCCTGGAGAGATTCATTGTTTAAGTAGGCTGTGGAGTTGGCCGTTAATATCGATAGCCTAGCACGCCATCGCCCTCCAAGCTGTCACAATATATCCCCAGTGGCGATTTGCTGGGTCATAGTGGGGACTTTACAAGCGAGGACCTTTATCTATCTCGAGCATGAGTTGAATTGTCGTCAATGCTAGCAATATAGCGAGTCATAAAAAGAAAATTGTGAAAGTTCTCTCTTCACTTTTTTCAAGAGCTTATATACAATCTAAAAAGTACTAGGATAAATGAAAACTTCCACAGGTAGAACGTTGATGGCATTTACCCTTTATGGAATTAGTTATAGTGTTTCGGGGCTATCCGCCTGGCCAGCTCCCTTTGACCGTGCCAAGCCCGCGGAATCCAGGGTTCACAGGGTTGACCCACGTGTGGGTGGGGCCGGATATAACCGAACACCAATTTGTAAAGATTAGGTATCTTTTATATAGAACTACTATACAAAAGGTACATAAACACAATATCCATCGTTCTTTAAGTCTCAAACTGAGTATTTACATATAGATGGACTAAGGTTAATTGAACCACCCATACCATTTATCCGAAATATATGATATATAAAAGTGTGAAGAGCACTTTAGAAAACACCACATACTTTAATATTTTATGGTTATATATATAATTGATCATCCCATCTTCGTGTGACTCATCAAAACATAAACCCTCTATCTCTAACGTAATAAATATAGATACAATAAAACTGCTATCTGGACTCCTGCCGTGAGCTATCTAAGCAAGAATCAATTCCCATCCCAGCTCCTCGACAATATCTAACCAATGCACATTTTTCTGCTGACCCATCCCAACAAACCGAGCTTCAAAGTTGGCATCTTGTCTAGCCCACAAAATCCCCAACAACTCCTTTGCACGCTTAACATTCCCGATCCCAAAGTTATCCTGTAGCTTGCCCAAGGAACGAAGCACAACCTCCCTATCCGCTACGTCATCACTCTCACATCCAGATATAAAGAGCGGGAATGTGAGCGCCGAGTACTCGCAGTGGTCACCCAGCGGGAAAGTTTCAATGCGGCCAAGACAGCGGTAGACGGCGACATTTTTCGGCGTGGAGATAAGAGGAGCCCAGTCTTGTGCTGAGGGAAATGGGTTCTCCTCCATCTGAGTGTTGACAATGGTACCAGAGCTGGCGGTGGGAGAGGTATCTGGATGGTTTCTACTAATGCGCTCCATGATTGAGTGGAGATAGACAAACCCTGCGTCGCGGAAACATTCAGCTACCAGTTGAAGTCGAGTTAGGGTTGCTGGTGATGTTCCCTGGGGAATTATGTAAGGGGTTGAGGTGTGAGACCAGGCGAGGAGGGATTCGTTTCTAGATAAGATGTTAATACGGAGATTCGACTGGATTATTTTATTGTAGAAACGGAGAGAGACAAACATGGATGCAACGCTGAGTTGAAGAGCCAACGTATCAGCTTGCAGGGAAGGCAGCTCTGCGATGCGTGCACATAATTTGAGGATTTCCTCGGTGTATCCAATATATATGTCCAATTTAGGGATACCGATATCACTGTCGACAGAAATATCTGTAGGAATGATACAATTGCGGTTGCAGATTCGGGCCATGTGATAGGCATATACAAATCTAGATGTTTATATATTATGTTAGCGTTCGGTAATGTACGCTGCAGGTTGTTGCACATACAGTCCACGCAAGAACTCAGCTGCATCTCGATCCATTGAAGCAAATCCCCCGCGTGAAACAATTAGACGTTGCAACGCATTGAGATGAACAACCCACTGCTTCACGCTACCACGCACGATCTCGTATTTACATAGTAGACCGACCGCCAGCATGGCGTCGTCGGGGAACACCTCCGTTGAACACTTTTCCAGTGCTGTGCGGAGCCCGTTGAGTGTTCCACTATAGTATTTGACTGCAGCAGTATGTGCCCCGGATCCTTGGGAGCGATTTGCTAGATGAAGAGCAGAGACGGCACATACGGCCTTCATCAGTAGAGGTGATGACATTGCCCTAGGAATTAGCATCGACCGAAGGGGGTTATCATGACTCTCTAGATTTGCTAACAGTCGAGATCCCTGCTCCATGTGATACTGGAGGTAGTGACTCTCATGTGTTGAGAGATGACTGATATATCCTTGGGGCTGTGGGATCACCGCGACAGAGCTATGAAAATCAATTTCCGGGCCAGGTCTGTATTCCTCTACATCCTGGACCGGAATGATAACCGCCTCGGACGGTATATACTCCCGAGGAGAAGATGAGACAGACCAGCCCAGGGAAGTCTCCGGCGCAGGAGATAACCGAGGCTCGAGCCATGCATCCGAGGGCGGAGACGGCGCAGGCGAAGGGAATTGAGACTGCGAGGACGCACTGAGCCGTCGGCGCTTGGAAGTCTCCATCTGTGAGAATACCTGCGCCGATGGACCTAGTGGTTCTACCCATATAGAGCCATAGCCCTCGCATGTCCGGCCTTGCTTGAGACAATTGTTGCAACTAATCGATAATTAGTTATGAAATTCGAAGTTTAGTTCTAGCACCCACCTTGGTTTGGTCTTATCACAGGCCTTGCGCCTTTTTTTGCAGGTTATGCATCCTGATCGAGTCCATGCCGTGCCGGATTGCCGTGTCCTACCCTTCTTCGGGGCGGCAGTGGGCTGGCCGGGTGTGAAGGAAGACGACTGCGTCGAGCCATTCAGAGGAAGGCCATTCATAGTATCAAGGAGCGCCTGGGTGATATGGAGATGCTCTAACAGGTACTAGTGACGGCATGCTTATCGCAAATATTGAACAAATTCAGACAAGCATGCGCTGCTGCAATGATAACCCGCTCGATTTCTCGGAGAGTTATCGATAGCAAAGTCCACTAAACCAAATTGGGGCAATTTCGCGCTGACCCCACACTCACGTGAAATGCCAATTGTGGGTTAAAGGTCATGTGACTACGCGCTTTAAATGATCTCCTCCCATGCTATCTCGACAAAAAAACATGGTATATTAGCTTAGATCATTGAATCATTGAGATAAATATGAGAGATTATTTTAACTGAATTCAGCGAGTCATTTTGCTATAAGTTTTGCCTTGTATATCCATGTTTTAATCCATGTTGCCCTAATCTTTCAGAGCCAAGACTCCTCTTCTCCAACTGCCCTGATTTCTTTCCCAATCAGGAAAGTCCAGCCAGACCTTATGTAACCCGATAAGATCCCCGGGGCCCCAGAACCCCCCATTGGGGACAATATATTTAAGTGCAGGCATTGGGTCTAATTTTCTCCATAATTATCTTGCCTTTTTCACTTGTCTCTTCTCACTTCTCCGTGGATTCGTGTTGTTTCCTCTCTAATACCTCTCACAACCGCCTCATATCTCTACCCCAGAAGTGTACCCTAACACCGCCAAAATGGTGACCAACCACGGCCCACACCCATTTGACCCAATCAAACCCGAGGAGATCAAGCTTGCCGTGCGCATCCTTGAGGCGACCTTCCCGGGCGTCTCATTGCGCTACAAGCGCATTGATGTCAATGAGCCTATCAAGAAGGATGTTATCGCATACATTGAAGCAGAGCGTTTACGGCGCCCGCTGCCCCCACCCCCAGCCCGTCTCCTCTATGTGCTGTTCCACCGTCTGGACACCGGCGCATTCTACAAGGCTATCCTCAATGCCGACAAGCGCACCATTGTTTATGCCAAGGAGCTTCCCAAGGAGGTTCAGGTAAGCACAGCGCTCTCCCGAAGCAAGAAATGGGCTTAATTAACAGTTCTACTTTATAGGGTCCTATTGACATCGATGAAATTGCCGGAATCGAAGAGATGTGCATGAAGCACCCCGCAGTACTGGCTGAGATCGAGAAATTGCAACTGCCCGCGGGCATCACCGTTTGCAATGACCCTTGGATGTATGGCACAGACAGCGACAACGAGGACCGACGGCTCTTCCAATGCTTTATGTACTTGGTCGAAGTGGATCACCCCCAGAACAATCACTACTCTCTGCCATGCAAATTCTCACCGGTGTTTGACGGTCTCACCCATGAGTTGGTCCGTATGGACTATCTGCCCGGTGGTGCTGATTTCGAGACTACCTCTACCCAGCCTTGGAAGCCTGTCAAGACAGTCCAGTACGCCCACGATCTCTTGGACGAGCCCCTTCGCACCGATCTCAAGCCCTATATCGTACAACAGCCTGAGGGTCCTTCTTTCTCAGTGGACGGCAACTCCGTCTACTGGCAGAAGTGGCGCTTCAGGGTCGGTTTCAACGCTCGTGAAGGCTTGATTATCTACAACGTTACATATGACAACAGAAACATCTTTTATCGTTTGGCTGTTTCTGAGATGACTGTTCCCTACGGAGGTAAGTGGGATCGGAGCCCTATCACCTCTACCTCCCAGCGGATCTGACTAACATGAATCTAGATCCCCGAGCCCCCTACCACCGCAAGCAGGCGTTTGATGTCGGTGACACTGGTTTTGGTATGAATGCCAATCAGTTGGCTCTTGGATGTGACTGTCTCGGCCATATCAAGTATTTCGATGGTTACCGCAACGACTCCAAAGGCAACCCACTGCAGCTGAAGAACGTGATTTGCATGCACGAACAAGATAATGGTTTACAGCACAAGCACACTAACTATCGATCCGGTGCTGCTACCGTTGTGCGTAACCGCCAGTTGGTTCTGCAGATGATCTGCACTGTGGCCAACTATGAGTACATCTTCAACTACATCTTTGATCAAGCCGCCAATGTCGAATTGGAAGTCCGGGCCACCGGGATTCTTTCCACCGTCCCATTCGACAATGAAAATGGCGAAACCGTTCCTTGGGGCACCAACGTTGGCCCTGGTGTTATGGCTCCCTTCCACCAGCATATGTTCTCCCTTCGGATTGACCCTGCTATTGATGGATTCAAGAACACAATCTACTACGAGGATAGTGTTCCTATGCCAGAAGACGAGAAGAACCCCTACCTTGTAGGCTATACCTCCGAGTCTACGGTGATGCGCACGGCAGGCACAGCGAACACCAGCGTGGATCGCCACCGCGTCTTCAAGATCCGCAACGACAATATTACCAACCCAATCACCTACAAACCTGTTGCATACAAGCTTATGGCTGCTCCCAGCCAAATGCTTCTGGTCAGCAAGAATGCCCACGGCCACCGCCGTGCTGAGTTTGCTACCAAGCCGATCTGGGTCACCAAGTACCAGGACGATGAACTGTACGCCGCAGGCGAGTTCACCAACCAAAGCCGCCGCGCCGAGGGCGTCGAGACCTGGGTGCAGCGTAAGGACAACGTAGAGAATGAGGATGTCGTCCTTTGGCACAGTAAGCATTTCTCCCCGCCATATATTTGTACTGTATAACTAACAACCCCCTACAGCCTTCGGTCTTACTCACAACCCCCGCATTGAGGACTTCCCCGTCATGCCGATGGAGCGCATCAGCATCATGTTGAAGCCCGATGGCTTCTTCAACAAGAACCCGGCTCTTGACGTCCCGCAATCCTCCCAGTTGTTCAACAAATCTTCCCTCCACCCCGAGGAGCAGCCTGCTGCTTGTTGTGCCGGAGCTTCGTCTGCTGGCTCCAAGGCCAAGCTGTACAAGCGCGTTGACTAGTTCGCTTTCTTTTGAATCCGTAGATACCCCATACCCACGTCCCGCGGTTCAAGCACATATTCTTTGTTTCAGGGGATGTGTTTTGTCGATATGAATCGGCTTGGTGACTTTTGCTTCTTTTGTCCTTTTCATTTTCGCTCTTTTCGGTTGGGCTTAGCGATATTTCCCGATTTACCTTCTCAATGAAACACATTTCAATCAATCGTTTCCTACATGTAAGACAATAGATATCGACTCCAAGAATAGCACAAGATCAAGTAGGATTGGTGTTATATCCATAGTTGAATTAATTTCCAAGGTTGTGAGAAAAGTGACTTGTATTGACAAAGGAGTAATAGTTAATAATGCGCAGAGAAAAATGGAGTAGCAGAACACCTCATGTGAAAGGGTTTATGAAACGCCGAGTTGAAACAGGCCCGATATGAAAATGGGCAAGAAGATAGATGTAGAGCAGAAGGAAAAGAAAAAGGAAAGAAATCTCAATATAGATCCAAGAAAAACAGTTCGCCAATATCATTCCTTCATATGATGACCAGCGGAGAGCCCGAAATCGGTGACTTTACCGATGGCCGGAATCAGAGCCGTGAGGAGCATGGCTTTCAAACAAATCCTCAAGATACGCGCTAGGAGCACGACCCTGCGGCGCCTGGTTCAGGTTCAGAGAACTCGTCGAGGCACCCACATAAGAGTGGCGCTGATTATGCGAATCATGGTAGACACCAGCCGGAGGCAGGGAAGGCGACGAGAGACCAGCAGTGGGCGAGTATGGGGGCTCTCCACCTGGCGCGGGGTTGGAGCCACCGGCAGCAGCGTAGTATCCAGCAGGCAGGTACGTCGAGCCACGATTTCCCGTGCTTCCTGTAGCGTTCGGATTGTGATGCGATGCAGTAGGGCCGCCTGCGGTAGGCGAAAAGAAAAGACCGCTGCTCGCGCTCGGGGCCCGTTTGGGCTTGTAGCTTGCGCGAGTGGCGGCGCCGAGTTTGTCGAGGGATACGTCGACCGCTGGGGCGGCGGGGTAGGGGGCTGATCGCTTCTTTCTGCTGCCGCGTAGGAGACGCTTGGATTCTGAGGCGTGGATTACGGCGGCGCGTCGCACTGAGCGGTTTACGGACCATGCGACCATTGCGCGCCATGCGAGCAGAGTTAGGCCGATCAGTCCTAGTGCGGCGCCGACGGCGATGAACACTGTGCCTTCTGGGGCATTGCTCTCTTGCATATATGGGGCGTTGGCTGTTGGTGGTATCGTGACAATAGCGCTGCCGGTTGTGGTTGAGGAGGATGTTGATGAGTTCGTTGTCGTGGAGACGGATGATGTTGTTGTACTGCCGCCGGACGTCGTGGAGGAGGAAGAGGAAGCGGTAGTTGTATCCATGGTTGTGCTCGTAGAAGAAGAGGAGGTGGAGGTGCTGGTAGTAGAACTTGACGTCGATCTGGAAGTGGTTGAAGATGTGGTGGTCTCAGTCACGCTAGAAATGCTTTGAGTGGTATCCGTTGTTGCATCGTCCGCTGGCACAGCAGATACTTGAGCGGCGATGGCGATAATCAGAAGCAGTAATAGGAGGAAGGACGGCTTGGCTTTCCCAAGCCCTTGCGGTAGAACTCGCATGGCGGCGTAAACAATCGATCAGTCACTTCTCCACAATGTGCGGGTCACTTGGAGTAGGCGCCGATCCCAACGACAGCGAGGAACAAAGAAGATTATCGATTCTTGTCAGCTCATCAATGAAATCTGGGTATCAAGGCTAAGACCTCTGCTGATTTCGAAAATAACTGCGATTTGTCTCTATGAAAGATTGGCGGGTGCTGAATTCAGGCTGCAGGTCACGGATCCACAATCAACGAATTCCCATATGAGGTGAGGCCTTCGGAATCTCTCATAAACGAATGACTGTTGTGAAAACGAGGCCAACGAGTGTCTAAAGATGACCATAAGACATGCCCTCCTTAACCGAGAATTGGGAGAAACCGAAAGACGCCAACGCTAAAGAAGAGGGGTGCCTTAGGCAAAACTGAGACCGTCACCTGACAGCTTCCAAAAAAAGATACAAGAACTTGCGTATTTACGTTGGCAAATCTAACATTCGAAAACTGGGAGAATATGAAATATCATACATGAGGATACGAGATAATTGTCCCTGGACCCCAAGAAAAAAAAGAAAATCAATTGCAGCAATGGAGGTGTATTCCAAAAATATAATCCAACAAAGGGCTATAAATCACTGGGCTTTCTTTTGCACAGCAGCCGAGGTGTCCTTCTCAAATGCGGCATATGGAATTTCGAGGCTGCTTAGAGCACCAATGCCAATATACAAGATCGCGAGGAATAGGAAGGTAGCCATGAGTCCCATGAAGATACCTGGAAAAGGGTGAGTATAGTGAATAGAGAGAAGGCGGAATGGGTAGGCACATACCTGGAGTAAAGTATTGATACTCTTCAAACAGAGAGGTGGAATTGCTTGATGGGTTCGAGGCGCTGGCATGCGCGGAGTAGTCGCGCTTTAGCTCCATGTGGAGCGAGTCTTGGTACGAATCTCCAGAGGCTTCGTAGATAACGGAATCCGTTTCGGGGAACTCTCTTGGCGAGGTGATGTAGAGAATAGTATACTTGGATGAGGAAGGAAGTCGCTCAATGACATCGGCAAGGAAACCATCTAGCAGAGTCAGTAACAATGAAGTGCATAGGTGGACTGCATACATACCGAATTCAGAAAGTTGCTGTGCGCGGTTCGAGTCCAGGGATAGCATGGGGAATTCGACATCAATAATCCGGGGGCCCTTCTCAAAGGATGAGGGGTACGATCCAGCTGCACATTGTTAGCTCTGACGTTCTTCGCAGGTTTGCCAAGGCCGTCGTTGGCACCGAAGCAACTTACAGGAAGCGTCGACAGCGGTAGTCTGGGCCTTGCACTTCGTCTCCAAAAGGCTTTTAATCTCCTTGGGTTCCACCAAGCCAGCGACCTCGTTGATGCTCATCTTGGACCGGATCGAGCTGTCCTTCCCGAGCATCTTCGCACCCAAGCGGGGTGCCGACTTTCGCGTCGAGAAGTCGGAACTGTGCACACCAGGCTGGTAGACGACCACATAGTAATCTGAGGGACAGGTACTGAGAGATGAGGCAAGGTGCTCGAGGAGGGAAGTTCCTGTCTGGATGTAGGCGGAGTTCGTCAGGACCCTAAGGGAGGAGCGGTTAGTTAACTGCAACTGGAGATGTTCAATCAAGCATACTCAGAAGTTGAGGCGAGGAAGAATGGCGAAGTATCTCTGAAAGCATTTACGGCAGCTGCCCCAAGGGCCAATAGCCCGAACCTGCTGAGATGCATTGTGTTTGGCTTGGGGATGGGGTCAGGTTGGCGATGATGTTGCCAGCGGGAGGTGTCCGACTTGGCTCTCGGAGGCGGTCGAGAGCCCCGACCCGCCTGAGCTTTCCATATCAACTTTTTTTTTGCCTTGGACGCAGTTTCAACACAACCCACGATATACAAAGGTCTACTTATTCTTTGATTGAAATATACTTGATATTGGGGTTTTCATTCATCATGGGTCCCAAGGATTTGAAAAAGCGCAAAATTGTTGCCGGGCCTAAAGTCGAGGAGGTCAATTTCGACAGCGAGTCCCGCCAGGAATGGTTGACTGGATTTCACAAACGCAAGGTGCAACGCGCCAAGCATGCGCAAGACAATGCCGTCAAGAGATACAAAGAGGAGAAGAGAGACGCAAGAAAAAAGGTTCGGCAGGCTTCAATTTGTGCGCAAAGACATCTACTAATTTTTCTAGATTCGAGAGGATCGCAAGAAAGACTTCGAACAGGCAATGGCAGAGCATAAAGCCGTACTCAAACGCATGAAGGAGGATGCTGGAGATCTTGGCGACATGGAAGGCGAGAAAGAGGAGGAAGATTGGGAGGGAATCGAAGAGCCGCCAGCGGTGGACTACGAAGCCGAGTATGTCGACGAGGACAAATACACAACAGTCACGGTTGAAGAAATGGATGCATCCCGTGAGGGTCTGCTCAAGGCTGCTAGGGGAGAGGACTCAGAGAATGAAGAAGAGAAAAAATACCCGGTCGAGTCGACGGAGGCCGACACAAAAGCCAAGAAGAGAAAGCCCCGGAGTGCAGCCTCAGAAGCAGCCAGGAAGAAGAAGAGGAACTTCCGCTACGAGACCAAGGTTGAGCGCAAGCAAACAATGTTAAAGCAGCGGTCTGTGAAGGCGAAGAGAGCAAAGGCGCGAAAGGGGGCAGAGGAATGAGAAAACCACATCTTAAAAGAGATACGATATCACATGTGCATATACTCGACTTCAAGCATCTATTCGTTAGTCAATTTTACGGATCGCAGGCGTTTCAAATTATGGACAATGCAATGAAGATGCAGGAAATGGTAGACACCGTAGTGCGCACGTTGCATGATAAAAAGTTATTGCTATCAAAAGCGCTGTATCTAGCCCATGTAGTTGGGACCAGCGTAACACAAACAGTCACAGCATGAAAAAGCAGACAGACCAGAGGATGAAGCTTGTATCCAACCAAATGTTTCCCGATATCCTGCACCAATCACCGGTTTGGGCCAGCTTAGATGTCAGCCATCTGGGATGCAAGGTCGTCAAGCTCCTTCTTGACGGTGCTGTGCTCCTTGATCGCATCCTCATATCTTTGCTCCAGCTTGGCGTGTTGGTCCTCGAGTGCCTGCACCTTCCGCTCGTAGTGGCCAGCCTTGATGTCGGTTTGGCGGAGCCTAAGTACCCAAAATGTTAGTACCTAACTGTGGAAGAACCGGTCGCTGGTCATACTTCTCGTTTGTTTCCCGCAGAGTCTTGTCATTCTCCTCAGCCTCCTCCTCAAGGAGCTGCACCCGTCGCTGCAGGGCCTCGTTCTGAGTGTCGTGCTGGAGGCTCTGGCTGGCAGCATCCTTAGCCTCCTTGAGGGCGGTCTCTGCCTTCTCAACCTCTTCCTCTAGAAGCTGGTTGCGGTGGTTGAGCGATGTGATCTCTTGTTCCTTGGACAAATTCTCTTGTTCCAAGGTCTTGACCTTGGCCTTGAGCTCATCGACGAGCTCGTGAGCCTCATCAGCCTCGGCGCGGAGGGCGATCATGCGCTAAAATAATTACCAACGTGTTAGCCAAATTCCCAGTGGGGAAGTGATGGAATGTTGGGGTGGTATGCATATATGCATATGACGAGGGGCTGTGTGATTTTGGAAAGCAGTCAAGCTACCCCGCCGGCAGGGGTCTTGGTGACTTACCTCCTTGATCTTGTCCATTTTGAAGGTATTGAAAAGGGAGTAAAGGAGGTAATATGTATGGTTGAAAGAAAAAAGTATTTAGGTTTTCGCTCAGCGAGAAACCGGGCGAGTGTTGGATGGGGGTGTGGAAGATGATATGGGGAGAGTTTTGGGAGAGAAGGGGAGGAAGATTGGCTGACTAGTGAACAAGTAGACAGTACCAGGAGAACAAGCACGAGATCCACTACAGGGGAAGTACCGTATACTTACTGTGTACCAACTGCGTAACCGTGGTATGGTTAGGTACACAATCCGCTCTTGCTCTACGCCAATCACCGCCCAAGGATCGCCGCGTCTCCACGGGCAACCACTCGACAACACCATCTAGAACTCGTTCTGGCTCTTGATCACCCTCAACCCCGATAACCAACGCGACTTCGATTTCTTTGATACCGTGCATGAGAATTATCAGCTTCAGTTCGCCACCATGTTGGCTCTTCGCGACCAGGAAAACCTGGTAAACACCCACCAGACCGCCGCGGCAGCTAAGCCCTTGAACCAAAGCAAGCAGCTAGCACCCAAGACACCGGGAAAGCCACGAAATGACGAGAACAACCCGTTGGCATTCGGAAACCGCACCGTGAAGGGTAATGGCAATCGTCAGGAGAATGGGAAACCGGGCCACGCGTTCATGACTCCGATGGGTACGCGCCGCTTCGCGAAAAATTAGAGATTTGGAGATGACGGTTGGATAATGACTGACTTGTTTTCATACTCATAGTGAAGGATCGCGCTCCTCTGGGCATGAAAACGACCAACCTTAAAGCCAACAACCTCCAGACGCCTGCGCCCTTCGGAGGAACCACCAAGCAACCGAAGACAAACCGCCGACAGTCGACTGCCCAGAAGATTAGAAAAGCTGCTCCAGTGCTACAGCAAGCTCAAACCAAAGTCCACATTGACGCTACTGTGGATGATGTACCGGATATTGAATACATGCCGCCGAAGCCTAGAGGTACGCTAAGAACAAACTAAAGCTGCAAACCCAAAAGCTTATTTCTAACGACCTACAGATCTTCCGGACCTTCCAGACGATGTGACATATGACACCACGTTCCCCCAATTCCGACCGAAGAATCGAGCTCTAGGTTTGGAGAGCGTTTACGGAAAGCAACAAGTTGGCAGGGATGGACTCACAGCGAAGCAGCGCAAGTTCAAGGAGGATTCGGCGGCGTGCGACAAGATGGTGGATGATATGATTATGAAACAACTCGAGGACATTGGTTTTGAGAGCTCTGGTGAGAGCGAGTCCGCAAACGCACTTCAGCCAAATGACATCCCTCCCAAAAGACCTACCACCACAAGGCACACTCGCAGTGTGTCGACGCTTCGGGCTCGTGACGCTGTCGCTGCGCTTGCTGGGCCCCAGCCAACTGCTCCACCTCGAGTGGCTTCAACCGCCAAACCACGGGTGGCATCGTTGGCATCGTCATTGGTTATGCCCAAGAGGCACGCCAGGGTCCCGTCAAACCCCTCTTCCATGCGCAACACTGCTGCTTCTCTCAACTCTCGGACGACCGTTGGCTACTCCAAGGGGCGCAGTGTGTCTTCCACCCTTCGGGAGAAGCATTCCCAAACGCAGAAGCTAGCAAGCTCTCAGATCCTGTCTCCCGAAACTTATATGCAGCTTTATGGACCCCCTCCGCTGGACTCGGAAATGTGGAGTCGTTGCAAAGCTGCTGGATGCTTTGATACTCCGGACGAGACCACTCAGGAACCGGAAGAACCACTGCCCACGTTTGAGGAAGACGATGAGGCTCAGAGCTTCCAGCTCACTCTGTAGGGGTACATTGCGACAGATACTCATCGAAAGGGGATTACAATTTTACTCATGGTTATTGATTTGGCACAGGGGTTACAGGCCGAAGGATGCCGGCGTTATGGAATAGCATTCAATATGTACTTGTAACTGGACAGGCTGTACGGAGTAGGCTTTGCGAGGTCAACCGCAGATCATACTGTTTCAGGCTTCTTCTCCACTTTCATGATGATCCTTTGCCAAGCCACAGACAGGCGAGGTCGCACTTGCATTAATTCCATCAGGGACCACGTAGGCAGTACCAGGTTTTTGGGAAGGCGTGAAACCTCGGCCATTTACTAATAACCCTTAGGTGATTGATGCATAGGGCTGTTCATAGTGTTCATAAAAAGAATTTATGGATCAAATTAATCCACTAGCCCTATAGCTACATGAATCCCTGCAATTGTACGGAGTTCGGAAGTACGTCAGTGCGAAAATAGAACAGAGGAAGAGTAAACTCGGTGTACCTGGCGGGTACCAAATCCTTAGCCAGCCCGTCCATGGAATGGCAGGTACCAATCACGTCCTTTCCTAGGTACCTTGGTCTAGCCCACACCGCCCCGGAATTGCCCATATCTTCTTATTTACTTTCTGGCCTCTCCTTTTCCCTTCCCATCCCTCTCAATTGACGCTTCGCCATGACGACCATTCATCCGGACTCCACTGAGGAGTTCGAATATATCCAGACTCCGGCTGCCCCCGAACAGACCAAGCCTGCCTTCGACTGTGGTGTCCCGACTACCCTCGTAAGTACACAGCTAGAGCTACCCGTGAGGGACGTTTGATGATTCAAGGATCTAATTTGCTCCTTTTACTATCTAGTACCCGACTATTAAGAATGCTCCAGTCCCCGCCGATTCACCCGGCAGCGACAGCTTCTCCAATGGCTTGATGATCGCTCTGGAGATCATTGTGCCTTGGTGGCTGGCTCGCCAGGTTGGTGGAGGTTTCTACACCACCATCTTCTTCGCTCTCTTCACTTCCGTTCCCGTCCTGGTGGCATTCTGGGCTGTCTCTTCCTCTGTTTCTCCTCGCAAGACTGAGAAGGCCAAGTACTGTGGCCGCCCTGTCGAGCACTACCTGCAGTTCCACAGCGAGCACGATCGTGCTACCTACCGCGGCAAGAGCAAGATCCCCATGGAGGTCTTCTACGAGAAGTACTTCAATGGTGAGGTTGACTTCAAGGGCGATGCTCTGGAGTGCCTCGAGTACCGTCACGATTGGGCCAACTTCAAGTTCACCACTGGTCTCTTCAAGCACTTCTTGTTTGGTTTCATTCCCGAGATGCTGATGCACACTCGTTCTCAGGGTAAGCAAGGCTTCGTGCAGCTCCGGTGGCAAATTTAACTAACACTCTCTTCTAGATGAGGAGCAGGTCCGTGATCACTACGACCGAGGTGATGACTTCTACGCTTGGTTCCTTGGCCCACGCATGATCTACACCTCCGGTGTGATCAGTGATATCAACAGGGAGGAGACCCTCGAGGAGCTCCAGGACAACAAGCTGGCCATTGTTTGTGAGAAGATTGGTGTTAAGCCCGGTGACAAGGTCCTCGATCTTGGCTGCGGCTGGGGAACTCTTGCTAAGTACGCCTCGGCCCACTATGGCGCTCACGTTACCGGTATTACTCTTGGCCGCAACCAAACCGCGTGGGGTAACAATGGTCTTCGTAAGGCTGGTATTGAGGAGGACCAGAGTCGCATTGTGTGCAGTGACTACCGCGATGCCCCCCGTGTCGAGGGTGGATACCAACACATCACTTGTCTCGAGATGGCTGAGCACGTCGGTGTCCGCCACTTGTCTTCTTTCTTGACTCAGGTTTACGACATGCTCGATGACAACGGTACCTTCTTCCTGCAGATCGCTGGTCTCCGCAAGTCTTGGCAATACGAGGACCTGATCTGGGGTCTTTTCATGAACAAATACGTCTTCCCCGGTGCTGATGCCAGTACCCCTCTCGGTTTCGTTGTGGATCGTCTCGAGGGCGCTGGCTTTGAGGTCAAGGCTGTCGACACCATTGGAGTGCACTACTCTGCTACCCTCTGGCGCTGGTACCGGAACTGGATGGGCAACCGCGACAAGGTCGAGGCCAAGTACGGAAAGCGCTGGTTCCGCGTAAGTTTCTCTCACAATTCTCTAACAGAGTCATTGGGCTTCCTGAAGTCGATTCATTCTTGCTAACTAATACCCTCTTAGATCTGGGAGTACTTCCTTGCTTCCTCCACCATCACTTCCCGCCAGGGTGGTGCCACCTGCTGGCAGCTCACCCTTGTCAAGAACATCAACTCCACTCACCGTATTGACGGCATCGCCACTCAGTACGGTCTTGCTGGAGCTCGCCAGAGTGCCATCGACCGCGCTGGTTCCCTTCCCAAGGCCCACATCATCAAGAAGGACCTTTGAAGGATTGATGTACAATCCTAGCCCTTATCTGCTTCTTCGTGGGTCCATATCAGCCCCCTTCGGACTAGCAAGACGTTATATAAAGGGGCACGGCAATATGTGGATGTTGTTCTACTGTGAACATATTCAAATGTTTAACAAGCATGTATGACATGAGTGACATGAGGTGAAGTGAGGTGAAGCTGAATTTCATGAATGGTTGTGGGAGAAAAAAAGGCAGGAGATGGCAGCAGAGGAGAAGCATGGATAGGTCAGCGGCCTATTTGGCTGGTCCGCCTGGATATTTATCCCGATATCTATCTATGGTTGTGTTTCTATCTCTTATGTCTTACCTTGTGTGGGGAGGATATTTGCACGAAGTCAACGAGTCTGTCTTTGTCATGTTATTTTTTAGAAGTCAATGAACTATTTTCTTTAGGTCAAACCCCTCGTATCTTATCCCTTCGGTTCAAATCAGTAAGATTGTATTTCACACATACCCAGGTATCCGGTTCTGAGTTCTTATTCAAGGCCATGAAGGGAAGCTCGTAAGATAATGTAGGAGAATTCTGGAGGTTTAACTCTCCACTAGTATCAAACTTTACTTGGTATCTTCTAACAAAGTTCTGATACGTGTCTATTAACCGAATTCAAGTCTTCAATCATTAGGCTCGTTAATCACCAAGACCCCAAGAAAAGCCATAAACACAATCCACTAACACCAATTAGATTTCTCGGTAGCCGAAGGCCGAGAAGAAGGAAGGAAAAAGAAATAAAAGACCAGCATTGCGATCCAATAGGATAAAAATGGTATATGTAAAGAGGGAAACAAAGGCAGGGTAGATGCAGACGTCAGACCAGTTCAACCCTAGGTAAGTATTGGTACAGTGAAGAGTAAACAGAAAACCAGAGGAAAAGAAAGTCATGCTTGCCGCAGGCCCAGAGATCCAAGTCCAAGGAATCTAAGAAATCATTGTGCATGAGGTTACACACACATATAGCTGGATTGAGCCTCCAAAAAGAAAACAATAGGCGTACAAGGGCGTGTGACGAGATGATTCCACACACGTCGGGGGGGGGGAAACAAAGAAACGAGAGTCACGCTCAAGCCTCATCTATCGCTGCTCTAGCATTTGGATCGCGTAGGGACATTCGGAGTTCTGTTAGGCAGAGCAAAGTAAGCTGGAAGACTCAACCGTTGTGTTGGGTTGAGAGGGAGTGTTGTTTTCTGTGTCGCGTTCTCGTTCCAAGTCGCTGGAAGTTATCAAAAACGAAAAAAAAGATGGGTAAATTTAATCCGCGTCGAATTTGTGGTTGTATTCGCCGAGCAGGACGTCATCCGGGCCTGGGCCGTGGGTATTTCGAACTAGAGCACAAAAAGCGTGAGTGGAAATGTCCGAAAACCAGGATAGGGGTGCATGGGTCACACGGTTGGGATCAGGGGGAGTGCGGGTGCACAGGGGGAAGACATACTCCATTCAGCTTCGATCCGGAAGAATATCCACATCCAACGTCGTACAACTTCGAGGAACATGAGCAACCAGAATCCGCCTTCTGTTTCCGGAATCCAGCCGAGACCTGGGACGATGCGCCATAGCCATGAGAAACGAAGGGCCAAGTCTGCGATGATGACGTAGTGGTATATCTTGTCGGATGCGAAGTAGCGATGCCGGCGGAGTCCGTATGGATGGGCGCTGTCATGACGTTCGGGGGAGAAGAGAGTCATATCCCAATCCTTGACAACATCCCACCAGAAAGAGTAGGCGGAGTTGATAAAAGAGACGATAAATCTGCGGGGTGTTAGAGAAAGGCATAGATATGATACGAGGAATTGAATCTTACAGAATGCGCATCATGCTAACCTCGCTATATCCACGTAGCTCCAAGGGATTGTAGTTGCGCATCTTGGAGGCTATCCAAATGACAGGGAACGCAGTTGCATACTTGAGAGCGTTGGCCAAGTGCTGGTTTACCTTGTGCGTCTCTCTCCGGGTGACTGTCCGCCGCGCACGAATATATTCCGTCAAACACTGACGAAGACGAATTAAACTGGGCACAGCGAGGATGATCGGAACGACCATTTCACTTCCACAGGCCCGGTTGGGCTTGGAAGTAGCGGCGAAGCCATCGGTGAAGAACATGCAGAAGCTGATATACAGATCTCCGATCACGCGAGCATAACTAGTTAGGGCATCTGCCAGCAGAACATCCCCAAACTTGCCATCCTGAGACTCGGCTAGACCGCCAATACTGATCCGCTTGAGGGTAAGGAGAAATCGGATTCGGCCGGAACGGGAGGCGCGGTTGAAAGGCCAGATCAGAATAAGGAGGAGGATAACGAAGACCGACTGTGGGATCCAATCCAGTCGCTCCACTAGTTCAGGGGACCGACGGGTGGCTAGCCAAAAGACGATGAACCACAGGGCAAGTGGGATGGTGAAACATGTGGCCAGGCGATAGACGGCGGTGTGATGTGGGCGTTGGGAGGAGGATGTGCGGGCAGGATATTTGATGAGCGCCGGAACGTCCTGGAAGTATGGGAAATCTAATTAGCCATCGCGAACATGGTGGTTAGGTGAGGGGCGCCACTTACAATGTTGGCTTTTGCCAGATATTGAAGGTTGATACCCCATCCCCAGAAACCTAGCCCCTTGTGTTAATGCACGCCTGATTGGGATTTAACCCCCTTCGGACAGGAATGCCACCTACCAGCGACTAAGATAGCAGCTATACGTAGTGGTAAAGGAAAGATCAGCCCAAAGGCATCCAATTGAGCATGTTGATCAACCGCCATTATTCCATTGATAGGGGAGAAGGGGGAGATCACAGGGGAAAAAAAGAAAAGGCTAAAATAATAACAAAGACCCCTTGGATATTGAAACCCAAAAAAAAGGAATGACTAGGGGTGAGTCGACGTCTTTGAAACTCCGGAAGTTAGGACTTTTCCTTGAAGCTGGGAACTATTTAATAAGCGGAGCGGAGGGCCCAGAGAGAATACGCACCTGGACTAGTCACAGTCCGCCGATGGTCTGGAACCCCACACAGCGTCGAATTGGGTATAATTAGAACTAATGAGAAGCACCTCTCAGGAGAAGGATTGAAGATCAAACCCTTGTATGTAACTAGTTACGTCGTCCAAGCTTAATCACGTATACATGGCATCATACTAAGTGCTTAAGTTAAGTACGAAGTACTTAAAGAGCCATGGACTACCCCGTACACCAAACTACACACTTCAAAACCCCTTTCTGCAGCAAAAAAGGGGGTACCAAATCAGGTACATTCAGCCACTGCAAGCCTCCCGCATTCGTCTATGACAGGCCCAGGTCTCTCGGAAGTACAGGGTGGGACGCTTGCGGTGTATGGTAAATATGGTAAATTTGGTATTTTCGGTGTAACCACTGACGTAGTGTGGTAATTAATTTATCTAGAATAGCCCACGTGATCTGTGCCACCTAGGTCACATGATGCAGTTCTATACCGAGGCATGACATCCGAGGACAACTCCGGGGAAATTGTTATCTCCAGGTGTGAAAGCCGGGGAATTGGACCTGTGACCTTGCCTTGGGGAATGAATGCACTAAGTTAGCAAATACCGTCAACTGTCACACTCAACCTTACTATCCCTATATCGACACCCTACAATCTATCATGGCGGACGACGACTCCCATCTCTCGCTATCAACCCCGAACTCAGCCCTCGGCTCATCCACCTCACACTTCTACCCCTTCGCAACCTCACCAGACATCATCCGCTCACATGAAAAGGATGCATACCTCACAGGCAGCTTGATTCAACAATCCCAAGGGATCGTCCGGGCTCTCCGCGGCGCCCGATACGCCCACACCCACTCCGACGCCATCAAGCACCTCACCGAACTCCTCTACTTCACCTTAACAACCGCCATCGGCAATCGCACCCTTGGTGAAGAATACTGCGACCTCGTCCAACTAGAAGATGACACACTCCAATTACCGTCAATCGGCCGTCGCGTGGGGTACATCCTAAGCAGCATCTTAGTACCGTGGACACTGCAACGACTACTACCCGCGCTGCGACAGAGAATCCGCAACAAGCTCGAGCGCAACATCGCACGCCAGCAATCAAGAGCGGTGCAGCAGGCTGGCCTGCTCAACAAACCCCAGTTCTCAACTACCCCGACTAAACGGCCATTGTTTACGAAACTGCGCATCCAGCAGTATATCCTCGAACACCTGGACTCCATCACATCCCTGTCGCCTATTTATGCGCTGAGCATTGCGACCTTCTATTTCACGGGCTCGTACTACCATCTTTCCAAACGACTCTGGAGTCTGCGTTACGTATTCACAAAGAAGATCGACGACAATGAGCAGCGCATCGGATATGAAGTTCTGGGTGTGTTGCTTGTTCTCCAGATCGCCGTGCAGGGTTTCTTGCACGCTCGCAAAATTGGAGCGAGCTTGAATGAAGATGAGAGCCAGTCTGCGGACGCTGGCCAGTCTCCCGGGCAGGGTGGAGCTGTTCTCGCTTCGATTCAGAACCCTTCTACTATTCCTCTTCTTCCTGCCTCTGTGCCTCTGTATGATCTCGAGGAGGATCCTGGTGCTGTCTCGTGGATCCCTGAGGGTCAGCAGCGGAAGTGCACCCTGTGTCTGGAAATGTTCAAGGATCCTAGTGTTACAACTTGTGGACATGTGTTTTGCTGGATTTGTGTTAGGGATTGGGTTCGTGAAAAGCCTGAGTGCCCGCTCTGCCGACAGGAGGTCTTACTGTCAAAGGTGCTTCCTCTGAGAGGGTAGCTGTGTTATTAATTGATGCGATAATTTCTAGGCCAGTGCTTTCATGATCTTCATGTATATTGCTGAGGAGGTTGGTGCGGCTGATACATGTGTATACACTTATTTTGGATAAATATATACCCCCTTTATTCTATTTCATTCGAGCATGCTTATCATGGATTGCAAGGTTCGATTGAATTTTGACATAGGTCAGCCGACTAATATATATTTCCCGGTACAATGTAAAATGGAAGTATAGATCAAATCCATATGCAAACCGTTCAAGAATGTAACACATGAAGTACCACATCAAAGGGAAAAAAAAGAGAGCAAAAGACCTCTCAGGATCGAAAGTGTACAAACATATGCCCCGAAAGCTTTGCAAAACGAAAAAAGCAGGGTATTGAGGGTATTTAGGGGAAACCAAATGTAATTACATGTATGCATATCTACATGGTCAGACCACTGGGTCCTCCTCGCTGTTGACTGCTTCTCCGAGTGGAAGAACAATGGGTTGGTTGAGTTCAGCGAACGCAGGACGAGGCGGCATTGGGTTCATGGCTTTTCTTTTCGCCTCCATGGTATGGAACAAACGGACACAAGCATACGGGTCCGTAGCAGCATCTAGAGAAAAGAAGACAAGATTAGCATCTAAAGAGAGAAATTATGCAAGTCTCTAAGTACTCACATTGGACCTGACGATAACTCAAAGCCCGAGTCCAATCACTGCAGCGGACATCATCACTTTTCTCAAGGGGGAGACCGAAATGCTCATTTATTTGCTCGCTGAGGTTGACGCCCCTTTTGTTCACCAATTTGGGATTATCTCTGCCGTACTTGATCAACTTGTACAAATGGCTGAGCTCGAAAGTGGCTTTGGCATCGATGCCAAGATACTTGCGCAGTCGCGTGCAGTCTGCCTTGATCGAGACACCCACTTTTGTGACATCCGGAGATTCAACCAGGCGTTTCAATGATGGGGAAACCAAGTCCTCTAGAGAACGTGCAGGCTTGAAAAGTGCAACCTGGAAGATGGCGATACGCTCCTCATTTGCGATTTGGATCACCGAGACATTGCTCTGAATGCTGTCCCAGCCGGATGCCTGAGCCTTCCATTCCATGTCGAATCCAATGACTTTGCTCCCGAGGAAGTGTTGCACAGCTTCTTCGGTACTTTGGAGAGTCCGGCAATAATGCACGATGAGTTTCCGGCCATCGGGGCTTTGCTGTGAGCTATGACTCCAAAACTCAGGTGTTGAAGATGGGATTGGTTGACCTGTGGTGTCATTTTCTTCAATGGATACTGGTTTATGTCCGGTCGTGGTATCTGGAACTGAGGACATATGGGTTTTAATCGGCCGTTCAGACAGGGAATCATCACTGATGCCACCGCTTTGTGGAAAGTTTGTTTGGTTGAAGATTGCACCTGTGCTATACTCTCTCCCATGGTTTTGTCCTGGTTTAGCGAATGGCTTCCTCGGCAGCATCAATGCCGGTCGTTGTCCGTTATATGTTCGTGTGCTTGGGGATGTACCGCTGGCTTCTCTTGAAATTGGTGGACGGAGGTCATCCAGATGATGCTCCGTGCTGAGACCCACCTCTTTGCTCTTTGAGCGTATGGGGGGTGGCTTGGGAAGGTCCTGGCCTCCTTCATGATTTGTCCGGCTAGCATGCGCATTAACTAGGAACGGGTTAAACTGAGGAGCGTCGAGGCTCCTGTATTTTGTCTTCTGGTGTTTGAGCGATGGCTTGTGGGTAACCTCACTGGCCTCCTGATTGTCATGACCGGTAGGCGCATTGACTAGGAACGGGTTAAACTGAGGGGCGTCGAGGCTCCTGTATTTTGTCTTCTGATGTTTGAGTGATGGCTTGTGGGTGACGTCACTAGTTTCCTGATTGTCCTGACCGGTAGGCGCATTGACTAGGAACGGGTTAAACTGAGGAGCGTCGAGGCTCCTGTATTTTGTCTTCTGGTGTTTGAGTGATGGCTTGTGGGTAACCTCACTGGTCTCCTGATTGTCATGACTGGTAGGCGCATTGGCTAGGAATGGGTTGAACTCAGATACATCAAGGCTCCTATATCTTGACCTCCGGAGTTTGAGAGGTGGCTTGTGGGTGACCTCACTAGTTTCCTGATTGTCCTGACCGGTAGGTGCATTGACTAGGAACGGGTTGAACTCAGGTACGTCAAGGCTCCTGTATCTTGTCTTCCGGGGTTTAGGTGATGGCTGGTAGATAATCTCACTAGCCTCCTGATTGTCCTGACCGGCAGGCGTATTGACTAGGAACGGGTTGAACTTAGGCGCGTCGAGGCTCCCATATTTTCTCTTTTGGAGTTTGGGTGATGGCTTGTCGATGATCTGAATGTCCTCCTGATTGCCCTGGTTGGTAGGCGAATCGACTGGGACAGGTTGATTGTATACAAGCTCGCCCTCTGCTGCGAGGTCCTCGGCGTTTACCGTCGAAGGACCGGAGAGTAATTCGTGTCCTCGGCGGCTGTCCTCCTCTCTACTGTGTTTAGCAGCTAACTCGGCTGCACGCCGTAGTCCAGCTTTCCTCTTCAGTTGCAGCCTTATTCTTCCCTTGAAACCTTTCGTGGGTATCACAGGCTGAACGGGCTCCGGGTTGCCCTGACTGGCAGGCGAAGACTCGGAATGCCCCGGCAATTGGAGTTTCATATATCTTGAAAGACGGCTTTGAGATGATTTGATAAAAGCGGCCTTGGCCTTGGGAGATGCGGATTCCTCTCGTCCCTTCTTACGCCTGAGCTTCTTCATCGAAGAACCCAGTTCTAAAAAGTGGGAGTCTACGGAAGCAGCAGGCCCAATGCTGCGCTCAATCTCGTTGTGGATAGACTCCCAATCACCTCGCGTCTGCTGGATGGCCATTCTGGGAATATAGGCGTCAAAAGCCACCTGGCCCATGTGTACGGCCCATTTCTTGAAGCTATGGACATCCTGGCTCATTGGATTGAGGACTTCAAATTTTCCAGCAAGGTAGACACGTTGCCCCATTGAATGTAGCAAGGTTTCTGATCGAAGACGCAGCCAGTTCAAATGTCTGTATTCAGTGGTCAATTGTCGAAGAGCGCTGCGATGTTTCTGGAATTCTATACACCAGGTGGCTATTTCTGGAACAGTGTGCATCATGGTCTGCTCAGGTACCCAACTCCACAATGCTCCAAGATCACCTTTGAGGCTGTGGTAGAGGTACCAAACTTCATTGTGAAGCCCCCACGTGTGAACACCAGCCGTAAGCAGTGGCGCCATTACATCCAACTGTCGCCAGTATATATGTAACTCAGGACTGCGGGCAGGCTTTGGCATCCAAAGACGCTTGTATTCGAGATAGATTTTCTTGGATATTATGAGTGGACTTTTGTGCAAGTACTGACTTGCCGGTGAGTTCTTTCGTGCACCAAGTGCAAGCGCAAGTAAGACTCGCTTGCCAGTAGCTTGGGGAGAACGTGCAGCCGCAGCTGCCGCCATGAAATCCTGCAAATCCCATGGTTCACTTTGTCGAAGTGGACGCAAAGCCTGCTGCCTTCTGAGCCAGAATGCACGGTAATAATGCGCACGATTACCAAGTTCGCGATCACTAAGCTCAAGGATTTCTTTATACTGGCCAAACACCCGTTTGTCGGCAGGGTGAAGATTCGAATTTGCTTGAAGTTCCCAGCAAAGGTCCCTGATGGGGAAACTTCGTGCGTTGAGGCATTTCTGTCTCAACTCATTGTACTTCTTCTGAATCACTTCACTTTCAAGAAGAAGAGTGTCAATTCGAGTTCTCACTGTGTGCCGGGGCCGTAGGTGATCATTGTTGAGAGTGTCTCTCAACCGACAGATGGACAGCTCAGAAATGTCCACCAGAGATGGCAGGAGTGTTCTGTGAGTTGTACGAAGACACTTCTGCCAAGCATGGATCTTCTGGGCGGATATTTCCAGCTTTCTTTCCCATTCTGGAGTTCTACCAAAAACAATGGAGCAGAACTCATGCTCAATCATCCGACCGGTATTCTCTGCGTTCGTGACAGAAGCCTGTATTCGGCCTAATCCTAGGATGGAAGATGACAGATCTATCACTTCAGTGATATACTTTTGAGTGATCTTCTCTGCTCGCAGAACTTTTTTCGTGTTGTCTGAGACCATAGTTACAAGGTGCGCGCTGATGAAGCTTGATAGGCTTTCAAATTCAGTCACATATTCTTGGGTGGTCTTTTCGGCATGGAGAACCTGTTTTGTTATCCGTGAGACCACATCATTGATTCGCTTTCGGAATATTGACGAGATAGCTCCATATTCGGATTCATAGGCCAAATTGGCCCTGAAGGATTCTTCAAGGAGGTCATCGACGTGTTTGTACTTCAATTGGATAAAATTCTCAACAAGTTCCTGATATGAATGCAGCGAATCGAACTCCTTCTCAATACGTAGACGTTGAGAAACTCGGTTTTTCCCGTCTACTCTCGATCTAACCAAGCTGCCCAAGTCTCGATGTCGGGTAGGACGCACAAAGGCCGGCCGGCCTGGAATTCGTTGAACGGGTTTTGGCTCTGGAACTTCATCGTCATCATCCCATATGCCTTCTCTGCGAGTGGTATTGGAAAAGTTCCGCTTTGATTGGGAGGCCAGAAGCGGGGTATATGTGAAGCTGGTATTCGGTAAAACCTGTCGGATCCTTGGAACAGATCGTGCGCAAGTATCGGGGCCACTGTGGTTTAGTTAGAAAAATAGCCATTTAAGCTGAACACAATAAAGCGCGCTTACCGCCGCCGCTCGAAAAGTCCACACCGAAGTGACCCATGAGGTTTGGACCTAACCAGGTGCCCGCTATGTTTTGCAATCGACGATGAGGCCTTCCGACTTGCTAAAAGATTCGGCCGCATTGGCATAATGTGTGACAAGCATAGTGGACCAGCCTGAAACCCCACGAAGCAATTGAATATGATCGGCTTGGACAACAAGTGGTGGCTTTTTCTATTGGCAATCAACAAAACTGCAAGCAAGCAATCAATTAATGGTCAGGATAGCACTCCATGTTGCGGAGCTCTAAGCGCGTAAATCAACTTTGAGAGTTGCCTCTAACCCCTATTTGGCTTAGTCGCTCGGGCCGGATCATCAGAGGTGCCGAGCGACAAACGATCACGTCCTTTTCTATATCGATCTTGCCCACGCGGAATGCTCGATCACATTCGTTTTTAAATCCAAGACGCTACCCAAGAAAAAGTTTTCTCAGCGACTATAGTTTCTGTCTTCCGACATCATGGCTTCTCAGTTACTTCCTCTTGGTCCGTGCCTAATGATCCAAAAAAAAGCATGACCCCGCTAACTCGTTTAATAGAGCTCATTGATAAGTGCGTTGGCTCCCGAATTTGGGTTGTCATGAAGGGTGACAAAGGTCAGCTTAAATTCGACTGTTGATACTGAAACCAAATCAGCGTACTAATGCTCATGAAGAGTTCTCCGGGACCTTGCTCGGATTCGATGACTACGTCAGTGAGTATCCCTATATAAGAAGTGACGATCTCACCAGGCACTAATTTCGAACTAGACATGGTTATGGAAGACGTGACAGAGTTGTACGTGCTTTGATTTTCTTGATCTTCTAGCTTCAAGTTACCCTTTTCCCTTCTATGGCCATGCTTGGTTGCGTTGGCTCCTACGCCCCTGAGCAGTGGTCATTGATCTCCATCTGAATTTGCAAATCTCTGTCGAAATTATCGACAAGTCACTCTTGTGCTTGCGCCCTAGACTAACCTCCTCTCAGCGACTACACCGGTGCCCAAATCAAGCTCCCTAAGCTCTTGTTGAATGGAAACAATATCTGCATGGTTAGTCAAATTCACCTTGAGCCCACCTGGGTGCTATACTAAATCTTCAACTAGTTGATTCCCGGCGGTGAAGGCCCCGTGGCAAGCTCATGAGCTTGAGATACCCAGTTCTTGCCCTGACGAAAATAAACTTTGTGTATTAATGATACCGAATGCAACGAGATAGAACAACATCGTTGAATGAATGAACCTCCATGCCAAGCGTGCTTTTGGTCTCTCTCTCCCTTTATCCCGTGTCCTAGGTAGCGTGTAGCTCAGCATTGAAGTAAGACCAAGAAAAGACCAAGAAGCAGCCGTTGCCCACAACGCCCAAGAGAATATGTTCTTCCCCTAACAGAATATTCATTGCAGTTATGGCTAGCCAGAATTCAGTCACCCGAAAGGGACAAGCTGCAGCCTCGAATGTTATACGAGGTAAAGCATGCAGGGACTAGCCCACAAAGGACCTCCGGGCAACCAGGGGTCCAAGATAAGCTCTCCAACCACAAGTCATCTCTACCTGAAATTAGGTTATCAACGGCTAACCCCGGTCGCTGGGCGCTATTTACAGTCTACAACCGGCTATTGACAATATTTAGAACCTGCCCATAGATACGAGCAGAGGCCGCTGCCGCGTGCTGATCGGGGAATTCTTCCCTACGCATATCATGATATACGACGTAGAAGAGAAGCGAACTCCAAATCGCCATGACTACCCCACATTAAGCGTGTTCAGTTGTCATGTTGTAGTCGGTCAACTGCTGTTAAGTGGAGCCTAATGATGGTGGAGAACTTTAACGAGTATCTAAGTATGTTGTACGGAGTACGTACTCCGTACTCCGTAGCTAATTAGGATGTGGTAATCTGGGGTACATTATTCGATATGTAACCCCTACCTATTCCGGGACATAGACCCGCCCAATACTAGTGCTTTGCTGTAGAACTAGCACTCGAGAGCTATCCCTAGCTTATGATAACATACATATTATTGTAGGAGGCTTTCAGTAGCCAATTTAAAGCAAGATAAGCTGCCCAGCCTTGGCCAGGGACGGAAAAAGGGGTCACGGCGCACAAAAGTTTCCAGGGACGGGCTGCAGATGCAACGAGCTGCTTGCGAATAATTATGGATATTATTCGAGTCTTCACTTTCACTACCCCGAATTTCCTCAAAATATCGGTGTTTCTTTGTGCCGTCTTTCCCCAGACTCCAAAGTAGACTATGTGGAAACTGTTACCTAACAGATTCTCACCCCCACATTTTATATGCACCTAATGTCGACTCCATATTTACTCCGTACATTGGGGCCTGTTTATTTGGATAGATTAATTCTAGTTATCTTCACTACGGGCATTTTTTGTTTAGTGGATGTCTTAGAGTGAGACAAACTATGGAATACCAAGTGCCTGATGCACCTAAATGGGGAGCTCCGACTTGGCTGTCGGGAATTATTGACATGCCGAGAAAGAATTTAGAACGGGGACGAGTAAATTGTTTTTCTACATCCTGGGGTAGTCGGACCATTACGTGGCGGTGGCGAAAATATCAATGCGCATCGCGTGCTGTTTGGCCCGGGCTGTGCTCATTTCTGGAGAAAATCTTCGTCGGCTTCAGTAACCTCAACAGCAGAATCATGCTACGGAAAAACTCCGATCATCGCACAGAGAACATTTTGCGGGGTATTACCCTGATACTCAATGTTAGAATACGACAAATAACCTTCAAAAGGGTCCACGGGTGTGTCCGTAGAAGAGCTAAATTTGTGCTGGAGATCTAACCGAGAGATTTCACATGGGCACCTATGTTGCATCTATGTAGGTAGCAATATTGTACCACGTACTCTATACGTTGGACCATTATCCGGGCGCAGCCGCTAACCTCGCTTCAGAAAGGGCAACCAGTCGGCCTTGGCCCTAGTCACCGGAACATAAATGCCAACCCAGCCCGATGTTACCGTGGCTATCTGTGGCGGGAGCGTGGCCAGTAAAATTGGCTACTGCGCGCCTTCAGTTGGGGAAGGCTTAAGTGGCTGATAGTCAAGCATCAGTCCAATTCAGCTCTAGGCCAAGAACCCTGGTGCGCCTTTTTTTTCTCGCCCCTATTATCCGACCATGTTGCATGGGCCCAAGTCTCAAGTTGTGGAATGGCCTATCTAAGGAACTGCTGATGTGTGCTTCAAGGTTGACCCGCAATGCTGACATGAAAGATAAGAGCTGTGGGCCCGTTTTCACATTTTGATTTTGCCCCAAAGGACTTCCCTCAGTTGAGCTTGAACGTCACGCGATTACGAACACCTTGGGGTCTCGATGTTTGTTAGTCAACAAAAGTGAATAATCTTTCCCTTTGACGGGGATACCCGAGTCGAGCTACTGGTCCACGAAAGTCTATTAGCGGACCCTAGAATGCGAGGTCATAATCTTGGACCTACCAGAGTTTGCTGATTGATGTGTTCTGCATGCTGCCCAGCGAAAATACGAGGATCTTGATGAACTCGCCGACACCAAGCCAATCATTACACGAGTCTCTAATGAATACCACATGATAGTATCTCCCCAGCACACCCTTTTGGCTTTCTGGTATGCTTCTCCCGTGCTTCCATGCATATGAGTGGCAGACCGCCACGGGCTACGGAGGTAAAACTCTCGCTTTGAAAACGCCTAGGCATAGAGTTTCATGGCGCCATCCCTTATCCTAGTGGCTCCTAGTGGACCACCGGAGCTCATGTCAGGCGGCAGCGGAGAACCCAACCGAGGCGGTTCTTGTTGGAATGTCCATAATATCCTGTTTGCCTTTCTTACCACCTAGGCCAAGAGACTATATCCTATACCGAGGTGATGGCCAAGGAAACCCAATTGTGAAAGGTTGCGGACAAGCCTCAGCGGGGCGAATTTCTCCAGCCATATGGTATTGCACGCATATCCCTGTGGCCCATAGCGCATGCCACAGGAACGGGGTCCGTCGGGAAGCCTTCCCATAGGCAAGGGATGGGAAACGAAAAGGATCACCCCCTTCCGTCCAATGAACAGTACATTAGTATATTGTAGAGTAATAGTATATTCTAAGGTTATTTTGCCAAAACCTAGAATGTCAGCTCTCCACGATAAAGTGTTCGAGAAGAAAGATTATGAGGCACCCGGGGACGCCATGATGGCCAGGTGGAGGCCCTGGAGGAACCTTGGAAACTTTGGAAGGGATGTGTGCTCTTATCTCCTGCGGTTCCCTGATTGGGCAATGATCGACTATCTCCCACGGGTAGAGTGCGGAGAGACCGACAGATGGGGTTTAGTGGATCTGGGGATTTGCCGTCTTTGGGCTCCAGAAGCTTGGCTTTTTTTTTTTCTCAAGCCAACCAGACACGGGAATATCATCCTGGATAAAGTCACTCAAGACTTGTCAGCATGACTATTCATGTAATACGAGTAAGCTAGGTCGTGGAGATATTCAAGCTCGGGAGCTGGGTGTAGAGGATATCTATGACCTGAGGTGAGATCGTGACATACTAAATCACGCGAAAGATAATACATAGATAAGTAGTGCCCAGGTGGCGTCTAACAGACAAGGTTCCACCCGGGCACATCCTTGACTCGCAATAATTATCTCAATTTACCCCTTGCTGGTTTAAACAATAAGATAGAAAGGTGAAACACCATGTTGCCAAGCTCTAATGGCTTATCTCCCCGTGAAAGGCTCTGGCCGTTTGCAGCTTTCTTCCGCGACTATGCATGAATCATGACCATGTGTAACGCATAACCTCGAATAACATTTTAGGTATTTACAAAGTACATGCATCATAAATAAATCATAATTAAATCCGGAATACGGAGTAAAAAAGGAAGATAATTTGTTCATCTACTCTCAGGCTCGAGCGTTACCCAGAACATGCCAAGACTATCAGAAGATTGGAGTCTGAAATGTTATTAGTGCGAAACTCTAGTTGGTCTAAGCGCATGAAAGCAGATAGATGTGGGTGCTTTTGATTTAATTACATTAGATTTGATTATATGGAACGTAAAAATAATTATATCGCTTTTTATCTGAAATTGGACTGGTTTGTATTTATACCCTCGCTCACCCCCCCTCTCTAAACGATCAAACTACTATTTGTTTCACCCGTGTGTTGGTTCATAGACCTCAAATTCTCCGGAATTCTCAGGTCGATCAAACGTACATTTCTGTCTACCCTTCTCCGAACAAAACCCTATTCACATACACATCATGGAGGAGAAGAAGTTCGAGGAAAGCACCGTCCAGACTGGCTCGGACGGTCCCCCAGCCTATGGCGATTCATCTCCAACACGGGGAGGCATGGGCCAACGGATCATGGACAGTTTCAAGAGAGACCCCAACCACACTGTCTCCGGCCATGCTGGAGCTGATGGCTCTGGCTTCGATCTCGAGAATGCCGCCCATAACACTGCCAACTCCCCCCTGCAGCGTCGCTTGAAAGGGCGTCATCTGCAGATGATTGCTATTGGTGGTTCTATTGGTATGTTCTCCGTCGATTCTTCTTTCATTCAACCTTGCTAATTTCAATTTACTATGTAGGTACTGGTCTCTTCGTCGGTTCCGGATCCGTTTTGGCCGCCGGTGGTCCCGCCTCAGTTTTGATTGCCTATATTTTGATTGGAGCCATGCTTTACTGTACAGTTCACGCCTTGGGTGAAATGGCAGTCCTCTTCCCCGTTGCCGGTTCTTTCGCCCATTACTCGACTCGTTTCGTGGACCCTGCTTGGGGTTTTGCAATGGGTTGGAATTACGCTCTTCAGTGGCTCGTTGTCTTGCCCTTGGAGATCGTCGCTGCTTCTATCACAGTCGATTATTGGAGTCCAGGTGTTTCAAATGCTGCCTGGGTAACCATCTTCTGGGTTCTGATTGTCTCAATCAACATGTTCGGTGTGCGAGGTTATGGTGAAGCTGAATTTGTCTTCTCCATCATCAAGGTCATTGCCGTCATTGGTTTCATGTAAGTTACGCTGCTGTTTTCTGCAACTTGACCGTCTAACTAACTCGATTATTAGCATCCTTGGAATTGTCATCAACTGTGGTGGTGGTCCCGAAGGTGGATACATCGGCGCCAAGTACTGGTACGACCCAGGTGCATTCAGGAACGGTTTCAAGGGTCTCTGCAGTGTGTTCGTCAACGCCGCGTTTGCCTTTGCTGGAACCGAACTTGTTGGTCTTGCTGCCGCCGAAACCGCCAACCCCCGCAAGTCCCTCCCGACTGCCGTGAAGCAGGTCTTCTGGCGTATTGCTCTCTTCTACGTGGTTTCCCTTACCGTTGTCGGTATGCTGGTGAGATACGACGACCCCAAACTTATCAGCGGTACCTCCTCTGCCGATGCCAAAGCCTCTCCTTTCGTCATCGCCATTGAGAATGCAGGAATCAAAGCTCTGCCTTCGATTATGAACGTCGTCATCATGATTGCTGTCCTCTCTGTCGGTAACTCCTCCGTCTACGGATCCTCGCGTACTCTTGCTGCCCTTGCCGAGCAGGGTCAAGCCCCCAAGTTCCTCGCATACATCGATCGCCAGGGTCGTCCTCTTCCCGCCATTCTGGTTGCGTCTGCCTTGGGTCTGCTTTGCTACCTCGCCGCCTCCGACGTGCAGACTACCGCCTTCTCCTGGATGATGGCCATCTCGGGTCTGTCGTCTATTTTCACCTGGGGCTCCGTGTGCGGTGCCCACATCCTCTTTCGTCGTGCTTGGAAGGTACAGGGCCACAGCCTGGACGAGCTGGCCTTCCGTTCTCAGCCTGGCCTCATTGGCTCGTGGATCGGTCTTATCTTCAACTGTCTCGTGCTGATTGCCCAGTTCTGGGTTGGTTTCGCTCCCATTGGTTACGCAGACATGACCGCCCAGGAGATTGCCTACAACTTCTTCTCTGTCTACTTGGCCGCCCCCGTGGTTCTGGTTTCCTACATCGGGTATAAGGTCATTTACAAAACCAAGTTTATTCTCCCCTCCGAGGCCGATTTGAACACCGGTCGTCGCGACCTTGATATCCAGCATTTGGTGGAGCAGGAGCGGGCCGAGCAAAAACAATGGCCTGCGTGGAAGAGGGTCTGGAACTTCTTCTGTTAATCAGATGTCATGTCTTTTTATTACATTTTCTCTCGACGACATCCACCTTATGTACATCTTGATATTTGAAGGCCATCTCACCTTGAACGCTTGTTTTAAAGATAATCACGATACCATAATTTTTTCCATGAATATCATACAAAACATTCATATTTCAATATTTCAATAATGAGCATAAACTCCTTTTGATAACCTACAAGGCATTATATTAACGTAGATCATCCTCTCGAGCCTCCAGCCTTGGCACAAAATACTTGTGGGGGAACGTTTGACCCAGGGAGTCAGACATGATCAACGGCTTAGGGGTAAGGTGCCACATAATATATTGTACTATTCTACTATTGGACTATATTGCATATTCTGTAATATATATATTGATTGAATGTATATCAATTACCCTCGAACAAGGCTCAGCCACATTTGATGTCAATGCAACTCAATTGTAAACAAAAACAGAGAGTCTCCAAGCCACACACCAACCCCCCCTTTTTTTGTTTTTTTCTTCAACGCCTGAAAAAAACACCCAAATTTAAAGATTTGCAGCCTATTACCACCCCAATGTAATTTTCAATCCCAAAAATAGCCTAAGTGGATTCAAAGACGGTGGGGACAGGAGCCAAGTTGTAACCCAAAGGACTTTTGCTGGGCTGTATTGGTCTCAGATGTACACGAATCCGTCGTATCCCCGTAAGAATACGAGCCACATGACGCCCTACGATCTGGAAATCCAAGAACTTCATCTACTCTATCTCCATCTCCATCTTCATCTTTCCCATTTCTGTCTTTCTTTGTTTTTGTTGCCAGCTTCCTGCCGACTTGCATCGCAATCTGCTTGGCCTGGCTTTCGCTCCTTTTAGCCTCGAATTTTTCCGCGAACCGGCGCTTAACACCCTGCGCACTCTCTTCTCTCACATTCCAAAGTGATCTTCCCTCCTTCGTCATTGGCGTCTCGGTCTATGCGCAGTCTCATCCAGCGTAAAGACTGGATATTGAATTGACAACCAAGCCAGCTGGTCTTCTCTCGGTGTCCTTGTCCATATCGCAAACCTAGAGCCTCAGTGGCCGCCCACCGTTAATTCGCCCCGATTGACTCTCATTTTCGCGCTTCTCCCACCCTTTTACGACTCGTGTTTTGCTCTGAACCTACGAAATTACTGGTATCACCTGCCGGATCGCTCTCTCTTCTTACGCCGATCACAACGTGTCTCCGCTTAACGGCCTGAATCAGCCTTTTAGCCGCCGCCATAATGCCCGGTTTCGCGGACTCTTTCTGGACCCCCGACTATGCTTCGGGTCTAGGGGTACTGTATGGGAAGCTGCAACAGGGAGTTGTCGAGAACAAGCAGATTCTGGTCATTGCGTCTATGCGTGCAGACGCAGAAGAGCAGTATGGACTCCGCATGGGAGACATTGCCCCGAGCGTGGATAGGGTGACTTCGGTGGGATTCGGCAAGGATGATGGTGCCAGTGTTAGAAAGGTTCGTTTCCGACGCATGAAATGGACCGGAGGGAAGAAAGGCTGACGTTGCGCGAATCCTATTACAGGCATACGAAGGAATCCGCACCGAGATGGTCGAGGCCTCCAAAAACCACCAGAAGATCGCCAACAATATCCGTGAATTGGTCGTATCCCCCTTCCGACGTTGGGGCGAGCAGCACGAGCTGCGTGTTCAGTATTCGCATGACCTCCTCCAGTCCCGCATCAAGGAACACACCAAGCAAGCCGAGTTGGTAAGGAAGTTGCGCAGTACTTACTTCAACAAGTGTCGTGTCGTTGAGGACCTGGAAGAAGAGAACAAACTTGCTTTCCAAGACCCTGAATCGAGCCCCAAGATCAAAGCTCCCCCGAAGATCGTTCTCCCCACAGAGGAAGAGCCCGAGGAAGACCCCATCGAGTTGGGTGAGCGGATATTCCCGCCGGATCACCTGAAGAAACTCCTCTCCCATATGCTTGATAACATCAAGCTTGGCGAGGCGAAGGTTCCCATTATCGGCACCTATTTGAATGTATCCACCGGTGCCGATATTGCCCAATATATCCAAACCTACATGGAGGCCGAGAACCTCGCTCAGGTGGAGATAATTGGTCAGGATATGGTAAACAACGGTCTTCTTCGCTTGGTTGGAAATATGGGCAATGTTTTTGCCAATAGCTCCAAGATGAACTACCAGTGGCGACCCAAGGTTTTCCAGCTCACTGGTATCCCAGAAAAGAAGAAGCCTCTCATGCGTGTCACCTCAGTGGCATCAAGTGAGGACGGCACCGGCAATGACTCGCCTATTGCGTCTGTCTCTGAGATGTTGTCTGGCTGGAATCCTCTCAACAACCCTTACCCGAACGAGACACCTTCAGAGAAGCTCCGGAGGGAGGCTTTGGAAGCCGATGAACGGTACAAGGTTGCCGTTCGTAAGCTTGACCAGATCCGATGCCGGCTGGAGGAAGAAGTCATTGGCCAGCTGAAGTACATGGAGCAGTGCGAGCTTGACCGCCTCAAGGCCATCAAAGCCGTGGTTCTTGACTTCTCGGGCGCAATTAGCAATGTTATCCCCAACCTTCAGAGCACAGTGGATCATATGATGCTATATCAGGAAACAATTCAGCCCCTCGGCGACTTGAGATATCTGCTGGAGAACTACCGCACTGGTGGATTCGTACCTAAGATCCAAGCATACGAGAACTACTATGGTTCCGTTGAAGGTACAAACGTGGTTATTACCCAGAGATACAACGTTGCTAATTTTAATTTCCACCAGAACAAAACTTTGGTGTCGACCTTGAAGCTAGAGCCCGTGCCGACCGCAAACGGGTTCCGATCCTGGTGACCACCATTCTGACCTACCTAGACAACCGTAAGGAATCCATGGAATATGCTCAGATTCATGAACCAAAGCTCACAAATCCTACAGGCTACCCTGAACTTGAAGGGGATGAAACACGGCGAATGATCTGGCTGACTGAGGTTGATTTAAGCACGACGCATAAGCTTCGTCAAGTTTTGAACAACAGCAAGACTGATTATGCCGAGGCGTTGCCTCAGTTCGAAATCCCAGTTATTGCAAGCGTTCTAAGATTGTACCTTCTTGAGTTGCCAGGTTCGTCGCTCGGTGCCTTCATATAGGTTTATGCTAATCCCCAGATAGACTCATTGGTTTCCTCACAAGTTTACGAAATCGTCAAGACGATTTATTCCACCACCGCTCATGAGACCACGGAAGAAGGTCGGATCAAGGTTCTGCAAAGCACCCTTGGACAACTCCGCCTTGTCAATATCGCTACGCTTGATGCCATTATGACTCACTTCACGCGCCTGATTGATTTGACCTCGGCCGACGAAGAATACATCACTTCGTTGGCACAGGCCTTTTCCCCTTGCATTCTCCGCCCTCGCATCGAGAGCAGCTTGACGATGAACGAGCGCCACAGCTACCGTCTGATCCGCGATCTGTTTGCTCACAAGGACTCCATCTTCGGCGAGCTGAAGCGCCAATCGAGTGCCCTCGGAATTACCAGCTCCAGCTCCAACCGTCCACGCGCCATCAGCACGGACGAGAGTAACCGTCGTGCAGCGATGGAGGCCCGCCAGCGAGCCATTGTCAACCGCAGCCGGGCAACCAGTCCCGCCAATCGCCAACGGCATCGACGCGACCGCTCGAGCGGTGCTTCGGAGATCGGCCGGTTCCCGATCAATGTCAACAGCCCTTCGGATCGCAGATCCGCCCGCGGTAGTCTAGATGTACCACCCAGCAAGGCTCCACAGACCGGATCTGAGGATGCCCCTGTCGTGAACACCCAAGTTACTGAGCCTGTTACCAATGGCACGTACACGGAGTCTCCTGCCTCGGCTGATACCAGCACCAGTGGCCACTCGAGCTCCCCCAGTCCCCCTCCCGTTCTTGCCGAGACAGCCTCCGATGACTCTCCAACTCCTACTCCTACTCCGGCTGTAGCATCTGCCGAGTTCGATAAGCGCAATTCCATGTCCCGCTCTTCTGGCGCTCGATCCAGCCGCAAGCCAGGCCTTGGTAGCTTGTCCAGCTTCCCCACTGGCTCAGCTGTCGGAGCCAGTGGCACAGACAGCAACCGAAGCAGCATCGCTGAAAGTGAACCCAACAGAGTCACTCTGGAGGACAAGCCCATGGATGACTAGCTTTGAGGACTTGTGGATGCAGAGGAAACCTTGTATAGATCGAACTGGGAGCAGTATATCGTGCTGGGGGAAAACATGGATTATTGCATCGCATTCCATTCACATCTTCGTTGCTCCCTGATCATGGCGAAGACGACCTTGCGAGTTGCAATTTGGAACGTTACCTTTACTTTTTCTTGTCTTTTGTTTCTCCTTTTGAACTTGAAATTTTACTGCATGCCGCTTAGGCATGCACGCATACATACCCTGTCCCTTCTGCTGTGTCACTGCAGAAGGGGTTGTTCACATGCCTTTTACCTTACTTCTGTTACTGTTACTGTGTTTTCCCTCTTATGTTCCCTGATGCAGTCCCTTTGTTGCCCTCGTGGTGTTATCCACTTGGTGTATGTATACTCCTGATTCTTTCTCGTGCACATGAATCTCTTTTTGTCCTATATATATCATTACTCTCTGATAGTGTAGTTCTGTAGAATATACGTGGAATTCAATAGCCAACTATTTTGAACCCTTTTTATATCTGAAATTACTGTCTCCACCAAGCTCTGAATTCGGGACAAGAACCACCGACGAGTTTTAGCTCGCATTGACTGAAGGATCTCAACATTCCCCCCAAAAATATTACTGTCTACGAACGTCTCGCGCAAAACCCCTAGAACCAGACACCAAGAGTACTTTGTAAGAATAAGCAACCCCGCATCCCCATCTTTCAAGCAATCTACAACTTAAACTAAACCCCACACCAGCCAAAACACAGCATCCCAAATAAACAACCCAAAGCCATGACACCAACAACCCAAATCCCAATAGTGGACTCCCACATCCACCTCTTCCCAGAAACACACCTAAGGACCCTATCCTGGCACAACCCCAACAACCCACTGGGCACCCAACACAGCGTAAATGAATACCGCCACGCAATAACACAATCCAACACTACCCCCCTTCTCCGGGGCTTCATATTCCTCGAAACAGACCGTCTCTCCTCAATCACCGACTCAACCCCACCAAACCACGGCTGGCAACACGCCCTGGACGAAGTCTCCCTCTTAACACGCATAGCCCTCGGCACGCCCGTCCAAGGCGAGGGTCATGTCCCGCAGGACAAGGAGCTCTGTCTGGGAATTGTGCCGTGGGCGCCTGTGCCCGGTGGACCGGATGTGCTGAGAGAGTATATGGAGCAGGTGCGTGGTCGCACGGGGGAGGAGGTTTGGGGGAAGGTTAGGGGGGTTAGGTATTTGGTGCAGGATAAGGTTGCGGGAACGATGCTTGGGCATGGGTTTGTTGCGGGTTTGAAGTGGTTGGGGAGGGAAGGGTTTGTTTTTGATCTTGGGGTTGATGCGAGGTCTGGGGGGTTGGGGCAGTTGAGGGAGGCGGTTGAGATGATGGGGTTGGTTTATGGCGGGTTGGAGGGCGATCAGGCGGTTACGATTGTTATTAGTAGGTCATTCTTTTCTCTTTCTTTTAGTGAGGTCCCCGGTTGAGGTCGTTCTTGCTAACTACTATAGATCATTTGTGCAAGCCTAACCTTCGATTGGGTGATGATATTCGTTCTCATCCCGAGTTCCTTGAGTGGAAGGATCTTGTGACTAAGATGGCCAGAGCAAATCCTAGGACTTATATGAAGCTTTCTGGGGCTTTTTCGGAGCTTCAACCGTTAGAGGCGGAGTCGGAACCGGATTTTGGGGAAATTGTTGAACGCGTGCAGCCATGGACTGATGTTGTTTTTGACGTTTTCGGGGCGGAACGTGTTATGTTTGGATCGGATTGGCCGGTGTGTAATGTTGGCGGTGGTGGGAATGATGTCGCTTGGGGTAGATGGAGACGTGTGGTAGAGGAGGTTTTGGAACGGAGGGGACTGTCCGAGGAAGAAAAGAGGGGTGTATGGGGGTCTGTTGCTTTGCATGCTTATGATATATAGAGATTTAGATATTCTTACTACGAAGCATAGAGATGTAAAGTTACATGGGCTTGAAATACATATATTCATGAAGAAGTAGCTAGGACATCCAAAAAAGAATAAACACTATATACATCTTCATTGTAGGTTAACAAATAACCCACCATCGACCAGTAGCTGCGCACCGGTCACATAACTACTCAATTCCTCACAGGCCAAGAAAACAGCCGGCCCAGCCAAATCCCGCGGTTGACCCAGCCTGCCCAACGGAATCCGACCCTCCATATAACTCCGCTTGACGGGATCTTTCATATCCTCCTCGTTAAGCTGTGTCCGGATAGTCCCCGGTAGGAGCGCATTACACCTAATACCGTATTTGCCGAGTGCACACGCACACGACTGCATGAGACTCAGCACACCGGCCTTGGTGGGGGTGTAATGTGTCTGCTGAGCACCACCAACCAGAGCGGAGATGGAGCTCACGCCGATGATGGAGCCGCCCGATGGCGACTGGATGAGTGCCATTTGGCGGGCTGCGGCTTGGGTGGCGTAGAATGCGCCTGAGAGGTTTGTTGAGATTGTATGGTTTAAGAGGGAGGGTTCGAGTCTGGCGGGGTCGTTAGAGAGGAGAAGAGGGGTGGAATGGTAAATGGATATAACTCACTCTAGGAATTCAGCAAACTGGCACACGCCTGCGTTGCTGACGAATACATCTAGACGACCAAATGCCTCGACGGTCTTCGCGACGAAATTCTGGCCTGTCTCTGGTTGTGAAATGTCACCGGATACCGTGAGGAATCGGGTGGCTGCTTCGGCTTCGATCTCGTTCACGTCTTTGCGCAGTGCTTCTAGAAGCGCATCTTCCTTTTCGCCACCGAGGTGGCTGATGGAGACTTTGGCTCCATGGCGGATGTAATCAAGGGCAATTGCCTATAACTTGGTTAGTTTTTCTGTCTGAATCCATTCATATTCGGATATGAGATATCCTACCCGTCCAATGCCGGTGAGGCCACCGGTGATGGCGGCGACTTTACCAATTAGTAACTGTGGGAACGCCATTGGGAATGTTAGAAATGGAGAGGTGTCCTTTGCAATTCTCGCAATTATCACCTGGGGTGAAGTGGATAGATTTCTCGATAAGCTCGGGATTTCGTGTTGATGTTACCCCGAGTGTGTGGGGTAACCCCACATCTCCGGCAAATGGCAGAGACAGGGCAGATCACCTAGAAAGGTACTTCGGATTAGGCTAATTGACATTTGGAGGGGTCAAATTGTTTTTTAGGGAGAATGCTTTTGATAGTTCTGGTGATTTATTTCGAAACACAGGTAACATTCGTTAGGGCTAGTCTTTGCGACAATATTGTCTTGTTTTGCTCCTTTTCATGCCCTGGTGTCATTAAGGCTACACCCGTCCTGATCAATACTAATACCTAGGTATGCCCCTAGCCATATTCAAGCCGCCCTTGTACTTTCGGTCAACACTTCCTTTTCGATTTTTTCTTTATCTTCATTTATCTCTTGTTTCCCTCAGTGGGGCCGTCGCTCTTCACCGGCGCCTTCCCTTTGCCGCCTGTTTGGAGAATCAGTAACCCGAGTTCATGAGGGTGTTCAATGGGGACTCACTGCTCTGGTATAACACTGTAGCTAGAAGAACAGCAATGACTGAGCCCTGTCAAACATTAGCAATCTTATCGATCCGATGGACCCTCTGGGGCAAAAAATAGGTCATCTCACTAGCGAAAGGTCCATCCCTTCTGCCACCACCACTTCCCATGACGGGCGTTTTATGGGGAGGTACACCGCAGCAATATCCATCAATTTTACCACCATCACCAAATTACCACAGTGATAAACGTTTGTTTTGGTCTTCCAGATATTCTGCCCGCGAACCTCCAGTATTGTCTCCTCTCCATTTGCAGCAGCATTCTGAAGATGCACATCAAATTTGTCTTTGAGGGCGCTCCATTGAGGCACAACTGTAGCAATAGGTTCGGAAGCGGCTTCTTTACTGCTGCTTTCGTTGGGACGATGGATATACCATGTTACTCCTGCCTTTTTCCGAGATATATCAAAAAGGGGAAGGCCGGAGGCGTCACAGAAATGTCGTCGCTGAGACCATGATGCAATATCACCGTCCACGCTAAAGAGCTTGTTTAGAAGGGGCTCTTCGGCAGTTGGGGTGCTTGAAATTGTGAAGTTGCCGCTGGACCAGCCCACACTGTGTTGCTTCACTTGAATTGTTGTGGTTGAGGAAGCAACATGTTCCGGACGGATAGCGATGGGTTTTTTGATGGGTGCGAGTGGTTCCATTTTATTACCGTGGGGAATGAGGATGAACTCAAAATTAGGGGGGCTGAGAGTGATTAGAAGAGAGAAGGAGATGAGTTGGGATTGGGCATTGATGAATACATAGCTTCCAAAGTTGCCCAGGTGATTTTCTTAATAAACGCAAAGTTTGATGGCGCTGGGGATCTGCTTTAAAATTAACGACAATCTACAACATCCATGCAATACTAAGTTATACATGACGTCGTCCAAGGCTCTAATGCAGACTTCATTTATAAAGATTTGGGGGCCTTTTCTCTTTTAGGTAAGGATATGTCTTGTGGGCTGTCGCAGATAATTTGATACAAAAAGTAGGGACTTGGCGCTAAAACCAGGCCAAGACCTTCTGATTTGTGGGCATTACCCCCCTGGCACTAATGTATCAGTGGAGAATGAGAAATCTATTTGCTAAATCGTGGATCTTCGTTTGGGGGATGCATTGGCCCCCGTTGGCCCCCGAGTATCTAGCCCCGGGGCGGCCCAGTTGGGGGCCACCATGCACCAGGTGGGTCAGCCCATGTTTAGTTTTTCTGATTTATGATCCTTTTTCTTAGAAGTTATTGCGACACAGATATTGCAGGCCATTGGAAAGAAGCTAGGACAGTAACTCAGGAAGTGGTTGGATGAAAGCATTTGAAGCAGAGGCTTTGGGTTTGTTTAGGTATCTTCTTTCATGTTCCGGGGCGTTTTAAAGTGGCAGTATTTAAAGCTATATTGCCATCTTGGTGATACATTAGAACATGTGGGATAGAGTGTAATATATAACTCTTCCAAGGTTATACCGAAGTATCTCTTTTTTTTTTTTTTCTACATAATGGTCTTACAGTTAGGTAGACTTTTCATAAAACACCCTAATTATATACTCAAACTTAAGTAAGATTAACTTCAAGCCCTTTCTCTGCTTTGTTCATATATAGTGAAGGGTTAAAGTTGTTGAATAGTATACGTGGATAGTGTATTGGAATCTTTTCATTTTTGAAATTGAAGCTATCTTTATCGGCTTCTCTTCCACCCCTGTAAATACAGAAATCCCTCATTCATTTGTAAGAGAAACAGAAATAAAGTACTCCATAAAACAAAGCCTATTATCTCTTGATCTATGAACTTTTCATCGACTGAAAGCAGGCCGAGTTAGAATGTGAACTGGCGATGCAGACCCTATACAACACTAGTGATGAAGGTATCACCCTACATTGACAGCGCTAATCTAGATTCTGTAGGATCAGAGCCCCACGTTAACTAGGGAGGATCAACTGGGATTCTTAATAAAAGTTAATTAGAGAAATGGATAATATAATACATTCATTTAAAATCAAATGTAATCAAAAATATTTTGGTGACCTCCGTGGACATGATGATTTGATCATCTTTCTTTTTGATAAATAGGTGATTACTGTTAGACCCCTGCTAGTATGTATGTAGTAATGACCACCAACTACCTAGGTAGTGATCTGGTGATCTGACCTAGACGCTTTTTTTTGATTACATTACATATTCGAATTCAATAGAATAATGGGTTCTACAGGGGTGGAAGGGAATCATATAAATAAGGCCTTTGGCTCTAAGCAAGAGAGATCAGACAGTCCTCCAGTTCCGACTATTCTACTCTTTCAACGCAGTCTATTCCTCGGTTTAGCAAAATCCAGTTTTGAATATCTTGCTCCAAAAACTGATCATCTTGACCAAACTCTGCCTATCATGCCTTCTATCAAAGACTTTGCTTGGGGCACCATGGTGTTGCTCGCCTTTGGCGTCCAGTCCAACTTGGCCTCTCCAACATCGTCTCCTCATACAATGGTCATGATCCGTGATGAGAACTTCGCCTACCATAAATCTGAGGAGATGGCCAACATCATCCTTGCTCGTAACTCCGAGTCTCCTCTTGTCAAGCGCAGTCATGCAAAGGTGTAGGCTTGCAGGACCTCGTCCTGCACCGACTGTACTACCGTCTTCGATGCCGATCTGTCCTCTCCTAGCGCTTGCATTCCCGCCGACAACACCGCTTGCTTGATTGTTTCCAATCTTGATGATGCGAATATCTGGACCTGGAACCATGCTGGCTGTAATGGCCGCAACACCGACCACAAGGGATGCCCCACTGGAGAGAACACCTTTGGTTCTCCTGGAACTAACTCCATCGGCGTGCACCCTGGCTGCTAATGCCAATGGGGAAGTGGGTTTGCCCGTGGGCCTGTTTAGAATGTTGGAATGACGCCAGGGAGGTCGCTCAAATTCGACAACGGGAGGGGGTATCTTTCTGAGAAACAGCTTCCTATTTCGAGCCGGGGAATTGAAAATGGTCGTCCCTTCGAGTCTTCGATCATTTATTGAATATTAGAAGCAGATTGACCTACGACGAGAACCAATTGAAGAAGTATATAAGCAGTAAAAAGTAGAGTAATTTCTTCATTTGGACTACCCTGTGTAACATGATAATGATAAGACACGAATAGTAAGAGCGATGAAGTGTAAAAATACCCTCTACTCCATTGTAGATTTAGGTGCCTCCCGCTGCTTATAGGGGGTCCATTCTCACTCCATAAAACTCAAGTCTTGGAATATTTATAGACGGAGTAGGTGTTGATTTTACATATGTTTCTTACATTAAAGTATCACTGATTGAATTGTTTCTATACCGCCTGTACGCGGAGAGTGCGACAACCACCGTACTTTTTAAATGATGATCAGTATGAGACGTAATTTAAAGAATCCTAAAATCCGATGTGTATGTACATGACTCTCGTATAGTGCGTAAATAGCTGATGAACATGAAATATATCAAAAGAAATAAAGATAGCAAAAGATTCCACCAAATCACCCAAATTTTTACGCAGAGCCATTAGCCGCCTCCTCGTTGTCGGGTGCGCGTAGGGACTTCTGGGGTGCCGGCGTAAGGATAGCAGCAGCAGGGATCAAAGGAGCAGCGGGGTTGAGTTCTAGACCAAACCCGGGTTTGTCCAAGACAGAGACATCAAGGTAGCCCTTGGTAGGAATGGGCTCATTCAAGAAAAGGTTACCAAACACAGGCTCGACGGTGTGACCATCGGCAGAGTTGGCAAGATATTCCTGGAAGGGACTGTTCGACTGGGAGACGACAAAGTGGTACGAGTAGGGGCCTGATGCATGGGGCACAACGGGAAGATCGTAGGCAGCAGCCATAGCAGAGACCTTGAGTAGCTCAGTCATTCCACCAACCCACATCACATCGGGCTGGAGGATGTCAACGTTGCGGCCCTCAATCAGCTTGCGGAAGCCGTAGCGGGAGTACTCGTGCTCGCCAGTGGTGAATGTGACAGTGGGGTGGGCACGCTTGAGGAGCGCATGGCCGTCGAAGTCATCGGGCGAAAGGCACTCCTCCCACCAGTCAATATCGAGCCCAATAGCCTCGCAGCGCTTGACTAGCTGGATTGTGTAGGGAACAGTCAAGGACATGTAGCAGTCCACGCGTAGTGGGAAGTCAGCACCAACTTTCTCGCGCTGCTGACGCAGGTATTCAACGTTCTTCAAGAGGCCCTCAGTACCCTCGTCAGGACCGTGTGGCAGAGCCACCTTGGCGCCAATAAAGCCGGCGGCCTTTGCGGAGCCAGGCTGGGGACCGGTGCAGTAGAAGTTCAGTCGGGTTCGAGTGGCACCTCCGATCAGCTTGTAGACAGGCTCTTTGCGGATCTTACCCTGCAGATCCCATAGAGCGAGGTCAATGACCGAGATCACAGCGACGGGTAGACCCTTGCGGCCGTAGAACATCGAGGCGCGGTACATCTTCTCAAAGAGATCGTTTGTGTCGCGGGGGTCTGTTGAAATACAGTTCGTCAGAAAGATCCATTGTTCTATGTATGTGAGATGGTATACATACCCGCGCCAACCAGGAAGCGATTGAAATGTTGCTGGGTCAGCCAGCATGCAGGCGGACCTCCGAAACCAGTCGCAAAGCCCTTGGTGCCATCAGTGGCCTCAATTTCCACACAAAATGATCCCAAAACATTAATGCCCCATGACGTTCGCGAGCCACGGAATTGTGCCCACTTGGTCATGGGTGTGGAAATGTTGCTGTCGACCAGCCAGTGGCCTCCCTTGACCTGTATTGATAGTTAGCATGTCAAATATCGAGACAATTGCCATCTCAAAGTTCTTACATTGTGGTAATCACCGCCAGAGCCAACACCATCAATGATAAAGGTGCGGACTTCCTTAATGCGGGGGAATTCCGTTGTTGAACCCATGATGTATGAAATGAGCAAATCTCAAGAGAAGAAGAATTCAATGATTGTCCACAGGAGAAGATATCAAAAGAAATGAAAGCAGAAATCCAACAATTGCGGGGGATTCACGTCTATTTCAACGAATTCCACATGCCGAGGCGAGCTCGGGGCATTGCTAACCCGAGAGACGGACAAACGCCGACGCGGAGAATTTGTTGCGACAACACATGCTATTTTATTATGATCGCGCTAAGTGTGGGCCGGACAAAAATACTCTTGAAATTCCATAATCTATGGGTTATAGTTTTCAAACTTCAAAGGCTCAAACAGGGAGGTGAAGCAGAAAAGCTCGAGAAGGGAAGAATGATCTATTTATCGACATCCACACTGTTGGTCACAGAGCAAAACACCTCCAAAGCATGACCGAGATATTCCTGAACTCCTTCGAGTCGAGGGGTCATATCACTTCCCAGAGGGAGAAGCTTCTCGGCTTGACGACCTTCGCCAACTCCTTCGCCAGTAACAACCTGGTACACAGCCGCCATTGCCTTGTCCTTGTCACCGTTTGGCTTGATCTTCCCGCTGACCAAAAGACCCTGAATCTGCTCGGTGAAGGTTCCATTATAGTCATCCGGCAGTGGGTTCTTGCCTAGAACCACCGTGTTGGGCATGTTGGTGTTGAAGGTTCCGAGAACGACAGTCAGAGTGCGGATGTTGAATGGGGCAACCTCCTTAGCAAGGATCTTGGTGAGAGCTATTGAACTAATAATTAGCTATTATTCCTGGCGATAAGCTTGTGACACATACCGTCCAATCCAGCCTTTGCACTCGCATACACCCCCATGGTGGGAATACCGTCAAGCGAAGCCCCGCTGCTCATGTTGACTATCACCCCGGATCTTCGTTGGCGCATATGGGGCAGAATAGCCCGGATAAGACGCAAGGGGCCAAAGTACATGGTCTCCATCTGGGTCCTCACTTCATCCTCATCGAAAGTCTCGATGGGGGCGTAGATGGAATAGCCGGCGTTGTTGACCAGGACGTCAATATGGTCACCGTGACTTTCAAGCTCGGTGATGATATCGCCACTCTCGCGACTGTCCACATCAAGCTGGACCCATTTGCCCCCCTTAGACTCAATCTCGGCAACCAGTACGGGTGTCTGGAATGGATTGCGCGAGGTCGCAATGACCTTGTGTCCGCCAGCCTGGGCGGCGCGGGCCAAGGAAAGGCCAAAGCCGGAGGAGCAGCCAGTGATGAGCCAGGTGAGCTTAGTAGTAGCCATCATTAAGGTAATGATAACTAGACAAGAGCACAACAGATCTGCTTTAAGCATCACGTATCGGAGTTAACACTGTACAAATACCGAGGACTTGGGGTAGCCGCGGACTTGAGGTAACCCCGGATGACTGCCTTGTTCTACTTGGAGTATGCGCATTTACTCTAGCGACTGATGTTGGTAGAAAAAATGGGACTGGTTGGTACTAGTAGAAATGGTTGGTTTAGGGCGTGTACAAATTAAAAGATTTATTGATAAAGCCCTAAATCTCGCATTTATTGGTTGTTTTGGAACGCGATGACACTGGGCTTACACCGAGTAGACTATAGTGACACGTTAGCAATCTTGGGCTAGTAGATGTTACAAGGAGCCATCATGAAAAGCTTGATCTGTATATTGTAAGAGTCCAACTCGAGGCCACTTTTATGAATAGTGCCCGGTAAAGTTAGCGAATAGTATCTAAGGCAAAAGTACCCCCAAAACTCATGCATATACAAATTTAAATTTTGCTTTAAACAATGGCTCTATAATAAGCCAGAGACTACACTGGACAAAGTAAGCCTTGCAACTCTTCTATGGACTAGTATTGACCACGGGTTGTTGTTGAACCGTTTGCTCACTCCCTTTTTAGGGTACAAACTGCTTGGTGATACTCTTCCAAATATTATAATCTGCTATTTACTTAAATGGAATTAAATCTCAAAGAAATGCAAGAAACAGAAGTAATCGAGTAATCGAAGTAAACCAGGAGATTCTAAAAGCGGAGAATGCGGGGTGCCCCAGTTTCTGCCTTAGGCCTTAGCTCCATGAGTCCAATCATTTCTGTTTCTTCTTTCTCTTTCCCTCGGATTAAATTCTGACGATCGTGGAGACCATTTCAAAGTTCCCTCTTTTTAATAACAACATACCAGGCTATCCCAGCCTATTCGGACATCTCACCGTAAATCGGCGCTGCATCATGCTCGGTCCCTGATAGGGCGAATTGCTATCTCGCTAAATCAAAATGCCGAACACTGCGCTTCCCGCCCAGGAGACCCTGTCCTCCAATCAGCAATTCGACGATCCAAACCGAGATCAGAGTGCAGATTATTCTTCAGATTCTGATAACGATCATATTGGACTCAATGGCTCCACAAGAGCCTTGAAGCGAAAACGCCCCCTCACTGTCTCGTGCGTACCTGAATCGGCTCGGCTACCCGTATTTATATCAAACGAACTTAACCCCGGCTAACCCTACCAAGGTGTGAGCTATGCAAGCAGCGAAAGGTCAAATGCGGTATGTCGTAAAAAGACCCTAGGCAAATGTTCCATTTCTAACATTAATAAACCCAGATCGAGTACAACCGAGCTGTGGCTGGTGTACCCGAAATGGCCAGCTATGTGAATATAGAGAACGAAAGAAGCCTGGGTTGAGAGCTGGCTATGGAAAGGAGTTGGAACAACGACTTGGTAAGTTTTTGTGCAGTCTTCTCGTCTATTTCATGTCTCACTCGTACACCAGATCGATTGGAAGATATTATCCAATCGCAAGCTCGGCTTATCGAGATGCATATGCTGCAAAGCCAGTCTTCAATGGGCCACGAGTTACCCGCCACTGGGCATCTTTCATATAGCTCCCCATCCGAGCCGTCGGCAGTCCACGGACCCAGTCCTAGTGCGGCCCTGTACTTCAACGACCCTGGGTCTGCCGTTACTCTGCCCTCACGCCGTGCGGATGTGTCAACCCACAGTCCATCAGATGGCTCTGTGAAGAATGTCTCACATAATCATCTACAACATGACATGTCAACAGTGCCGGTTGGCCAGTTGTTACATACCCAAAACGCACATCATGATTACACAGGAAACGAATCATCTTTGAAGGTTCCCGTTAGCATATACTCAAACCAAGAGCAATCTCTTACTAATCCTGATCTAGATCTGCCACCATATGACTTGCTATATGCTTTGGTAGATCTCTATTTCGAACACATCAATTCCTGGTGCCCGATCCTCCACCGGCGAACAACCCTGGATACATTTTTTGGCCCGTCGCCACTAGACGAAGCAGACCGAATGGTGCTGTATGCAATTGTGGCAACTACTCTGCGTTTTTCTTCCGACGGCAGACTTGATGACCGGAGCAGAAAGCGCTATCATGACTCATCCAAACAAAAGGTCGTCCTGTATGGCCTGGAAAATTCTTCCGTCAAGGCACTTCAGGCACTCGTGATTTTGGCTCTTGATTTGGTTGGATCTTCCAATGGGCCACCGGGTTGGAAGCTACTTGCCCTGATTACCCGATCCGTAGTTCAGCTAGGGTTGGCTGTGGAATCAAAGTCTTCTCTTATCAACCCCCTCTATCCCTCAATCTATACTCTGAGAGCTGTTACTCTTTCAGAGGCAGACTCTTGGATTGAAGATGAGGGTAGACGTCGTTTGTTTTGGATGGTCTACTTGCTGGATCGATATTCCACCCTAGCGACTGCATTCAATTTCGCCTTGGACGACAGAGATATCGACCGCAAACTCCCTTGCAAGGATGATTATTTTATAAAGAATCAGCCTGTTGAGACACGGTGGTTCCGATGCTCCAGTGACCGTGCGGATTATCTCACTAAAGCTGAGAACGTTGGATCTTTCGGTCTTTATATTGAAATCTTGGGTATCCTCTCGCGGATTCACTTGTTCTTGAAACGGCCTGTGGATATCGGAGCTCTCTCCGACGTCGCAGAATGGCAGGCTACTTATCGCAAACTCGACAGCGAGCTTACATCGTGGGAGTTCAATCTCCCAGCGGAATACGCCTACGAAAACTCGTCCCGACTCTTCAGTGGGCCCAAGAATGGGCGGGCTCTGCACAGCGATTGGGTACAATTACATGCAACCTACCAAACGTGAGTCGGCTGCATCTTCATCTTTCTGTTCCAACCAATTAACAAGTTGATCACTCTAGGGCTGTGATTCGTCTGCACTCCTCCGCAGCATACCCGACAACCCGATCTCCAATCTTTACGCCCTCATATAGTGCCAGCCAGCGATGCCTACTAGCTGTCGAAAACATTCTATCAGTTACAAGGTTTGTTGTAGAGCACAGCATGCTAGACAAGATGGGTCCGCCATTCGCCTTCACTCTCTGGGTCTCGGCACGCCTACTCCTCGTCCACGGCTCAACCATTGCACATACCGTCAGCCCCGATATCATCTTTTTTGTGGATACTCTATTTCAATTAGGAAAATACTGGAAAGTCGCCGAGCGATACAGCAGCATCCTTCAACGCGTCCTGGACGAGTACAACGAGTATCAGCAATCCATCGCCACAGATGGTGAACGATCCACACCATCGACAGTGAAGATTCTCGCCGATATGCGTCGCTGTGCATTCGACCTGGACTTTTTGATTTCGCGTCAACCACGAGAGTCCCCCGCCGACAATGGCATTGGCGAGAGCCACCAGCCCCAGCCACCCTTCCCGACAATGCCTGCACGCAACTTCGCCCCCAACGAACTCGAATACCTCGATGTTTTTGGTTTCTTTAATGTTCCCCGTGTTCCGCCTGCTCGGGCTCCTGATCTATCTACCTCTAACCCCTCTCATTTGGAAATTTCAGAGCCTGTACCAAATCCGATGTCGATTCATGGATTGACAGATGCTGGCCCGGCACCTCCAACTGGGTCAGTAGATGATAGCGGCCATCCCTCCAATGCAAATGAATTTAACATCACCAACTACCTGATTCCGACGCCAGAGACGGATTGGCTGTTCCGACCATCCTAGAGGCACTATCTCCTCATCACTTGCGTCCTTTTTTCAGTCGCTTCTTGCCTATGGACTGAAGAAGACATTCGAGCACCGAAGTCATGTGAAGACCGAGTGTGGTGGGGATATCATATCCATTGCACGGTATTGGCTCAGCTGAACGACCCTAGCATCAGTTCATTTTGTAAACTCAACAAACAAGGCGTGTCACGATTTTGCGCACACTGTTGAGTGCAGGTCGAATCAATGTATTCCTCTTTTCGGGTGTTGAGATTGGTTCAGATTTTACAGAGCACGCAATGAATAAACATGGTACCAAGGGCTAGGAGCGAATGCTAAGATGAAAATCCGTGCTACCTTCTACTGTCATAAATTTACGAACACCCGCCATGGGAGTTTCGATTACTGCATGACCCTGTGTAGGTGAATTTTGCACTCGTATCCTCACGGCCACTTTCATTAGTAAGGTATATACTATGTCGGCCCTTCTCCTGTGGTGGGGATCAAAATTTTCAGCGCTGACCAAATTTCTTCTATCAGTCTCCTCATCTAGAGATAGCTTACCAGCAGACGCGTTTCGCACGGAATCGGTAATTTATATTAACAAAGAAAATGAGCCAGAAACCACCATCTAAATTTAAACTAAAAGAGAGTTTAGCAGAACCATGGAACAAACTACCATATCCACGGTACATCCGGGTCCTAAATACATTAGCCTCTTTATGCACCACCTAAGACATCTGCCTTTGTCATATTCCATCTAATCTCTCTCTCTCTCTCTCTCTCTCTCTCTCCACATAGCTCACCATGTGGCCTTCAGTCTGCTGACATAGGAGTGATATAAGTGGGCTTTGAACAAGCTTGTGAATTTAGGTAAACATGTTATAGACTGCGACACCTAGATGAGGATGAAAGGATATAAGGCGTTCTCAATGAAGAGGGTTGCAAACAAAAAGAAAACATGAATATAATACTCTAAAATGTGACATTATGGAGACACCTTGTTAGATTATAGTTTTATGATTTTAGCATGAATATTCCTTCCGCGGCATCACTTCATCATTTCATTTGAATAAAGCATACCTTTGCAAATCCCTATTGGTGAGGTTTAGGCAACTGTTGAAAATAAGAAAAGAAGAGAAAAGACCACACAAGGTCAATATCAGCCGAGCAGGTAATCTTCTAACACGGGCCCCGATCAGGGAGCGCAGTCATGCAAGTGAGAGCAAGAACTAAGAGCAGAGATAAGAGTTCCAATTACAGTGTTAACTCCTACACATAACATACATGAAAGAAGAGGAGACCAAGGCCTCAAGAAACAAAGAAAACAAGGAGTAAACAGCGCGAAGTACAGGGCCTAGAAACTCCATTGGGAACACTCATTTCTACTCAAACAAAATTCAGACATGTTCATTACGGGTCAGTGCGGGGCTGCAATCGAACGAGGACCTCCTCGAGGAAGGCGTCGAGAACAGCATCAACACCACCACCCATGTCAACAGGGCTCTCCATATCCCAATGGTGGAGGCTGTTGAAAGCTCGAGCAATGTCTTCGGCAACCTTCTCCAGGCCATGATGGATGCGGACGCTGCGGTCAAAGTCCTTTTCTTCTTCTGGGGTAGGCGGGGGCTCGTTGGGGTTACGTCCGGGTTCGAGACGGACGAGGTGGTTGCGGCGGCGGTCCATGGCTGCACGGAGGGCTGGGAGGATCACGGTTCCACAAGCGGTTGCACGCTCAGGCTCAGGGAGAGGTCGGGTGGAACGCTTGTGGTCACTGGAAGTGGGAGTGGGAGGGGTGGAGCGGTGGGGGATAGCACGGTCATCCATGTTTGATGGTGCGCGCTTGGACTTGAGTCCAGAAACTGGCTTTGCATGTTGCAGCGGATCTGTATGTCTTGGGAGGGCGACTTGAGGGATGCGTGGAGACTGTGGCTGGTGTTCCAGCGGATCAGCAATTGTGCGAGAAAGTGGAGCTGGCTTGGGCACAATTTGAGCGGATGGGGTGCGGTATTGGTCGTGGAGGGTAATGCTGGAGAGTTGTTTGGCAGGAGTGCCCTGGTTACTGACCGCGGAGGTAGGTTTGGCCGAAGAAGCAGTATCAAGTTTGTTAGTGTAGTGAGGCGCTGCCTGTGCATATTGTTCGTTCAATCCTCTCATGGGAGGGCTGTCTGCCGCGGGTTTGCTAGCCACTGGAGACACGACTTTGCGTGGAGGAAGTGCGGTCTGGGAGGGGCGTTGCTTGAAAGGGGAAGATGGAGCAGATGGAGGAAGAGGGGTTTTGGTAGGAGAAACATTGAAAGCAGGGTTTGCCGGGGCCACTTGAGCGTGTGATTGAGTCTGGAATGTTCCGACTTGTTGGGGTGTCTCATCACACAGATCCCACTCTTCTGTCTCATTTGTTCGCGCATTGGTTTCAGAGCCTTTCATAGGGCGCAACGGGGGTGCAGATGCCTTTCCCACAGGACGAACGGTCCCAAAATCCCAAAGGTCTTCTTTTTCCTGTGTCCTGGCGGTTGCTGTTTGATCGGCTTCTCTATCATCATACCCATCATCATATTCGTCCTCGTCATCTTGACCCCGATGAGTTATTTGCCAGCGCTCTGCGCGCTCGATGAGTTCTGTCAGGTACGTTGTTCTTTTGGCACGCTTCACAAACGGATGCTCAAGAAGCTCCTTGGCTGATGGCCGCTCCTTAGGGTCTCGGCGCAAGCACAGTTCAACAAACTGCTTGAAAGGCTTACTAAAATCGCCTACCAATGTGGGGGGCGGGTTCTTGGGAATCAAAAAAAGCACCTTCATCGGGTGAATGTCGGCGTACGGAGGATCACCGCAAGCCAGTTCAATTGCTGTGATACCCAAGGACCAAATATCGGCCTTGTAATCGTATCCAGATTGCTTGATGACTTCGGGAGCCATCCAGAAAGGAGTGCCTACAAAGGTATTCTTCTTGGTCATTGTTGCCGACAGTTGTCCCGACACGCCAAAGTCCGCCAATTTAACTTGACCACTCGCGCTGAGAAGAACGTTGGCAGCTGCAATCAAAAGTGTTAGTCGCCACACATTGTCCTTTCAGCTAATTGAGATCTTCGTACCTTTAATGTCTCGATGCAGCTTCTGGTCACTGTGTAGATAGTCTAGCCCGCGCAGAAGCTCCCTTAAAATAATGGCAATGTACTCTTCGTGGATCACACCAGGTCGCAAGAGACCATGGCAACTACCACCAGCGCAGAACTCCATGATAATCCACAGGTTGGACCCCTTCAAGTATGAGCCATGGTACTTGGTGACATAGGGCGACTTCAGCTCGGATAAGATGGCAATCTCCTTGATGATATCGTCGACATCATCCTCAGCATTCTCAACGTCAATGATTTTGATAGCCACTGATTCTCCAGTGCGTCTATCCAGACTGATCGTCCGAATTAGGTCAGCTGTTTGTTGTACCAAGACGTTGATGTGGAAGGTCCTCGACTTACCCTTTGAAAACTTTACCGAAGCTTCCACCGCCTAAGGAATCACAAAACGGTCAGCAACCACATGAAGCTCATGATCCCTGAAGGCCCAAGTATTGAAACACCTACCGATGCAAGTTTGCTTGGTGTAAATGGTTTCCGGATCGATGGGAGGCGGCATTTTGGCGATTTATCCAAGTCACTGGAGGACAACGATGCACATGAATCAAGAATAGATCTGTCGAGACTAATGGTGGATTGTCAAATTCACGACCGGCAGTCACCTATCACAAGGACGGAGTGTGGGGTTGGGCCGTATGTGATGGTGCTCGAAAGTGGACTCGGGATGATTGTGTGGGATGAAATAATGTTGCTATCCGATCAATCTGATTCAATTAGATAAAGTATGTGAAATATATCTCAGGATGGCAAGATTTCAAGACTGCAAAAGGAGAGAAGGAAGAGAAGAGACGGTGTTATTCGTTTGGGTGCTCACAATTGATAAGACGTCAACTGATAAACAAAGACAATTGTTCAATCGGAGCAGGTGCGGTGAGGGTGGTCGTGGAATTCCAGATCGTTTGTGGCATACTCTTCACGTTACGATCAACTCGTCTCACTCCCCAAGCTTCTCAGGGATATCTATGTCGTGAGCTGCCCTTGCTTGTTTATCGACGCGGGGGGCTTATTTTGCCGCCGCTTATCTGGGGGCGGTGTATCTATGGCTTTTTGAGTCCAATTAGAATATTTGTATGCCGTAGATTGTACAACTATCTGAGACTCGAGTTTCAGACTTGGAAGGCCTAAAATTATCAATTGGACTCGATGTTGAGAGTTGTAATGATCATCTACATATGCTCTTTTCCTAGAATTCCAACCATCCTAACTGTAAATTTCGCATTTTCTCAAACGGGAATGCGAATGCGAATGGGAGGATATTGGGAATTAAACATCTAGTATAATTATTAATTACATGAAAAAGAGGTTATTTGTGAGCATAAATAGTAGATCTAGTAAAGCTTGCTACGTTTTGAGGATATATAGTTTGGAGAAGAGAGCGATAAATTGTTGTATAAAGTTTACAACATAAAGCACAGTATGATTATATAGACTGAAAGACCTAGGCGCACAAGATGTATGTATTTATGTCAAATTCGCGATATCATCAAGCCCAGAGAGTAATGGTCGAATTAAACTAGGGCATGAAAGGCACCCGTGACACAATACAAAGAGACATGTGCCTAAGTGGTTTCCTTCATGGGAACATCAAAGCAATAGGCCCTAGTTATCTTAATATCCCAACCCAACATGTTCACCTCCTTTCATATTTTATTTGGGCATCTATAGATATTTGACATTTATACTACATTCCCGATAGGTCAAGCTCATTATTTATCCGCAACTCAACTAAATGATTAACTACATATACATCGACCGCGCAAGTGGATTTCCGTTTCCACTTTAGTGCTCACCCCGTGCTGCCTTTTGCTCACTGAGTAAAACCGAGCACGCCCCTGAGTATTATGTAATAATTAAGCTTGCACACTGAGCACCTGGGCATCACTTGATCATTACATAAGCCGGATGAACTGCTTAGGTGGCTAGGTGACCTCAGGTTCTGAGGTCGCTCACTGAGCGTGACTTGGTTAGATGGGATCGCGGAGTCCCGGGTAGATCTCGGTTCAAAAACCTCCAAATGTATAGTAATCTTCAGCCTCCGCGGAATCCCGGGTCACCTTCCCTTCCTGTCTACGTCTACTTATATCGTAAGCCTCGTCCCCCATAAAAATATCTTCAAACGTCCTTGAAGATCAAATTTCTTTTTCTATTATATCCTTACCTCTTTATTATGGCGGCCATTGAGACCCAGGGGAAAGAGGATGTTCCCAAGCCGTACGACCAGTTCATTCTCTTCGGAGACTCTATCACACAATTAGGCTGCAACCAAGAGCTAGGGTTCGCATTTCATGCTGCACTTCAAGAATGTGAGTTGCTTTTCTAACTTGTATTGTCAATAAGCTTATGGAATAACATTAGCGTATAGTCGAAGATTGGATGTTATCAATCGCGGTCTGGCGTAAGATTATCCCAGGCTAGACCAGACTGAATCATACTAAATTCAAAGTGGATATACGACTGCCGATGCTACCCAGGTCTTTGAAAGCTTCTTTCCTTCACCGCAGATAGCTACCGTGCGGTTCATGGTAAGCTGCCTTCATTAGCAGGCCCATTTGAATTCTTAAATGCACCCAAGAGACTAATTGACTAAAATCCGGTAGGCGATCTTCTTCGGTGCTAACGATGCATGTGTTCCAAACCACAACCAACATGTACCTGTGGACCAATACAAAGAGAACTTGAAGATAATAATTCAGCACCCAGCAACACGCGCACAAAACCCGCACATTATTCTGATCACCCCGCCTCCGGTTAATGAGTATCAGCTGGGGAGCTTTGATGCTGCGAATGGCACTCCGTTCCTGAGCAGAACTGCCAGCTTGACTAAGTCATATGCAGTGGCTGCGCGGGAAGTTGGTACATCACTCAATCTCCCTGTTGTGGACTTATGGTCAGCATTCATGAAACCCACTGATTGGGTCTCGGGATGCTCCGAATAATGAGATATTCTCTAGCCTTTTTACTGATGGTGCGTGATGATATATTCCGACCGAACTAGCTGTGCTTACTCGTCATACAGGTCTTCACCTGACCCCGGCTGGTAATCGCATCATCTACGATGAACTTTTGGAGATAATCCAGGCTACTTGGCCGGACCAGACTCCCGCAATGCTTCCGATGGTATTCCCGGCACCAAAATGAAACCGAACCACCCGCGTTTTACTCCTCTTCACCTTCGACATAATCCACTGATTATGTAGTGAATACTATCAATCTTATCAAGACTGGGTGCCCTAGCTTACGAGTAAGGGATTATAACCTCTTAGGGAGGAAGTTATGAAGATGATGATAATACGGGTTGCATTACACTAAATTGATTAACTCTATGAGGAAAAGACGGAGCTATATACACTAAACAGTCGGGTGCGTGTGAAATATGTATACAAGTAGAGTTCGGTTTCAATCATAGTTGGCTTCTTATCAAATACGCGATACCTATTTTCTCACCAAATTTCACAATTCGGAAGCTTGACAACGATCATCATGTACGGCAGCGGGCTTCGTCTCATCCATCACGTCAGATATGTTTCCAACACAAGCGGCTGGCCCATCAAAGATAAAAGCGATCTCTTCTAAGGATGGCCCCTTTGTCTCTGGAAACATGAAATAAACTCCGACAAACTCGACCATAACCCAAATGACAAAAATAATATAAAACCGTCAGGCGATATCTTCCAGACCAATAGGCACAGTAAAGGTAGAGAGCATCATGAAACCGAACTGAACAAAATAATAGAATGACAATCCTTTTGCGCGTAGACTATAAGGTAGGATTTCAGTGATATAAAGGCCAAGGTTGCCGGTGATACCGAGATTGTAGGCGGGAGAGAAGAGGTATAGAAGGACGACCACAGCATAGGCAGCGGCCTTGTTGGTAGGATCTTTGGTAAAGGTCGCGCTACATGCAGTGATACAGATAACGATGACCCAAATTGCGACAAGAGAGCACAAGAAGAGTTTGCGGCGACCGACCTTGGCTGGCAATGTGGCGAAATGAACGGCACTGAACCTAGAAAGCATCTGACTGGTTGCGTTGATAAGGGTTTGCTGAAGGTCAGATTTTAAGCCCACGGATTTTAAGATGGGCGAGAGGTAGTAGGAGACAAAGGCATTTCCAGACATTTGCGAACAAATTGCCGCCCATATCAATATGAACATACGTTTGCGGTTGCCAGGGGTACTACCCAAGTCGCGTAAAAACATAAATATGTTGTTCTCATGTGTTGCTTCGGCCCGCAACGTCGTAAGAATCTCGGCGTACTCTAATTGAACGCCCTGGTTGGAGACATCGCCTTCGCCGTGATACTTAGCAAGCATAGCGAGTGCCTCTTCGTTACGGCCTTGACTAACCAGCCAGCGGGGCGATTCAGGGAGCGACCAGATAGCAAGTAGTTGGATGATAGATGGAAGTCCTTGCAGCGCCGACGGGATGCGCCATGAAGCCGTACTATCGATGCGAAACGTTCCGAAGGTGCACCAACCGGCAACGACAGAACCAACCGAGTAGAAAGTCAGAAATAGAGCCGTGGCAGTACTGCGCTGAGCCGGATGTGCGATCTCGGTGATATAAGGGGCACCCACCTCCAGCGACGACAACACTGCCAGCCCCAATAATGACGCGCGAAATGATGAACATGGCGTTATTGATGGCCGTGCCTTGCAAGACAGCACCTACACAGCACAGAGCAGCTCCCGTGGCAATACCAGCGCGTCGTCAAAAGGTATCCGCCATGGGGGAGATCAAGAAGGTGCCAATGATGCCGCCGAGGGGATAGGAACCATTGAAGAAGCCAAGCAAAGCACCCGTGGGTGTTCCAAAGTAAGTCTGCCAATGTGACACAGACTGGAGACCGTTCATCATACTAGCGTCAAATCTAGAGTTTTCGGCTTTTGGTGAGCTGAGTTCCTAGAAGCTGAGGGCATGAAGTTTGAACAAACCCTTGAGAGAAAATCGACAACAACGTGACCAACATGAGAAAATTGAGAGCACGGAGGTTGCGGTACCTCCACCAATGCGCTGTAACAACAGACGAAGAAGGTAGGACTGCGTCCCCAGGAATATTCAGAGGAGTCATTATTTAGGAGTAAAACAGATGACCGGTGAACAACAATGGTATTAAATGATCCTTGATGGGTTGATGATTGACTGTGGTGGACCTAGGTGCATAATATTTCCTAAATATACCTCTCTTGACTCTCGCTTTCCCCTTCTCCAGACTCGGTCTCGGGATGGGATTAGCCGAGAGCTATAGATACATGCACCTATAGGTGAATGTCCTCATGCCCTGGGCTTCGGCCGGTTACAGCTGCCAACCACACAGATGTGGTCCTGCAACTTTTCACGTTGTGAATTATCGTGAACTGCACTTTCTGATTCTCCATGTGTGGAATCAAACGAGGGGATAGCTTCCATGGCGCGGAGACCCCGGTTGAGCTCTGATATCGAAGAATAATTGCGGGTATCCAGTCCAGAGAAGTAACATCTTCAGAGCCAAGTATTGATGCCTTGTCGTAAACGTGAAGAAAATCGTCCTCGGGCTCGTCGATGCGAAGCTTGGTGAAGAGGTCAACCGCTGTCTCCCAAAGAGTACTGCTCTGTATCTGAGGGGACCAAATGGCGTCGTGCGCAATTGTCGCAACTTTGACGCCTCCAGATCCCAATCGGGGGAAACTGGTGCCATACGAGGTCCCAGAAAAGAGCCTCAGGACGTGGATTGCGATGTGGTTGTCGCCGGAGTGTATGTAGGGGCCAATGTCGATCTCATCATAAAACCAAATGTTCACGTCGCCCTTAGCAGGCCCAAAGGAGACCCGTTGGCAATTGATATAGAGCTTGTATCGCGTGTCTACGGTGATCTTGATTCGCAAGGCCTTGGGTGGTTCTCCATTAACAATGAGCTTCTTTCGGAAATGAACGAAACGACCTGCAGTGGAAGAGGCATCTTCGCGAAAGGATGGATGCCACATCCAAGAGGTATCAAAAGTTTCGGCTGCCATCACGGATATGGCGAGAGCTTCGGATGACTGAATTCTGCAGTACTGGGAAACTTGACATTCGCAAGATAGCTTGACTAGGTTGAAGAAGAATGGTGTTTTTTGCTTCCTAGATGCAATTTTATTTGTATTTCTGAGATGGTGGTCCAGCACTGAGAAGATCAGCGTCGGGTCATGTTAAGCCGAGTGGCCACGCGGTTAGGCCGACACACGGACAACATGATTATGGGGGGGCTTTTTCCGGGGTGGAATGTTCATAGTCACTTGTTCCCCCGGATCGGCAATTAAACACATACCATCATTAAAGGCTAAACCCTGTATCACTTTTGCCAACATCAAACCCCCGATCAACAAACTCTTTCACCAGAAAATGCCTGTTCGTATCGGTGGCACAACACAGGACCGAGCGAGATACGACCCTGACTTTGACGGATATGTATCGTACAAAGTCAACAATTCTCTAGAAGCACCCAAGAGCCTTATTTATGGGCCTAAGTTCTTCGATTTAATCGGCAAGTACCTATCAACTCATACAAAATGAGATGTCCCTCATGACTGACCAGTGCTCAGGACAATTCGGCAGTGAGACAATGTTAGGTGAGTTGAATGGAATGTTGATTTGATCGATTGTATACTCATGACTTCAAGGTCTGAACCGCGGCCTGAACAATCGGGGCAACACCTTTTCTGCAGCGCTAGAAGCCAGGGCAATGATATCTAAGCAGCTATGGGGATTGGAGCTCGGAAACGAACCTGATCGTAAGTCTAGTGCCTTAACGACCAAGCCTACTATCTTGTCTTTTGCTAATTCTTATTGCCAGTATTCGAGTACTGGAAGTACCCTGTGGCCGTAGCTCCCTGGAAGGAAACGCAAGAGGGAGCCAACGCAGCCGATTGGGCACAAGACTTTATCAATCACTGGAAGACACCGCTTCCTATCCTTGCAGGAGGAGGATATGCCGTTCCATTTGAAGTTGTGCCTCCATGGCCTAATCTGCCTTACCTGATAGAAACAGCCTATAACCAGACGATCAAGGATGCGACAAAATTCTACAACGGGCATCTCTACTCGTTAGAGAACGCCACAGCTAATAGTTTGAATATCGAAATGAACCACCAAAGAACAGTATCCGATCTAAATATGCTGCCGATATCTAGTGACAAGTCTGTCAACAGACCCTACGTTCTGGGTGAGGCTAATTCCGCATTGTTCTTGTGGTTTCTTCCCAATAAATTCTCAATCAAAGACAAGATTGTCACCGCTAACGCATAAACTTATTACAGGCGAGACGGGCTTTCACTCAGGCGACTATGAAATGGATGCTACCCTTGGCTTTGCAATTCAAACGGTGGACAAAACCTTACATGGCTTGGCCCTCGGTATTCAACGCATATTCTACCACCAGGGCACAATTAATCAAGGTATGTTTTTTTCTAATAACTTCTTTTCTTTTTTTTAAAACACCGTGACTAAATATTTCCTAAGCGTTCTTCAACTGGTGGTGGAGTGATCGTGTTAACGCTCCATTTTACGGTGGTTATTTCGCAGCGCTTGCTATAGAGGGAGGGGACTCTATCTCGGCGAGTGACGATGGCAACGATTCATACGCGCAGTATGTGGTTTATAAGAAGGGGAAACCATTCAAGGTTATCTTAGTCAACACGAACTACTACTCTGGCAATGGCTCTCGATCGGTGACCAATTTCACCATGACAGGATTGAAAAATGGTTATGTTGAAGCACTTCGCATGACAGGACCGAGTAGTGAGACTTTGGTTCCGCGCCTGCAGACCGACCCGTCACTTGAACCTAGCATTGGAGGTACGTATGGGTTGAATACTATCCAAATTAGAGGGCTTTCCGCACTGTTGTTGTACTGACTTCGGCTTCGCAGGCCAGTACTTTTCCAACGATGACTGCAGCCTTCGAGGAGCCCAAAACTTTGAGGAGTTCACGGTTGAGAAGCACCGGCTTACAATCAGCCTCACAGCTTCGGAGGTTTGATTGTTTATTTATAAGAAGAGGAACTAGTTAACTAACTATAAATGAATTGACGCGTTTCGCGTTAGGTGACCGCTTGTCAAATCCATCCGTTAATATCATCTGACTGCTTACTAAGTACAAATAAGTCAGGTCAGGTGGTCACTGAGTAATCACCCTGTGCTGTGAGATACTCAGTGAGCAGGGCCCTGAGCGCCATAAAGCGGCGGCACCCCGATCGGCATCCGCGGCCAAAATCTGGTACTCCGTACTCCGTAGATACAGGTACATATGTACTCCGTAGGTACGAAGTATATGCTTTGTCTGTTAAGAAAAAATTCAGCTCTACACATGTACATCACTCAGTCCTACTCTATACTCATTATTACTTTTTTCTGTTTCTTAAGTTGACACTATTTTGATTATCATGATTCATTGCATGCTTTCCAGGGAAGCTTCGTACTATGTATACTCTCACATCTAGGTCTCAAGGTTGGCAGTGACAACTAGAGAGCCTGGTAGATTGAATGGTATCCCTGGAAATGACGAAATCCAGCTTGGGAACAAAGGTGAGATCCCACGGGATCTAATTCATTTCCATCAACGCCTTGCAGAAACTCAGAAAACATGGCTGCATGATGATAAGACCGAAAGAACAAGAAAGCAAGAGAATTACTCTTCCAAATATCCAATCATCACCGTGCCATTCTTCAATCCTGCATCTGCAATGCTCGTACTAAGTTGATCGATGAGATTGCGACCCATGCTATTAAGGTCAAACTCGACACCAGCCTTGTCTTCCAAGGGAGGATCGGCCTTGAGCCACTCATAGATTCTCTGAACGGGATCCGTCAATGAGAAGCGTCGAATAACTCTGCCGGACGGGTGTCGGAACTGAATGCGTGTAGTTGTGGCCGGATCTGCGGCAGGTTCAGTGTGTGGTTGGTCGCTGGGAATGGATGCGAATGGGGAGGCTTCGGCAGCTGGCTCCGGTTCCTCCATGACGACATCTTCCTCCTCGGTAGCCCGGCCCTTGCCCTTAACATTGTCTGTACTGCGCGTCAAATCATCAGGGTCTTCGACCGTCGGACCAGCTTCTGCTGCAGCCCCAAGACTGTTTCTCATTGCCATCTCCATCATCTCCTCTTCGGTCATGGCATCAATGTTCTTGTCTTTCTTGTCGGATTTGCGCTTAGCAACAGGGTTGCGCACATTGTGGTTCAAGCTGTAGCGATCGAGGAATTCGTGAAGTTGCATGAGAAAGTCGGCGGCTTTGACCAAAGGCGGTCCAGACCATATCTTCATTTGCTCACCAGTTCGAGGGTCGACAATAGCAATATGGGGGTAATTGTCGGAGACGTCGCTTCCCTGGAAGTAGTATTGGAGGTAGGAAGAGGCACGGGGGTCATCTTTCGAGTACTGCAGGAAAATGAAATGCTCCTTGACGGTATCTTGCACCCCGTGGTCCTTCCACAAATCGCGGTTCAGAACCTGACAGTCAAAGACTGATGCATCCTGGATATTGACAAGCAGCCATTTCTCGGTGTCCTTTCCCTCCTCGCGCGCCACATCCCAAGGTAGTCGTGACATTATTTCGAACGGAGGGCGGTACATTTCGGCAAGCATATTGGACTTGGAGGATGCTTCCGATGCGCCCCCAGTAGCGGCAGAGAGTGCTTCGCGACGAGATTCATTGCCGCCCGTCCATATGGAAGATGACTCTTGCTGGTTGAAGATTCCGGCTCGACCTAGAGTAAAAGGTCAGTTCAAGTTATTGGAAATTTTGGACACAAAAGTAGCACCCACCCGGTCTTCCGCGAGCTCGGAGTTGGCTGAGGATATTGGCGTGCATGTCTTCACCACTGTCATAGTCCGCTCCGGGCCCCACCAAAGTCTCTGTTGTCCGCGCCAACGGCGCTCTCACTTCATCTTCGTTGTCTGCGCCACCTGGGCCGCCATAAATTTGCTCCTGAAGGCGTCGAGCCATAGCCTCATCGTCATCGAATGTTGGCGGGGCGATGTGTCGGGGGGTATCGTCATCAGTATCTGAGTCAATATTCACCACCTCGGAATCGTCTGGGATCCCGGAGCGATGAGAAGGCCGAGAAGGTTCACCAGTCAAGGGTGCGCCTCCACTTTCAAAATAAAGCTGCATGGCCTGCTCGATTTGGAACTCGGTGATCTGCAGGTACTGTATAGCCAGCTCCGGCGTGGAGCCGGTAATTTCAGTGAACTGAGCTACCACGTCGTTATCCATGGTGGGCAGTGTGTCGAACGAGGTTCCTTGAGAAATATCTCAATATTAGAAAAGAGAGTTAGAAGGATTGACTTTGGATACCCACTGAAAGCTTAGGCGTAGTATGAAATGGGGTAAAGACTCGGAGGTTGTGCTATGTGGGGAGCGAGATTTGGTGCAAACCACTGCAAACCAGAAGATCACCAGGTCCCACAAAAGAGGTTGATCGGAAAAAAGAAAAAAGAGAAATAGAAAAAACAATGTCAACCTTCACGAAGGCTGAAAGAATTCCGTCATCTCGATTCGAGACGCACATGAGACGATCATAGACACCTGAGGTGGCTAGTGACGCGGCTGACTAAGTGAGAACTGCACATGTGCTTGATATGCTTGGCCGTATTCCTACGCGCGACGCGTCCAGCGCGTGGAACGAGCCCCAGTAGTGGAGCTGCCAATTACACTTCCTAACTGGGCGCTGGGTCTTCTTTCCTGACATTCCTCTTTTAACTTCTACGGAAACTGCGTCTGTTGTTCCTACCTTCTTACGTTGTCATTCTTATGTCCCAAGTCATGGCAGGAACAGTCTTAGGAAAGCGCACTCGGGGTGATGTGGACCCAGGTAAGATCATCCATCCCACCTTCCTCTGCTCCTTATCTTCAAGTTCTCACCTGTCTAGCATTGCCGGTCCGAACCGCAAGCAAGCGCCGAACAGTTGCCCCCCGAGTTCACCAACGAGAAACACTTCCACTACGACGAACAAGGTCAACTGTAAAGAAAGCAGTTGAACAACCTGACCAAGAAAATGGCGAAATCAAGACAGTGTCGGAGAATGTTGCTTCTAAACATACCTTGCGCGACGACCAGTTCAAATCTCCGGTCAAGATCAATTCGCATTTCACCGTCTCGAAACCAGTGGAAGGTAAGTGGGAAATTTTGGATGTGGCGCCTGAGGCAGCGCTAATCGGATGTGCAGAAGAAATTACAAAACCTATCGAGTTCGAGTTTAAGACACCTTCGAAATCGCGATTCCGAGATGATCTCCCGCAATCTCCCATCACCCCTAGACATCGAGTGCAGGTCGGAGCAAAGGCAGTAACACCGCGCACTCCCCGCCATGCCGATCTTCCCCCGACTCCCAGACAGAGTGCCACTCCGAAAATTGCGAACTCGGTATATTCACAAGCTAGGCAATTGTTCGCCCGAGGCTCCAACTCGGGCCGTTTAGTGGGACGCGATGCGGAGCGGGAAAAGTTGGTATCTTTTATCACAGAAGGAGTGGAATCTCGGAAAGGAGGGTGCCTCTATATAAGCGGCCCCCCAGGAACCGGAAAGAGTGCCATGGTCCAGGAAGTGTGTGGAGATATCGATCTTTCTAAAGTCAAAGTTTCGCATGTGAACTGTGCAAGCATGCGAATCTCTCGCGATGTCTACAGTAGACTCATCCAAGATTTCTGCGAGGACTCAGATATGTTCAAGAAGAGCGAGGGGGATCGCCTCAAATCTACGTTCATTCCATCTAAGAAAGGGGAAGACATGTTCCTCGTCACTTTGGACGAAATCGACCATCTGCTCAATGGTGATTCGGGGGTTTTGCAGTCACTTTTCGAATGGTCATTGCAAAGCAAGTCTAAGCTGATGCTGATTGGCATCGCTAACGCCCTTGATTTAACCGACCGATCTCTCCCACAGCTAAAGGCGAAGAACCTGAAGCCCCGCTTGTTGCCGTTCTTGCCGTACAGTGCTGCATCTATCGCAAACGTCATGACCAATCGTCTTCGCTCATTGCTCCCTGCTGGGGCAGAATCCGACCCAAAGCTTGTTCCCTTTGTCCAACCGGCCGCCATCCAACTTTGCTCCAAGAAGGTAGCCTCGCAAACAGGTGATCTCCGCAAGGCATTCGAGTTGATCAAGCGGGCAATCGACGTCATTGAACAGGAAACATTGCAAAAGTTGGATAAGCAAGCTAAGGAATATGAGAATGTTGCGATACTAGGAGAGAACACCAATTTGTCTTCGCCTGCCAAAGTCGGCAGTGTTCCGAAGCCAACTTCCATGTCGAGCTACACAGTCATCACGGCACCCCGAGCCAGCATCGCCCACATTGCCCGAATTACATCCGCAGCTTTCGGACAGGGCACTGTTCAGAGACTTCAAAGTTTGAACCTGCAACAAAAAGCCGCCATCTGCTCCCTCATTGCGCTTGAACGCAAACGTCGCCAGCTCGAGGTCCCAAGCACGCCCTCCAAGTCGCGTACATCTGCACCCACCATCAAGCAAGCATTTGATACATATTGTGCTCTGTGTCGCAATGACAACATTTTGCATCCCCTGACTGCTACCGAGTTCAAGGACGTTCTCAGTAATTTGGAAACAATGGGATTGGTTGGAGAATATCAGGGTCGCGGCCGAGGTGGAACTGTTGCAGGTGGTACAGATCTGCGTCGCACACCCTCAAAATCTGGCCATGCACCTTCGACTCCTCATAAGGCCCTTGACGAGCAATCTCTTGTCTGCTTTGTCTCCCAGCAGGAAATTGAGAGCCAGATTGCTGGCCCCGGCGAAGGAATCCTCCGGCGCCTTCTCCGTGGTGAGGGACTATGATTCCCTTCCCTGTTTCTCAAGTGCATCCACACAGCATGGCAAACTTTCACTTTTCATTTTTCATTTCCCATTCCCGTTGCTGCATCATTGGAGTTCCATGCGAGGGCATTTTTATCGTGTATAACATTCTTGGAGTTTTCATTCTGGAGTTGAAATATCCTTGTCTCATCATCTTTAGCGTCTTTTATTATGGCTTTCCTTATTGTCACCTCTCCTTTGTCTTTCTATGGTTGCTCTTCCCCGATGTGAATTGAGATCTCATACACAAAAACAGATTAAAAAAAAACACGAATGACTTGATCAATAAAATTGAAACCAAAGAGATCTTTTTCGTAACTCTAAATCTACTGTATCTAGGCGGACCAAGTATCTCGTTGATGACATTAAGTTCCCAGTTCTGGTCCCTGGGAATATCACCTGTTTGATCCCATTGGGTAAGACATTATGCGCTGTGACAAGCCAACGAAGCAAATAACAAAGGTACGGCACCTGGGCAAGTTCGGTTTCTGTTATCCCACCAACATATCCTGTTATCAAACCTGCTACCAAGCCTTTTGATAATAACCTCAGGTCGAGTTGCCAAATCATGGCAGCAGTTAATTCAAGCCAAGTGCAAGTGGAAGCCTCTGTTCTCCTACCTGGTAGCCAACCCAATGACCCTCGGCTGACCGAGGACCTCACGGAAGATCGTGCCAAAAAGAGCAGGTCTATTATATCCTACCTACTAGAAAGGAGTGCAGAATTCCGAGAACTCAGTGATGTGAGACAGCAGGTAAACCAACCGAACCCAGATAGCATACACACATAATTCTAACAACGCTACTAACAGGGATGGGAAGCCCCGGAAGGCGACAAGTACTTTGCGAACCTTCGAAAAAATGCGGAGAAGTCCGACAAGCAGACAGCGATTTACTTTCATAAGCTTATGCAAATAATCGGACGCGAAATGGATAAGGCCACAAATGCCTTCAAAATTCAACAGGTCGATTCAACCCCGCCTGCCATTCTCGACATGTGCATGGCCCCTGGTGCATTCCTCGACATAGCATTGAAAAAGAACCCGGGCTCACGTGCTCTGGCTTTCAGCTTGCCTGTCTCCTGCGGAGGGCACAGGAGCCGTCTGGCAAGCAGCTTGAATACCAAGCAAGTATTTCTCGATGTGACTATGCTTGCTGCCGACATGGATATGAACGAGATCCCCGAGAGCCATGACGATGCCGAGAACTTTTTGCCCAGACAACTTGAGGATGGTCAGCTTTTCGATTTGGTCATATGTGACGGCCAAGTCTTGAGGCAACATCCACGCGCTACCTATCGAGAGGGCCGGGAAGCGAGAAGACTGGTCACCGTGCAGCTCGCTTTGGGTCTCCAGCATCTTAGACCTGGTGGCACTATGGTCATTCTTCTTCACAAACTTGAATCGTGGGACGTAGTTAATCTCATTTGGAAATTTCATAAGATCTCCTCGGTTCGGCTTTTCAAGCCAAAGAAATGTCACGCCAAGCGCTCGTCCTTTTACATGCTTGCTACCAACATTCAAAGCCAAAACCCAGAGGCTGTTGAAGCAGTCAAGCGATGGAAGAGAATCTGGCAGGTTGCTACATTTGGCTCCGATGAAGAGTATAACAAGGTGATTTCAGATGAAGACCCATCCGTGGAAACATTGGTCGAGGACTTCGGGCCCAAACTCGTGAAGTTGGGCAAGGCAATATGGAAGATACAGGCAAATGCCCTGGCTAACGCACCATTCATGAAGAAGCCAGAGTGATCAATGGAAAGACAAGGGTTAGCAGAGATGTAATTGATATCTCTCTTGGGACGAGGCAAATGACACTTAACCACGAATACACCATGACTGCCTTTGAGTTTATGCGGCTTTTCATCACACTCGTCCTACTTCTTATTATCGGTTTTATATTTGTGGCCTCATAGTATGTCCTTCTTGGTCATGTCATGACGCCTTTCTCATGGACTATGCTAAGACCTCCCATAGCCAATTCTCGAGCCCAATACTTCCGACAATGACAACAGATCCCGACACAACTACTCTCGTGTCTTCTGTGGTCGATAAACACTGTAAGGTGCAGTTGGTTGTTTACCTTTTTGAAAACGCTCCCCAGATAGTCAACACGTTCGGATGGCTATGGATCAGGTTTTACATCGCCTACCGTTTTGTCGACTTTGTTATTGACGAGATTGTGGGACCCATTGCTGTGTTCCTCGCCAAGAAAACCCACAGGTAACGTTATTTGATTGTCAAAGCTTGAGCTAAAGCTAATTGAAGACACAGAGCTTTCTGTCGGTATTGGTTCGCGAATAACCCCAAGTGAGACACCAATCCTCAAAACACTCACATGCGCTTATATTACTTTTCCAAACTCTCGTCGGCCAATGTTGAGGAAGAAAGAAATTCGAGTTCTTGTCTGTATTCATACATGGATAACCGACCAACTCCCACAAAGGAAGATTTTTGCCTTTATATTTAGATGAAGAATACACTGAGTGATTCATTCCGTTTCTATGATACAATTTCAAGCTACGTATCCTGTAGAGGAGCCCGATTCTACTCGTTCTATATAACGCTTCGTGGATGCGTTCAAGTTCACTTACAGTTTCATCAAACCACGAACTAGGAATATCAATGCGACATTTCCCAGTTCCTCAAAATGCCTCTCACCTCACAATATCCCTATCAATGATAACCCCCCCCCCCCCCCCCCC